ATGATTAAAAATTTAGTGTATTTGTTACTTTCTCTTCTGTCTAGTGGAAGTCTATTCCTTTCATATGTTTCTCATGCTGTTTATGGCTCCCAGTGGAGTTAGTAGAGAACTCTGTAATGGCATTTCTGGTCTTTGTTTTTTCTTATTTATTTAATTCAAAGAATAACTGTTTGAAAGCATTTTTAGCAAAAGTTGAGATCTGAAAATTCAGAAGCAGCAGCTTGCCCCTAAATCCTTGTCCCGTGTAATACCAGTGCTTCTGTTTGGTCTGAAGACTAGTGTAAGTCTCTGGAAAATGTCTCAGCAATGATAGAAGGGGAGAGAATGGGGCAGTTTCTGTTGCAGGAGTTTACAGCCACCAAAACAGGTGGCATATGGTTATGTGCCATACAGTAATTGGTGAGATGAAGGGTCTTACACTAGTGAGGTGTCATCAAGGAGTAGAAGATACTAAGTCGAGGATTATCCGTTTAGTTTGTGTAATGTGGTGGTGACTGTTCTCTGATACAGAAGGTAGAGAACACAAATGGAGAATATTTCCTGTGAGAGGTAACTCTTATTGTTGGGATGGCAACTTAAATGGGCTGAGTCATTAAAATAATATTCCCAGTTCTACAAGAGCAAAGTAATGGTGATGATCTTCAGAAGAGGATGTGAACGTACTGAGAACATAGAGATGAAAGTCCGCATGGGAAGCACAACCAAGAGAAAAGAATGAATGCTCCTAAAAAGGATGCTTAACTGTCAGTACAAAATGACTTAAAGCTAAAGAAGAATAGGAACTATAGTAAGTGAACAACATATTTGATTCATACACTATGCAGTAGTCTGAAAATCAGAATGTGGAGTGATAAATAATGAAAGGTAAATATTCAAGAATTGTGGAGTAATGCATACAGCGAGGAAAATGAAGCACAACAAAGTGATGCTGTGGTAAGCAAAAGGATAAGTGGAAGATCAAACCAAGAATTAGACAACAAGAGAATGCACTTTCCTTGTGTGTTTAATTTGACTGGTAAGGTCTTAACTTTGCAGGGAAATTTCAATTAATACATTTGAATGTGATTTGGGAATTGACACACTTGATACTTGGTTTCTGTTTTGTATTAGGATGGTAAACATAAATGAGCTGCTGGAATTCTTTCTAGTAATTTCCTCTGGTTCTCTGGTTGAAAAGGTTTTAATTGTATAAGGATGTGATTTATTTTTTCCCCATTGGGGTTCTTGCTGTTTCATTCAGTATGTGTCCATGATCTGAAACTGTTGGAAGGACAAATCAGGGCTGTGTCTTTTAGGACAATAATGCTTTTGAATACTATTTCTTTGGCAGCAGAAGCTGGGCAATATAGAGAGAGCACAAGTAATTGGGGAATAGGTCGGTTAAAGCATCTTCAATCCTTGGGTGTGCCACAGAAGTTAACATACACCTATTCAGGCTGTCTTCTTTCTAAAACCCTGATCTCTGGTTTGAGTAAAGTGTTTCAGTATTCAAGCTTGGAAGTGAATGGAAAGCTCTGATTTAGGGTGCTTAACATCTATTGGACCCAGTACTGTTTCCATTTAGATTAACGATTAATACATATTCATTCCAATCAGGTAAGATCTATGTTAATATTCCTAGGGTATGGTGTGCAACTCACAGAAAATAGAACTTAAAAAACCAGTGCGTGTAATTTCTGGTTAGTTTCAGGTTGTTCTTTTCTGGGAACAGTCAGTGAAATATTCCAGAAGTACGTATGACATAGGGTGAGTCATGAGAAATAATGTATGGTTTGATGCTGGTCCTTTTTTACCATCTTTCATACAGAGGTTTGTCATTAATGCTCTTGAGATGATTTTGAAACTGTGCTTTATGGATGTTGCAGAAGTGGATTATTTCTGTCCTACAGTGTTAGTGGGGAGAAAGGTGTAGGAAATGAACATTGAATGAAATTGGGGGAAAGAAATATTGCCCACCTAGGTGTTGTGTAATTGTCATTCATCCTTGCAAGATCTTTATTGAACTTATCTTGACGGTTTCACCATGCTCTGATCACTATTGACTTTTTGCTATGCAAAAGAGTACATTTCCCACTCTGTAGCAGCTGTGTTTGGGCAGGTGGTACAAAGAAGGGATGATGCTGGCTTTATAGCTTCCCTGAGTGGAAGTAGTGGAGATGAAACCTCACTGTGATTCATGGGATGTAATTCATTGCCAACTGTCAGGAACTTGGATTTCAGGAGTCCATTTAGTGAGCAATTTGTATTCATTAGCAGTGTTTAAATGACTGTAGGCTATTAGAGGTGGAGCACCACTGCTGCCAAAGCCTTTTTTTTTTGTTGTATAAACTTCTCTTTCTTGCGTAAGTACTGGAATTGCCAACTTTCAGATTTTTGTTGTTGTTGCTTTTTGTCTGTGAAGCTCTCTAGAACAGCTGGATTACTCTTCTCACTGTAAAAATACTGAGCTGTCTTCACTTCCATGGGCTCTCGTCCTCTCTGGCACCCCTTGGAGATGTCAGGAGCTTCTTTCATCCTGTGCATGCCCCTACCCCATGCCCACAGTGAGCTGGGCCAACGCTGATTTGGAAAACATGCCTAGAGTCTGAAGACACTTTCACTGTAACAGCACTGCGTGGTGATCAGTAGCAACCCTCAGGTGCCCAGGAGATAGCTGAAGCCCTTTCTGTTCTAGCTGAGGAAGTTACAACGTCTTGCCATGATTCAGGGGAGATGCCTGTGGTCTGTGGTCCTGTGACTGCAACTTTGCCCCTGGGCAGCTTACAGGTTTCTGCAGTTGTGGAACAGTAGATGCAATCTGTTGTCTGATAGTGACATGGGAGTTGCATCTTATACCAGCCATCAGCTTTCCTTGGGTGCTCATACTGCATCTGTAAGGTTGTGCAATTGAAGAAGCAGGGATAAACAGGCCTAGTCATAAATGTATTATGTTGCAGCAATGCAATTAAAAAAAAAATAAATTCAGTGCTTGAAGTAGTTACTCCTGAAACCAATTGCTTTAAAGAAATTGTTCAGGCAAAAACTATACTTGACTGTTAAGTAACGTAAGTAACAGGAGGTCATTTAAAAGCTAGAAATATCTGAGGCCTTAAGTAATAGTGACCACAGTACAATTACATTCCATACCCTCAGGGAGAAAAGATACAGAGAACTACATCAGAATTACACGAAATTAAAGGGAGATTTGTACTGAGTGAAATGCATTAACAAAGAGCTTTTCTTACAGAACTTTTACTTTTGTCCAACAAAGTAACATGATTATATATTTTGTGGAAACTATTTAAGGTGATTAACAGAAGTCATAAATAAATTGAATGAGTAAAATTTGAATCAGGGCTATGGAAAATATAAAGAACCAACAGTCAGTGAGGTATGCACTCGGTGGGATTACGTTGCTAATCAAAGTAAGGACAGATGATAGCATGGAGTGAGAGGGATAAATGCAGCTGAGGTGGATTTGCTGTTCAACACACTGAGACGTACTGAAACTATAATAATATTGAGGGAAATGTAATTTATCTGTACTTAGAGATGAGTTTGAAGCTGATAAAACAGCATTCTGTCATGCGGTATTCTTTTGGGTTTTTGTTTCATATTAGTATACTATGTTACTAATTGCTTATTCAAAATATGGAAATTGCTATGCACAAACATAAATCACTGTTTTTAGAACTGGGCTGACAGTGTAACCTAGTATGAAGTAGATAAGTAAATATTACTTCATGAAGAAACACTGCTGCGACAAGAAATCAAGACTTACACTGCGTTCTGAAATAGTGTCCCAGCAAAGATGTAGAAGATGGGTGAGCTCTGTGTTTGCACACATTGAAATCTGTATGTTTCTAATGCTTGTTTTTCAAGGAAAAAAAATAGTGGAATTAAAACATTCCCATAACTGTTGCTATACTTACCTTTGTTACCTTTGCACAGAAATTACTGGTAGCTGTTACTGTGGCTTGAATTTTTGGAGCCATGCAGTGGACTGTGAATGTAGTTGAATTTTTAGTCTTTGTAATGCTAACAAGGTTGTGCTGCTGCTCCGTGGTTTACTTAAGTTTTATGAATTTCCTCCATTAGCAAAAAGGGGATTGTCAAGTGGCAAAAAGATGGTGATGAATTAAAATGCGTGCATGTATATCACACAGTAACAAAAAATAAAACTTCCATGTGTTGACTTGTGATACGTGGTTGGAGATTCAGGCAGTGTTTAATTACTAAGGCAGTGGTGTGTTGTAAAGGTATTTGTTTATTCTGATTGAATTTAGGATCAAGTCACAAGAACTTTCATTAATTGCCATTGTGTTGTCATATTTTCAATGTTTGCTATCACTGTTCAATTTACAATGTGGGGTCACCACTAACAATGTAATTGTTCAGCAAAGGGGAGGATGACATAATCCACACGAAGGAGTAATGTAGATGCAAATACTGCTTTAGTCCTGAGCTGGCCCACATCCTGACTGACCCCTTTGAGCCTTTGGTTTTTGAGAACCTTACTGACTGCAGTGCCATGTGATGCAGTTGTTAGCTCTGGTCTGGAAGCCACTCATGTATCTCCAAATAGAGATCATGGAATATCTGTTATTATGGGAGGGGGAGGATTGCTAGTAAAGGCCATAGAACTGAAAGACAGACTTAATTTGATTTTACAGACACAATTAAAACCAATTAAACACACACACACAAAAAAAAAAAAAACCAACAAAAAAAAACACAATTAAATTTGTTGACTGCAGACATGAGTCCTGCATTAGTGTTGAGCTGCTGCTGTATCACACATACTCAGTTTTGAAGAGTAAATTTCATAACTTCTCTTCAGATCGTTGTACCGTTTCTTCAAAAGAACACCTGTTCAAAGTGTTTCTACTATCACTGCATTATATGGTCTTTCATGTGTGTTACTGAGCTGTACGTTCAGCAGCAGAAAGACTTTGATATTGATGTTTTGATATAAAAATACGAGTTGTGTTAATTTCTTTTGTTCCCTTATTACGCTACAGGTACTGTAAGAATTGAAATGTTCAGGAACATGCAAAATGCAGAAATAATAAGGAAAATGACAGAAGAATTTGATGAGGTATGGTATACAGATATTATACAGTACTTTTAGTATATATTCTACAAATAATATACAAACATCAAATAGCTTTAAGCGTTATGAAATATGTTACAGTGTGCTTTGGTTGTAAACCAGAAATGCAGCAGGCAAGAAACCAGTGGTAAGCAATGTTTCTGTACAAGAAATTGCCCCAACAAGCAAAGCAGCAATTTAAACTGCAGTATGAAAATTGGTGGGCCGATATTAGCTTTAGAAGGAATAATAATGGAAAAACAAAAATAAAATAAATTGGAAGGGTAGTTACAGTTATTTATCTTGATAAGTCAGTGATGTGAATTGAGTAGGACTTGGATGCTGAAATAACAATAGTGAAAAGTTTGCTATCTGACATGCTGAAAGGCTTAATTGTACTATCACAAAAATCATGGAGCAGGCTCCCATCTCATACTGTAAGAGAGCCTAGCCAAGTCTGTCTGTATGAAAGCTGCCTTAGGTCCATACTGGTTCTTCATCTATCTGTATCCTAGGTATTAGAGCTGACTGTAGCAGAGACATTAGTAAGAGGAGGCAGTAGAAGAACTGTAGAAAGTTTTCTCACCCCACCTGTATTTGTGCTGCTGTGCTGGATGCTGTAGTTCACTGCTTGAAACTGCCATCCTACAACAAAGAACTCTGCATTCCTGGGACAGGACTGCAGGCTTGGCGTTTGCTCTGTTTCTGTGTGCAAATTAATATTTTGTTCACTTGAATTGGCAGTTTAAACCAAATAGTAAGTTGACACAAAAGTTCTGTTTTGTAGCAGTGTTACACAAATAGTCTTTGAAATGTTCTAAGCATTTTGTTTGAAACAAATGTTCTGCAGAAGAAAAATGTTCCAAATCTTAATGATTTTGAGCTTTGAAATTTTGAAATTAGGGAGTGTGGTGCCTCTAATTAACTTTTTTTGTTTGTTTTGAAACAGAGTTCTTGTTTCTCTTAAATTAGGCATTCAAATGCTATTTGTTAAGATGTCTCTTAGCATTGTAGTGATAGAAATAAGGTCCTTAAGACAACCTTACAGTTGTCTTTTTTTAATATTTGTGTACTTTTTTCTTGGCAATTCTAACCATTGTAGTATGATTGTAATATCACAATACTGAGTTTGAGTTCAGTTTGATTGTGCCTTTTTGTTTTGCTGGAGTACAGCATCTTCTGTAAAGCTCAGGTTAAAGGGTATTTGATTGCAGCTCCTCTGGTGAAGTTGCTGGCTTTGCCTGGATGGATAACAGAGCTGCTTGTTCTTCGTGAAAACACAGAATTAATAAGTAGAGATGGTTTTAACTTTGATGCTGCAGACTTCCTATCTTTGGGGAGAGATCCAGGTTGAACATTAGTACCTTAGCATTTTGAATAAATCTGGAATTGACTTACAAATCAGGTGACCAAGAAGTTTATGAGTTTTCTAGTGGGAGGGGGCAGTCTCACTGAGATGCAGTATTGTGAAATTAATCTTGGAAAGAAGTTAAGCATGAAAAAAATCCATTGCATCTCTCAGAAGGTAGGTTTAACCACAAGAAAAAGGAAAAGTTTGCAAGATCAAAAAAGGGAGATATTTAGTTTCTGATAAGATCTCAGCTGCAAACTTGAGTAAAGCACATTTTGTGGGGAGAGGCAGCCAGATTAGAATATTCCACCTGGGGTGGAGGTGGAGGGTGGAGAATGGTACAAGTATTCAGTCACACAGGACTTTCTTTAGGTTTTGACCTTAGATACTTTGAATTTTTCCTTTGTCATCCTTTGCCTCCATTTCCTAACTCAGGACATAAGGAAAAGAATTGTCAGGATGCGTATTTGGATTAGGTATAGCTAGCTAATAAAGCAAGCATGGCACAGTTACAATCAAATCTCTTAATAAGTGATTTCGTGCCTACAAGGTTCTTTATTTATGGAAGAATTAATAGTTGTTGTTTGTTCTGCATTGTCTGGGGGAAAAGTACACTGTGCAGCTTAGGAACTTGGTCCATGTTCACGGAGACTATTCGTTTTCTCGTCCTCCAGGACAGCGGTGATTACCCCCTTACCATGCCTGGGCCACAGTGGAAGAAGTTTCGATCCAATTTTTGTGAGTTCATTGGAGTGCTCATTCGACAGTGTCAGTACAGCATCATCTATGATGAGTACATGATGGACACGGTGATCTCTCTTCTGACTGGTTTGTCAGATTCCCAGGTCCGGGCTTTCAGGCACACCAGTACATTAGCTGGTAAGTGAAATGGTGCAAAGGGGTGTTTTCAAAGAAGTTATTAATTGTTTCGTTGCTTTGAGAATTACAGCTAATTTTGATACAGGTAGAACTTGACAAGCACTGAGAACTCTGGAAAGCTTGATCAAATCCAAGCACCGTGTGCATCGTAACTGTACTTAGTATGCACTTTTCTTTTTGAAAGAGAATATATCAGCCTCACAGGTTCCTGTCAAATCCAGGGGACTCTAGTGAATCCTTCTGGAGCAGAAGTGGCCTATTCGTGTCTTGTGTTTATTAATCATTTGTTGTATGCCTTAGTCATTTCTCATTTCAGAATGCAAACTGATTCTAAGTGTCAATAAAATTGTGTGCCTTCACTCTTGAGAAACATAATGCTGGGAATATTGGGCCAAAATTCCGTATCTCACTGGTTTCTACCTCTGCCATCCTGCACTTTTCAACACATCTGCCTACATCTGAGTCAGATTGGTTATATTATTAGACAGAAATAGCCTTTGTAAGTGTATTTCATGTGACGTTTGTTAGAAATCTCTGATAACATGGATGAATTGCTGTGTAGAAGTAGCTATATTTCTCCATTTGTAAATTAATACTACAATTCCTAGCTTAGGTACAGACATCTAAAACTAGTTGAATCAGGTGGTGTCTTTCTACCTATCTCATAGTGAAATGCATCTTCTTGGAACGCTGCTGAAAATCTGTGCCAGTTATTTAATCTGAAATGGAGACTGGATTCATCTCTGGCTGATACTGGACACTGATCTTGACTTGCTGTTTGCAAGAGAGATCACAGAGAGAGAATAATGCTAATATATGCCCGGTGTATGTTGTACTCTGAAAGTAATGCCTCCTGTGTATTTCCATGGAAACGATAATGAATACAAAGAGCACGGTAACACTACTGGGTAGAGCAAATTCTTGACTAAAAAACACAGTTTTTCAACATAGTCACCACCATTAGCTGTGCATTTTTGCGAGTGATGACCAAGAGCCTGCATACCACACTCGTGCAAATGTGCACCAGTGAAGGTGACTCACTGTCACTGCAGCCATTGCTGAAGCACACCACCACTACTTCGCTGGGTTACATCCAGTCTTTGGTCTCCAGAAACATTCAGCCAGTGTCAATGAACATCACTGAGTGCCATGTTTTCCACATGGAGGAATTCCCTTCCACTCCTTTGTACACACTTCAGTGTCAGACTCCATTCTGTCAGACTGCCTCTCTGCTGCTGTCTGTCACACAGCAACATGTAGTGGGATATTGATGGGAAGGCTCCACTTCTGCTGCCAAACCACCAGTGTCCACTTCTGATGCCTGGGGCCAAGGTAATAAAATGAGGCATTACTTCTGGAACAGCTCCAATAGTCTTAGTCTCTTAAATTGGTTGGTTCATCCTGATGTGGGCAAATGTTTGAAAAGCATGAGAGGTTTGGTTGGAAAGAGGAAATGGCAGCATACATTAGAGATGTTACCCAAGAACCATGCAATGTAGAAGTTCTGTAACCAGAAACTGTGAGCGAGGATGAGCAAATGCCAAGGCCTGTGTTCATCACAGCTGGTTTCAATTATTTAAGGCAGTGCTGGCTTCTTGCATGAGAGGCAAGATCAATTAATATGCCATACACTTACTTATTTTTATGTATTAACAAGCTATGGGAGCTTTGTTTTGACTCTGCAAATGTCCCTTAGGCTAGTATTTGCACGTTAGATTATACTGCTGTACTGCAAAGAAGAGGTCAGCATGATGCTGTGAAGCTCAGACTTGATAAGAAACTATGAAAATCTTTCAGAATTTCATTTATACTTTCTGAGGTCTTTGTTTTCAATTTTCCTTGTGCTAGCCAATTTGAATGAGAAATGATTCATTGTAGCAAGAAACAAAGGTAAGAAGTTTATGTGGGTACTTCCAGACTTACAGGCTTTAAGCAGTGGTAAGAGTTAACCATACAGTTTCACTTCTCCATTTGTATAATTGCTTGTTGATCTTGAGGACAGTGCTGCATATTTAACCAGAGAGAATGCAATTGTTAATTTTTTTTTTCTGTTTTCAGTGTTGTAAACTGTGATGTAACCACAAAGAACATGGGAAAGACACTTGCTAATGTATTTTTTAACACTGAATTAAGACGGAAATATATATGTTAAGGATGTTGTATCCAGAAGGTTTGCAAATGTGAACAAAAGGGTACTTGAAGTTCTAATAATATATTTATACAATCACACACTTGCCTTTAAAGCAGGGTCGGATTATCTTTCAGAGATGTGTTGCTGTGGTCCCTGTAAATTCATTAATTCTCAGTGTCTAAGAGTTACTCACTGGTTAAGAGTTGCACTTCATGTGGAGGCATCTGTAATGATACTTCCCAGTAGAGAAAGGCCTGTATCCCACAGCAACTGGCTTCACGATATACACTGATCCATGGATTCATACTCTTGGTCTATGATGTTATGCACTTTGAACTTGCAGAAAGGGTAAATAACATTGCCTGGAGCTCAATTTGGTACATATACTCTGATTTCTGATCTTTAGGTCAGCCGAGTGACCCGGGTATTGCTTGGGTGGGAAGTGCCTATCCAGATGGTTCTGTATCAGGGTCAGGATGGTTATTTTCTGTGAGTATGGATCTGCTTGAGGCAATATTTTTGAGCTCTGACTGCAGGTTAAGAGTCATATTCTGTCTTTTGCTTTTGCAGCTATGAAGCTTATGACTGCTCTTGTGAACGTTGCCTTAAACCTGAGCATTCATCAGGATAATACACAGAGGCAGTACGAAGCTGAGAGAAACAAAATGATTGGCAAAAGAGCTAATGAAAGATTGGAGCTGCTGCTTCAGAAAAGAAAAGAGGCAAGTGAAAAGATGTTTTGTTTCCTGGCTCGTGGGTATTCCCTCCAGCAGAAGGTCTGGGCTGATTTGTGACTTCAGTTATAAGAAATGAGGGATTAGTTCTGCTTTGGCGTTTGTGTGATCTCAAGCATGCTACAAGGCCCACACTTGTAAATTTTATATCACCATGTACAGTTGAGTTTGTATGCTGCTCTGCTTACACAAGATGATTTCTATTCTCTGTCTCATACACGTGACCAGGCAGGGAGAAAACCTGTCTCAGTGGTTTATAGTAACCTACTGCAGTTGTGCAGGATGGTTTTTAAAAGATTCTCTTGTAGTCCATCACTGTACCCCCCATTTCTCCCATTAAGCACTGCGATTATTATGCAGTGTCTTGTTATCTCTTCTTTTTGTAACTACTTTTGAAAGACACCAATCAGGGCTATAGCACTTGGACTCTAGAAAGAGAAGCTAGGGAGACATTCAAGTCACCTTTAGCAAATATCACACTGCCACTACGTGATCAAAACCATTAGAAGGATGCTGTAATCATCCTTAAATTCAATACATCCTAGGAAATTCAGTTTTAGAGTTATATTTAAAAAAAAACAAACACAATAACAACAAAAAAAAAACAAACCAGAAATAATAAGAATCAGAATGTGAACATTCACACAGCCAGAATCTGTAAGGATGCCAGGCAAAATTCATAACTTATATATTAAAAATAATAAATTTAAATCTTAGTTTTGAATGCGTTTCTTTCACCGCTGTTTTTCTCTGTGGGAAGTTAAGGATTCCCTACCTGTGTATACCTTGGGTTCTTCTAGGTATAACTTTTGACTTTAAATTGCTTGACATTACAGTTTTAGTCTGGGGAATAATTACAATTGTATCTAAACTGTGATCCACAGAACAGTTTTCTCTTGATTTTATAGTTCTTGAAAATAGTTAATTAATAAAAGTGAGAATCACTTGTGCTGAAACTGAAAGGCAAGCATTTGAAATGAAGCGTGTCAGTCTTAAAGAAGCAGAATCTCAGAAGCAGTGTCGCTTGGCTGTCACAGCTGGGAAACAGGTTTTATCCCACATCTGTTGATGGTCACTTGAATTTTCCAGAGGACCAAGTAGCTATTGAGGCCCACAAACTCAATTCAGTATCTGTGGACGTCCTTTGTTCTTGTTCATCAACATTTCTTTTCAGTGACTTTTGGAGATGCAGCACATAACTGCTCTGGGGAGATCTTGCAACTTTGATGCACAGGGCAGTGAAAGCCTGAATGAGAATAAGGTTAAATGTTTGGCTTTACCTCTTAACATGTCTCTGTTTTCTCTGCTCCTGAAATCTTATAAAAATATTGCATAGGAGCAAGCCAGAGAAGAGTGGTGATGACTGAGTGTGTGTGGTAGCAAACATAGGAGGGCAAATGAAATGAAAAGGAATCGTTAGGTTTAGATGGTATAGTGGCCCTGTGTGAGAATTCATAGCATAGTGCTGTTTATTCCTGTGCTTAAATGTGCTGAATTTACAGTAGTATTTCTGTGCCAGCACTTCCTTACTAGATTCTTTTGATGCAGTGCCATCAATAAAAGCTCATAAGCACCTTCATCAGCATACGTTTATCCTCTTGAAGTTATTCACGGGCAGTTTGCAATCTCAGTGTGGGAAATTAATTAGCAGTAGAAAAGATGGGATGCTTTCTCTGATGTGCTTCGTTCTCGTGTCATTTTCTACATACTTGATGTGAAAGTAGGGCTTGAAGATCTGTGCTTGTCAGTGAGATTTTCAAACTGGATGAGGTTAGTAATATAAACGGCTACAAACAGAAATAGTTGTGCTTTAATTGCTGCCAGTAGTAATTCAAGTTTACACTTCTCATACATGTGTTTTTGAGTCTCCCCAACTGCTTGCAGTCAACAAAAGAGTGTTTCCATTAATTTTGCTTACATTTGAGAGGCATGATATTAAATTGCTTCTGCATTGGTAAGAGCAGGAATTGTAAGGCAGTTCTCTCTCAGAATTAAGCATTCAAATTCAGGTACGTGATCCAGAAAAGCTGCAATTATAAAAACTAGTTGCTGTTATGAAGAAAATTTGTGAAAGAGTTGCTAATATTGATGCTGAAATACACCTGGAATGCCAAAGATTCTGCAGACATTGGGCAGGTTGGGAATCTTCACTGACTGTCCCAGTCCCAATCCTGTGGAAGTTAACCTTACCTTAGTGCTAAGTTACGTGTTTGTAGGAGAATGTACAAAAGTGGGCATTGATGATGCTGACTTTCATTTGTTTACATTAGTGCCTACTATTATATAATGCTTTGTGCTGTGAAATTAATTCATTTCTCAGGTATTTGATAGTTCAGTCAAGAAGCTGCCCCATACTTTTGCAAAAGTTTTCCCATTTGCAAAATTGAGGCTGCACCTCCCTACGTTTTAGAAACCTGTGAGGCTTCATTTACTGAATGTTACAAGATCTTATCTGGAAGGTAGTGTAGAAATATTTATAAACATGGCTTGAAAAATATAAACCCCTAGGGGAAAGTGTTTCTGAGCCTGTGCTATCCAGGAAGTCGAAACAGCTGATGATAATTGTGCCTCTGGCGTGAAGATATTTTCTGTGTTAAATGTATGTGTCCATGATTACAGTTTGTATTATTTTGTGTATATGTGCAGTTACTACAAGGCTCAGTTGTGGTTTTTATACTGAAAATATGAAGATTTTTAAATTAACATTCATTGTTATGTTGTGCTTTGACATTCAAAAAAAAACCTTGGTTGAGGAAAGGTGGCTTTGAGTGTTGTAGCAGTTCTACTCCAAAAGTTGATTGTATAAAATTGGCATCATCTTGTTTATCAGAGCTGCATTTTGATGTCATCAAGTCATCTTTATGTAGGTTAGCACAAAAGCTGATGGTATGAGAATACTTTAATTCTTTCCAAGGTGTTCTTTGAGGGTTTATTAACAGATCCATTGACACAAAGAAATCTTTCCATAGTACTCAATAAGTGCATTCATATTAGAGAGGACCTATTAAGAATTTATTTTTTTAATCATTTTTACCACTCAGAGCACTGTGTTGTTTTGTTTTTGTTTGGCTGCTCTGCAGTGTAAGATTTGGGACTGGGTGGCAGCAGTGTTAAGTGTCCACATTCTGACTCTGGAATGCTTCCTCATTCAGACACTGGATTGCTGTGGGTGATGAAGTTAAAGCAGCTCATACTCATGCTTGAGACTGAGCACATGCTGAAGTACTTTTCTTACATAGGGCATCCAGTTTTTTAAGGGGGCCTTCCTGGTCCATAACTGCTCAGTAACCAGCTTCATGTTTGAGCTGCTGTTCTTACCCAGTTGCCTGTTTGACTGCTGTACTGCTGCCATTACATGTGGAGTCTACAGCCTGAATTTCTGTAGCAAAAAAAAAAGGGGGATGACCTCAAAGGACTAATTTGGAACTAAATTCATTGATGTTTGTAGTGAATGTTAAGGTGCTGTATACATGTGTATGTGAATGCACACCATATAGGCTGGAAAAGTAAAAAATGATTGATCTACTAATACCTTTAATTAAGTGCTCTTTTTGTGGTCTCCTAATGCTTCCCAATAACAAATTGCAGAATATTAAATTATAATGAGCAGTGATCTTTTATTTACTTATTTTACAGCTACAAGAAAACCAAGATGAAATCGAAAATATGATGAACTCTATTTTTAAGGGCATATTTGTTCATAGATACCGGTAAGAAACTGCTACACTATGCTTTGCTAGCAATGTGTGATCATAACTAATGCCAAAGTCAATTTCTCTGATTTTCCCTCTCATGTTCTAGATGTCACAAAAGCAGTATCAAAATAACTGAAGTCCTTGAAGAAAATCTTAAGCCTAGAATTTGCACAGTAGATCTGTCCACAGAACTTTATCTTAATTCAGCAAAACAGCTTTCAGGAGCTGTGGAAGACATGCCATCTCACTCCATGTCTCCTAACAAGAGAAGTTGTCTGCAGTGGGAGCATAAGCATTACATATCTTAAGAAAAATCATGACCGCTGTGTATCGTAACAGGGCAGGTTTGGTTGCTGGCTCCCTGAGTCTTCCATTTCCTTTTGTGTATCTTAAGTGTAAACAGCAAATTTCTGACGTTTCCATAATATATGCATTACTCACAGCTATAAGTTTATTTTAGGCTTTTTGCCCTCTTTAAAAACTACATTAAGGCACTGAAAAACCTTAATTCCAATTAGCATGTAGTGTTTGCTTATTGTTTTGGATGTTTGTAACAAGAGCATTAACCAGTAATTGTAATGATATCACATCACTTTTTTCCAATAGTTGAGATGCTCTGTCTTGTGAATAGAAAGGCACATCAAGTTATATTCATGTGCACCTGTGTGTCCTGTTCATTCTAGCACTGCACAAACCAGTAGATATGGACTATTCTATGCTGTTTTGGAGTATGGTTTATCAGAGCACATTTCAGTCTTTCAGGGTAGATTTAGGGTTGTTTTGCATCTGCAGCGTATTGATGAATCTAGCTTTTTAAATGTTAATTGGCTGACTGCAGTCAAAAGATAAAATTCAACAATGCTTAACTATGCAATTAACCTTTTAGATTTAAATTCTGGATTAAAATATCAACTGTGAAAACTTTCAGACAAAATGCAGAAAGCATGAAAAATGTGATTGAGAAAAGGTTTGGCACACAAAGACCATACAATTAAAGTGGGCGGAGAGATAATTGCACTTATGAGGAAAAGTGTGCAGAAAACTTGGAAGAGGCCTGTCCTAAGGAATGTGTGATTGAGCAGCACAGTGGGGTCTCTTCAAATCGGTGCAGATCAACCACATTAACTTAAATTACCTTCAGCTTTGCACCTCGGTAACCTCAGTTGCTGATCAGATGGACTGAGAAAACCAGTAGGTGCAATGAGCAGCCACTCCAGCAAGAGCCTGAGGAGCAAACCTGCCTCCACCTGACATATCCTAATTATCCGTTATAGACTCTTTGTTTCAGTGTCCCACATACATCTGACGTTAATCAAAATACTCAGATGCAATTTAGCATGAAATATATGTGCTCAGGTGGCACTTTAATTGACTTTTTCTCTGAACATCACTGCTGGGCAACTAGTACAGCCTACTGCCTGTTTGCTATGCTTTGTCCTAAATTTTGTGGGCCTGCCTTGACAAACCAAGTTGCTTCATGTTACTAAGAGTAGAAATATTTGTGTTAGGTATTCCTACAAAAAAGGTGAAAGTTTCTTTTTGGTAATGCCATCACCTGGAAGATGGTGGCAGAATGGAGACTGGTGCGTCTCTAATTGTTGTGTCTCTCCAGCTACTTCAGGCTGTTCTGCTGGTTTTCCATGCCTCACACATGAATTTTTTCTCATGCACTTCTGTACTGAAGATTTTAACTTTTTGTGCTGATAAATCTGTAATTACTTTAATTGCTTTATTCTTTCTGTCTTCCTGCCAGTCTGGCTTTTTTTTCTTTCTTGGGGTAAAAGTTTATGGTGCCTGAGAACTATTTGAACGGGGGATCAGCTTTTCACTGTCTGCCTAGAGAGGCTCAAATGCATTCTTACAGAAAAGATAAATGTTCCTGATATTGTCTGGCTGTGCTGCATGATTAAATAGCTGTTGACAGTTGAGTTCTTCCTGAGCTTGCCGTAAAATCCTTCCAGAATGTTTCGGTTATCAAATTTATAAGGTGGTGAAATAACTTCTCTTCGCTGTCGCTACATTCCCTGTAACAAATGCAGTTCTGGTAGTGCAAAGCCTTGGTTGTAATAACTTATTTAGTACATTCTCCCTTACAGCATTAGAATTCCCTGGTAGGAACAGCTTATTTAATGACTTACTCTGCTTGTAATGCAGCTTATCTACACTGTGGATTGACTGTTACCTTCCAGTTTCAAAGGTTACAGCGCAGCTGTCTGCTGGGAGCTTAAACAGACCGGTTACAGTGATTCTGTTTGGAAGTTGGTAGAAGCAGTGTGGTTCATGTTGCACAATGATGGTGATCTGGTGGCATGCCTAGAGATTTGCTAATAGCACTCGTGTAATAATTAAATGCATGCTATAAGCTGTTATTGCAGTACAGCCTCCTCTCAGTGATATTGCATATAATGAGAAAGGCTCGTATTGGTGACTGAAATGTATCTTCTAGTCATGTGTGATACTGCCATTGTGTGACATGTCAGACAATCTGAATGATCTGTGGTTTTCACCTTGGTGCCTTGAAGATCATCTAAAGTATGGCACACATTGAGCTGGAGCAGTGTGAAGATTGGAAGTACGTAGGCAGACACAGTACAGGTAGTATAACAGTTTTGTTACACTGTACTGTGTGAACTTGTAAGCACCTTAAGCATAAGCTTGAGAACACATTATTCACATTTCATGGAATTGAAGACTTCAGGAATAATACTGTTGCTCTTACATAGCGATTATTCTCTTGCTTGAAGCTTGAAATATATTGCTTTCATAAATTATATTTTGGTTTTGGGCTCTGGTGCTGCTTTAAATGAAATCAGTGTTTCTTACTTTTCCAAAAAGATTTTTTTAAAAAGGCAAAACAAACACCAGAATGGGGTTCTCAGTTATAAGCAAGGCCAGTGTTTGCAAAGCACTGGGCACTCCTTTCTTCAGCACAGTGGCTGTGTACGTTTCTCTTTTATTATAGCTGAGATTTGGAACTGTGAAACAGTGCCAGCTGGAATGGCACAAGCAATTTCTCATAGTAACAGATGTCTGAAAGATGAAATTACCAAAGGGCCAGATGGCCCCAATCCCTTTTCCTGTTGTTTGGCTGTCGTTAGTTATTAGTAAATATGCCATGCTCTGTGTCAGTCAGGCAGGAAAATGCCAATCATACTGAAGTCATTTCCATCTCGAACTCTTTAGGTGATCTCTCCGGACAGTTTCCTGCTGCCCTACCTCAATAAGCAGCTGATAAATCTGTCTGAGATGTGTCTTTGCCTCTTCCATCACTTGTCACAGAAAAAATGGCAGAAATCAAGGTTAAAATATGTACAGTTCTCCTAGATTTTCTTAGAAAGGCTTTTGTGTGCTGGATGAAGCAAATAATCAAATTCCATTCTCCCCCTTTGCTCGGTGTCCTTTGGTTACATCAGATAACTTTTCCTACCTGACACTGCATCTCTACCTGGAGAGTCAAGCCTCTTTAGGAAATCAGGGTGATAATGTTTCAGAAGTTGTTATTGAGAAGAGGTTTGTGGCACTTGGATTCGTAATTTTGCTTGAAGAGGACAAGAAAGATTAAGAGACTAAAAAGTCAACTAGAGGGAGAATTTTTTGAGATAATGGAAACATACCTGACAGTAAAGATACTGAGGTGATTGGACAGGGCAGCGAGTGAGGATGGTGACAAGCTCTGCCTAGTGAGGTTCATTAAACCCGAATAAAAGCAAAATATGGCTGGAGCAATGGGAATTAGGGCTAAATGGTATGTTTATAATCTGTATTTTTTTTTTCTTTTTTCTTACTAGTGATGCTATTGCTGAGATTAGAGCTGTCTGTATTGAAGAAATTGGTGTCTGGATGAAAATGTACAGTGATGCCTTCCTGAATGATAGTTATTTAAAATATGTTGGTTGGACACTACATGACAGGGTAAGTATTTTGTATTACTGTACACAGCAGAGCATATTGCCTTCCACTGCTTAACACATGCTTAGTAGATCATCTTTGATTTATAAAAAGGTAGTTCAATTTATTGTTGGTCATTTGTCTTTCAACCAACATTTTTTAATATGTTCACTTAAACTAGAATCCAGTCATCCTGAATCATATGCTCATTTGTGTAATTTTTATTTTTCAGTCTGAATTAGACTGTCTTAATAGGTTATTTTTTTCCATGCTGCTTTTCTTCTTATTAAAGTCATCTTGTCACATCATTCCTGAGAACCTTTGCGTCTGAAACAGGATGGAAAAGGATTTTCCAGATGACACTGCCATTAACATTAACCAATAGAGAAAAGAAACCCAGAAGTCTCTGGGTCCCAGAATTAACCCAACAGTGGCATTCCTAGTAAATCACTTACCCTTTACTATTTTAGGTATTTACAGCTACAACCACCTTTAAAGGGCATTTTTCTACCCTTGTTGAACATTCTTCAATTCTACCTGGCAAGACTTTTTCAAGTCTACCTCTTTGTGCCAGCTTAGAAGAGCTCAGAGGGTTGCTTGAGTTAATCTTGGAATGCCTTTCTTGCGTGAGAGATTCTTCAAGGAAAAAAAAAAATAATAAAGAAAAATTGAAAGATTTGGTCAAAATGAAAAATATATGGATCTGAAGGTTCTTTACTATCTAACTACTGTTCTTTTGTACTGAAAATATGAACAAAATGCTTCTTTTTTTCTTTGTACCACCTGATTCCTGTAAGAGTAGCACTTTCCTAATGCTAGAAGAACAGGGCTTTGAACTGCTGAATGTCTTTTTCCTACACTAGGCTGCAAATGGGACTAGACATCCTCCCACTCTCACTCAAACCACTAGAAATAGTTGTTTTACTCTCAACTGTTTGCTTGTGGTGTTCAAGAAAAACAGATGAGGCCTACATGCAGTGTTGAAATGCTCATTAAATCCTGGCATCGTGGTTCAGAGTACTCTTTTTTTTTTTTTTTTCTTTTCCCATAGAAGAGCTGCTGGAAAAAATTCAAAATTTGCAAATTTGTTGTGATGACTCGCATAGCAAGTAGTTGATGTGTTCCTTTAAAAAGGTGGTTTCTCTGTACAGCTTATTAATGTTAAGGATGTGACTTCGACCCTCTTCATGCTTTTTGAATAAGAGGTTGTGCTACTTACTGATTACTCTTTTGCTGACAGGGATCTGCATCTCCTCTTGACTTGGATCAGCAGTGTACTAGTTAAGAGTAGCCTTTATGCTTTGGAGACATCAGGCAGGCAGTGGCTTTCCCCTCTAAACCTGTGGTTTCCATACTTTACAGACACTACACTACATTTGTGACTGCACGCCTAAAATCCGCAGTGGCATCTGTGGAGCACGCTCAAATCTGAGCAACGCATTTTCTCAAAGAAGCACTTCCAGTGGTAGTGCTGCACTTAACAGCTCCCAGTCCCTTCCAGTGTCTGTGAAGCCCAGCAATTTCTCACACGACTCCCTTTAACCATCTGTGAAATCTCGCCATTCCTCCCGGCGCTGGCTCTGACTTGTGTCAACTTCTCACACTGTGATCCATTGCATCCAGTGTTTTCTTATGCTGTGTCCAGTAGATTGGCACATCCTCCAGTTAGCTTAACCTCAGGCCAGGATCTAGGCATGTGACTGAAACGTTAACATATTTTACCTCAGCTGTCTCCAAATTAGCACATCATTTCATATTAGACAAATACTGAATTACCGACGTTGCATTTAAACAAAATAACAACAAAAAGCAGGAGAGGATTTTATCTGGACCAAGCACAGAGGAGCATCATCAAGTTGCTCTTCCATTTCTACTGCTTTGTAGTAGCTGTGGTTGCAGTCCTCCCAAGAGGCTTGGGTTTTCTACTAGCTAATCAGACTGTTTTATCCCTGTATACATGCTCTGCAGTGTTTTTTATTGATGTAGTGTATGATTACTGTATTGGAGGAGACAGGCTGAAAGTAGAATGGAAGTGTCAGAGGTAGCTGAAGCTCGCTCGTACCAAGGGATAAAAAGTGAGTAGAGATGGAGACATTGAGGAGGGAAGTGCAAAGAGAAGCACTTATTTTAAAATAAATAAAATTGAATAGAAAACAATTAAAAAATGCAAGTTTTCCAAAAGCACAAGCTCTCTCAATAGCCTTGTTTCCATTGTCATTGCCTGAAAGATTTAGTTGTAATTTGGAAGATTTTGGCAGTGTTAATCCTCTGCCTTTCCTGGATTTTAAATGAGCATCTGTAGGGGGTTTCTGATTCTGCAGTTCTCTCCTTTTACTACTTTTTTCCTTGTTGTGGATCTGGTAGCATGAGTAGAAAAACAGTTTAACCTGGAATACAGCTGCATTAAAAAATCATTTAATAAAAGGAGTTTATCTGTGCAGTCTTAATTTGCTTCTGTTGAATTGATGCATGGAACTGTTTTGAAAACATAATTGTGTCTCGATGCTCAGACAGCCCTGGGTCTGGGAAAGATGTATTAAAGAAAATGTGGACTGGAGCATGGCTCAACCAGAGAAGTGTGGAGTATCCCAAACTGGTGGCACTGGGGCAGATGTATTGCTTTTCACTTCATTAGCAGGGGGGCAATTTTGCTTTACTGTTAAAACTGTCTAGAGGGTTATTTAAAAAAGAATAGGGGAAATATGAGAAATGTTTGTTATTTAACAGTGTTATGAAACATTTGATGTTTTTGCTTCAAGTTCTAATTTCAAATTGCAAGTGAAAGTATTAACAATTCCCATTGTGGAGATATTCATGAAAAGTAATGTTAGATTTACATATTTTTACTATCTTTCTTAAATTAAACAGCTTTGAGAGAAGGAGAATTACGGTTCGGCTGGAGAAAGAGACAAGCATAGAGCTGACAGCAGTGTGACTGAAGTCAGGATTCTGCAGCGCTCAGGTGTCCCAGAAATTGAAGGGCTGGAGGGAAACAAAACAGTTTTTCTGGAAGATGAAACTGAGGAAAGAAAGATCGTAGCAGTCAGGATGCTGAGAATGCAACTGTTTTGTCCATTGTTTACTTAGGAAATTACTTTCCCTTCAGACTTGTTTTTTCTGTATGTAAAGCATAGATGCTACTACACAGAAGTAGTTGGGAAACGCATGCTCCTTTTATTTAGTGGGATTTACAGGTATTGCATGATTGCAAATACTTCCCTTCTTAGGTTGACATAACCTTCAACTCAGAATTCAAGGAAGTCTGCCTGAAAGCTAACCTGGGAAGTAATCTTGCTTACTCCTCTCCTACATAAGGTGCAATAGATCTGTGATATTTCTCTAAAAATTTCCTAAAATGCCCAAACTGTTGGTTTTTCCACATCTTTCTCCAGCAGCTTTTTTGAATGCCTGGCTGTGTATGTCACTAAATGTTTGTCCTTGCAGAAGCTAAAGATTCTGTATATAATTCTATTATTTCTTTATCTACTTCCCGCACACTTAAGAAAAAGTGGCTATTTCCTTCAAAGCAAAGTCACTTTTCTTTGTTGTGTTGTGAACATACTTACCGAATGCTTTCTTTATTGCCTTTTCTGTCTAACCCTACTGTGCTTGGGCCTTTTTGCTTGCTTTCTTTTTTTTTTTTTAATTTATCACTCTTGTGCTTGACCTTGAGTTGTTGAGTTAAATAAGTTAATCTCTTGGTTACGTAAGACTCTTTCTGTCCTTGTCCAGCATCAGTGTGTTTGTACCTTTTCCTTCATATTCTAATTCTTAGGAATTATTTGAACATGAATGTTTCCACCCTTCCTAGGCTGGAAATTCTTGCTGTGTTTCTTTTCCACAAAATATTTGGCATGTTAGAATCTCGAATTAATGCTCACTTTCTGTACTTGGAATGATTCTCATAGTTACACAGTAAACATCTTCTGTTAGGCATATTGATGGTTTGTGGATCATTTTCCGACTTTCATTCTGGATTTCAGTGTGGCATCTGTACGTACAGGCTCACTTTTGCCTTTCTTACATTCTTGTCCAGGTCACTCCTATTTATGCTTAATCGTGGGTTTCTGTCACTGATCTCCATGACTCTTTTAAAACCTCTGTAACAAGACTAGCAAGCTGTTGTGCTTCTTCCTCTCCAGAGTGATGAATTCCAACCTTGATCACCAGTTTAAAAACAGACCTTTCTGTTATCAGAGACAGTAAGTCTTCTCACTGTTTGCCTGCTGAGAAGGGCAGTCATCTACAGAGGCTGCCTCTGTGTCTCCTGTGCCTTTACTCTCAGACAAAGGGACCATGTATCTTTCTTTCTTCCGCTGCTGCTCCCCTAGCTTTGCAGTCTCTTGTCTTCTTCCTTGGCTCTGGTTAGCAGCAGGAGTAGATTAGCTGGCTTCATTGTGCCTTTGTTAATGTCTCAACTTCAGTCTCCTGGCAGCCTATGCAAGTACCAAATGTTCACTGTTCCAGTTTCTATCTACCTTGGTTAGTCTGCTCTCCTAAGTCATTTAGAGACCCTCCGTGTAAAGTCTGAGCTAAACTCTGAGAGCCTGGTCCATGGTGCTGGTGAAGTCAGCAGGCACATCAGTGCTGGCTATGCACTAGCTGCGCTGCAATCCTCAACTCGTGTTGCTGTTGACACTTATTTTTTCTGTCTTTGACCAGTTTAGAGCTTTGCATTTTGAGACTCCAGCACTCACTGAACATCAGGACATCTGCTCACAAGCAGGACAGTCTTCAGGGCAGCTGTAGCTAGACCGGCTGCCTCACTTTTGCTCTGTAGTGTTCATTACGTGCCAAAACTGATACAGATCCTCTGTTGCTAAGTAAGCTAAGGCTGTAGGAAGCTTACATCCTCTTCTAATGATTAGTGATAACTGCAGAGATCCTGGCCTTTCAAAATGCCAGGATTTCACAGCTGAGGAAACACTGATTCTGGTACCGTGGCAATAAGTGCCATTAAATAAAGAATGACAAGCAGCATTTCTCTGTGTTTGCTTATCAGTTGCTGACATCCACATAAACTTTTTTCTTCAAGACAATTATTTTCTGTACCTTGGAAGATTTTGCAATAGATCATATAAACAGAACTGTCATCCCACTGACCAACTCTGCAGTAGTTGAAAAGATCTGTAGTAGAGCACGAGTGCTTAGAAACTCTTCAGAGAAGTAGAGATGATTTGTCAGAACAGTCGTTCTTCAGTGAAAAGTTCTTCTGCAAATCTTCCTTTCAACTTTTTTCCCTCTTCAGTTGCAATTTATGAAATGAGTGGAAACTGAAAAAAATGGATTTTTATCTTCTATTTGTACATCTGCCTCTGAATGTTCACCCAGATGTTAGTCTTATTGAAGGAGCAGTTTTTTAAATACAGACTCGATTACAGAATAGGCTCAGAAACGAAAAGCAGGTTTGTGTAAATAACCCTTTGGCTACCTCCACATGTTTTTGACAAGAACACCTCATTTACCAGGACTTTACAGATGAGCTGAGCTGTGTCTGCAGCTAGACAGATAACATGGAGGTGCCCAGAGGACCCAGCCCTTCCCTTTATCTCCAGCATTCCTATAGGTGACAAACTGTGATCTATAGGCACAGTGTCTGTGTTTCCTGCCTACAGCCAACCAGATCAAAGCAATCCCTATCAAAACTGTCACTGGGAATGAGCTGCTGCCCACAGGATGCCTGCATGATGACAGCAAAACATGAGCTGCTGTCCTTGCTGGTGGCTCCTCAGGCTGTGGCTTGGATGCTTTGTGTTGGCAGCCTGCTCCCTCAGCCCATTCATCCTTCCTGTGCATGGACTGCGATGGGCTTTAGAAAGTTGCAGAGAAAGAAAATTGGTGTGTGTTTGTTATGCCTATTGTTTGGACAGACGATGGCTTAGAGATGACTTGTTTTTGTGTGCTACATGTAGACTGTGCTCTGTCTTCTTGTACATTGATTTTAAACAATAGGTATTGGGAGGAAAACGTTTGTAGACTAAAGATAAATTGCTGCAGTGCCTTCTCACCAACCACCTTGAAGTCAGATATCTTTGTTTTCTATTTGTTTACAGCCTTTTGGGTCTTTTTGAACTGTGCTATTACTTGAAAGGGAAACAGATACAGAAGTTAAAGTGAGGGCACATTAAATTCTTTGTATATGCAAATAGAAAAACTAAATTTGCAGGCAGCTGCACATGTGGTTCTTTGATCTTTAGCTGAACTGCAGCTTGGCTTTGGCAACATATCAGCATAAAATTTTAAATGAACATTAAACAAATTACAGAATGATATTACTTGGTATTCATGCAGATTTGATTAGGATATTATATCAGCTAATCTTAATGTGTTTTATTTAGCAAGGTGAAGTGAGGTTGAAGTGTTTGAAAGCTCTCCAAAGTCTGTATACCAACAGAGAGTTATTTCCAAAACTGGAGCTGTTCACTAATAGATTCAAGGTAAGAGGAAGTACAATTTCTGGGAGGAGTACTTGAAATAAGCATGTGATCTTGCTCGTTGTGTTGTGGTCTTGACATACAAATGCAAAACTGTTCCTGACTGAGATTAAGACAAATTAATTTCACAGTGTTTATCTTTTATAAATTGTCTGGTTTGGCCAAGGTGATTATTTATCTGTATGTATTATTGCTCTTTATTCATTGTTGTTATTTAATCTTCTTGTGCTAATTTAATTTTGGATTTGTTGAATTTCAAGTATTTGTGCAGTGTTTCACACCTACAATAAATGTGAAAGTAACAAACTAAAAAAGCAGTCTGTAGGACAGCTTTTTTTGCTCTATTTGTGCTTGTGTTTGGAGGAAGTTTGATCTGCACCACGATACATTGCTGAGCTAAATAGAACCTCTGCAATGGGAGTTTGCATTGCATTTTTAGACAATTAGCTTGCCATGAATAGCCTGCATAGGAGATCAGTACTGGAGGAATATTTCCTTTTTTTTTTTTTTCCCCTTTTCATTTTTTCTTTTTTCATTTAAACTAGCACAAACACGCTGGGTTTTTGCTTAATATCTTAATGAGAATGTGGACATTAGTTCACTTTTTTGCATAACTGCTTTACTGCACAAGTGAATTATCTGGAGAGATGAGTTAGGAATGCCGTCACTGCTTCTGTTTGGATGCTGTGAGAAGCAAGCTTTGGAGCACTCACCATGTCAGCAGGCACCTTTTGCCATCACTTTTGTGTTTTGGAGAACAGAAAACTGGTTAAGAAACGACCAATAGAATTTAGTTTTGTTTAAATCATGATTATAATGCTGATGAGAAATCCTCTTTGGGAAAGAAGTGGATGCTGAAATACTCATAAATAAGTACTGTGCAGCAGACTGAAAAACTCTCTGTTGATTTTATACTGCTTCACTGGTTGTGTTTGTCATTGCAGTTATAGTTAAATCCTCCACTTGAAACTAGAAAAGCACAAAATAGAGAAAATTAGCCATATCTTTATTCTACATAAACACCTGATAAATAGAATGGTAATCTGCCTTTTGCCACATTGACTTGAGAGATGGAGAAGAAAATACTTACACTGCAGTTAAGTCTTGGATTTTAAGAAAGGCTTTTTGTCCAAACTGATAGTTGTATAACAGCAGACTACTTGGGAAGCGATGGAATCTCCTTCATTTGAGGTTTCTAAGGGCAAGTTAAATAAATATCCGTCAGGAATGAGCTGGGTATGACTTCCAGGTGGAAGATGAAATACATCATTTTGTATGTTCACTTCAGTGCTTGCGTTCTTGTAATTTTATAAAATTGGTTTCTATGTCTGTTGCACTAAAGACAGTTTCCTCTCACAGATGACTTACCTGAGTAACAGACAGTAGAAGCTGCAGGCCTCTGACTAATTTTGTAATGCCTGTATAAATCTTGTTTGCTTAAGATCTCAGGACAACCAGAAATGCTAGATAGCTCTCCAGAAAAATGCTAAATGCTGTTCTCAGTTCCATGGCTGCTTATGTGTATTTCCTCATTAAAACTGAATCAAGCTGCACATTCAGCTGAGATTCAGCTCAATCCATTCAAGCCGTCAATAGGAATCTCTCGAGATCTCCTGGCATGTTAATTTGTTCCAGAATTACTTGCATTGGGTTGTTAATATTGTAGCACATTCTAGATGTCTGTGGGAGTGATGTAATGATGGCACTTTTCAGATGGGGGGTAGATACATATTCCTTATGGCATTTCTGTGTTGCTAGGCGTGGTTGATAAGCTCGAAAGTAAGTTTTGTCCACATAGAAAACAAAACCAGCTTTGTCCATGTTCATCCATCAAAGACACTTCTGTTTTCTACCAAGAAGTCCTGTCTGATGCAAACATTAATTTCTACATAGAAAAGATGCGGGTTAATTCTTTTACAGTCAGTGACGAAGTCGGCATCAGATTTAGCTGCAGCAGCTTAACTGCTGCCCCTCATCCCTGACTTTGCAGAATGCCGTCCCCGTATCCCCAGGAGGTAGATTTACTCTTCAGCCTATCTTGTTCACGGTGCTAATACATAATGCAAAGAGATCTTCACAGTGTAAATTAATATTTCAGGTTATAAATGCAGATGTGACCCATTCCGCTGCATGGAAAATTTCTGTTGGAGAAGATTGAACAGCTGGGTTTTGTAACTTGGTAAACCTCTGAAATTTCATCTTCCAGCTACATTAGGTGCTAGGGTCTCATTTTCAAAGGCTGTAGTATCTGTCTGACAGGTTCCATCACAGAGAGATTCTGGCAATAAAATAAGAAATATCATGTCCATGATGTTGATTCTCGGCCTGATGTTGTTGGCAAAATTGAGTGAATGGTCTTTTTGGATAAGGAAATATTGTCACATCAGTCTGTTTCCAAGACCCTGGATCAGGGATTACCTTTTGCTCTGTAGGCAGGCAAGAAGAGCCCTTCTCTCCCAGGCCTTCTTTAGAGATAGAAAAGGAGTTTTATCCCTGTGTTCTGGCTCTCTGTGTGCAGTTAGTTCTCTTCCAGACCAGTCCAGAACAGCATTCTAGTTTCAAAGTTTGCTTACTTGTTTCTTGGAAAACACAAAAGAGTAAGGACTGTTTTCTTCAGTATTTTATTCCATTCATGTGTATGAGCCTGTTGTTCCATTTTGCACATGGTGCACAGCTGTCTAAGATGTACCTTTGATGACTGAACGACATGAAAGGATTTTCACATTTCCTGTTGAAAGATCTTTCTCCTCAGGAGCATTTATGCCTGTGGGCTTCTGAATCTGATAGCGATTTGTGTGCTTTTGTTTCATCTCTGCAATAACGTTCGTTTCCAGGACCGCATTGTATCAATGACACTTGATAAGGAGTACGACGTTGCTGTGGAAGCCATTCGATTAGTCACACTAATACTTCAGTGAGTATTTTTAAAATAAGTGTTTTCCCTCTGAAAGTTACCTAAGCCAATAATATGTACTTAACTTTATTTCTTCACCTGTGCTATGAATTCACTATATTACTTTACATTTACTAATAAGTTGAACTGAATATGTAGTATTATAGTAAAGAAGCTAAAATAAAATACTTGATCTCCTGGAAATAAAATAGGTGATTTATTGAGATTATTTGTTTTGGTGCGTTTACTGTTGAGGAAAAATGCCAGTGGATATTTATATTGTTCGCCAGGGGCGAAATGATTGCCTTTCGCAAAAGACATGGTTATATCTGCAGAGATAACTTCAGTAGTAACTAAAAAAGGTCTTGTGCTAGGAGATTTGATTATCTAGCATAGCTGAACAGAGAGTCATCTAGCAAATAAGCTGACAGAGAGGAGATGCTATCTTTAATACCCTGATTGGGGTTATGGAGAGGAAGTGCTGGCGATCTGCAGTTTAAAACACTTGGCCATGCAGGATATGTGCTTCCAGGTCCTGGCTTTTCCTTATACAGCTACAGTGGCATCCCTGATACAAAGTTCCATTCTGTGTGTAATCATCCCTTGCCTACACTGCTTGAAACAGTATGTCTCTAAGGGCAAGGTGATTACAGCAGGAACTTTTCCTAAGCTCACTGAAATGTGCTACAAGCATGTATAGAATTCCTGCATCATATTTTATACTCATTCACCCCACTTTGAAGAATCTTTTGGGCATGCACAATTTGGATGAAAGATTAGACTAGTATTTCTTCGTGGTAAAAAAAGAAAAGTATAGGCTTGATTTTTTTTCTTTACCTATGGGTAGCACTGCTTTGCAGATATTGTAATATTTGACTTGTTAAGGATAATCTCTTATTTTATGTTTTTAAAGCAAATACTACAAATATGATCACAAACAAGATGTAGAACATATCTTTCTCCTTTGTTATTAGGATTGTTTGGGAATACAGTAAGATTTTTAAAGCGAAATGTGTTCAGTTCACTCTTTTTCCTGCCCTGTTTTCTCTTTGGTTGTGTGATTAAAACATAGCTGATGCGTTTAGGAGCTGAAGGATATGGGTCACATCAAACAGCACAGGGCAGTATTCTGGCAGGTAGGAGCTCTGAAAAAGATGTTACGAACAATTATGATGGGGAATAATAACTTAAAAATAATTGTAAACAAAAAAAAAACCCAAAAAAATAGCAAATGAGGCATATAGAGTCCTGTCATGGACATGTTTTTCTGATGAATGCTGACTAAACTGGGAGAGAAGTAATACTATTCCTATATGCAGTGTCAGTGATATCATTGATAGAATATACTTACAGTTCCATTACCTATCACATTTTTCAAGAATAGTGCTGAAAAGTGAAAATGTTCCTCCGTTTCATAAAAACATTTTATGTTTATGTGCATTCAGAATCTGTCTGAAGTTTAGAAGTTGCAGAAATTTGCCAGCAGAGTTCTGGGCTGCATTAAAAAGGGGCGGCCAGCAGGGGAGGAAGGTGATCGTCCCCCTCTGCTCAGCTCTTGTGAGGCCCCATCTGCAGCGCTGCGTCCGGGCCTGGGGCCCCCAGCACAGGAAGGATGTGGAGCTCTGGGAGCGGGTCCAAAGGAGGCACTGAGATGAGCAGAGGAGCAGCTCTGTGTGAGGAAAGGCTGAGGGAACTGGGCTTGTTGAGCTTGGAGAAGAGAAGGCTGCAGGGAGACCTCATGGTGGCCTTCCAGTACTTGAAGGGAGCGTATGAACAGGAGGGGGAACGGCTGTTTGTGAGGGTGGATGGTGATAGGACAAGGGGGAATGGTGTTAAACTGAGACAGGGGAGGTTTGGGTTGGAGATGAGGAGGAAGTTCTTCACCCAGAGGGTGGTGAGGCACTGGCACAGGTTGCCCAAGGAGGCTGTGGATGCCCCATCCCTGCAGGCATTCAAGGCCAGGCTGGATGTGGCTCTGGGCAGCCTGGGCTGCTGGTTGGTGACCTGCACACAGCAGGGGGTTGGAAGCAGATGAGCACTGTGCTCCTTTGCAACCCAGGCCATTCTGTGATTCTGTGAAGCTCCAGCTATGTTGTTTACCCACCAAGAGTAAAAGTTGACTTGTTATTGTTAACAAATAATTACAGAAAATAAACTTTTAATCATTTTTTAATCCAGCACAGTATGGTATGATCAGATTCTTTTCCTTGATATTGAAAATGAGTGCATATAGTGAGCACAGTAACTGCTGTAAGAGTGATGGACATTTTATTTTATCAGCATTATTGTAGTTCTAAATCCACATCATGATTCAATCTTGAAGTGATGACGTGTTGATTTTATTGGTACGTGCTCCGTGCTGCTTGTGTCCCCCACTCCATGATCTAATCTGATTTCATTTTCTGCTGCCTTTGTCCAGTGAATTTCTGCAACTTCTCCTATACTGGAGGCAGTTTTACTGCCTGGCCTGGCCCTCTGAGCAGGAATTGGGAATAATAATAAGTGTTTGGTATCCTACAGCATGTATACTGTAGTTAGTGTGATGGTAATTAAGTTGGCAAGACTTGTAAGCAGTGATGAATTTTTTTACATTAATTACTGTGTATGCTGATACAACTGAGAGAAGAACATCAGACAGATTTTCAGTCTTACAAGGCCTTTAAATGTTTCTGTATTTAAAATCAAACAAAGATCTTTGAAGTCAGTTCCTCTGCCTAGGATTTTGTACAAAGGAAACAGTCTTGTAGCTGTCAAAAGTAAGTTATGGGAGGTAAGGGGATTAAAACCAAACATCTGTTTCAGTTCAGTGTTGCTTTTTGCCTGTTTCAGTGGAAGTGAAGAAGCTCTGTCAAATGAAGACTGTGAGAATGTTTATCACTTAGTGTATTCGGCACACCGGCCTGTTGCAGTGGCAGCTGGAGAATTCCTTCATAAAAAGTAAGTTATCCATTAACATGGAAGAAGCCCAGATTGTGAACTGCTCCCTGGTAGTGGTAGTGTCAAAAGGAAAACAAGCAGTTGGCCAAAATACACCAATATTAGCAAGTTAGGTGTTTAACTTGAAACGCAGACTTACGCTCGTGTTTAAAATAAAAACCTAAAAACTTGAGGAAACTGGATTTCCCTTTATCTTGCTCTAGCGTCCAGGTAACCATGCTAACTCCTCACAGCCTAAATGCTTCATGTATCTCTCTGTATTAAAAATAATTTTAAATCCTGCAGTTCTTACTGGATTACTGTCATGATAGTATAGGACCTGTCCAGCCCTGACACTCCACCTGGTATGCAGTCATTATTTTTACAGAATTCTAAACCAGTTTATCTCAAAATCATGAACTTGAAAGGTTTCTGTGTATTAATGACTAATAAAATTGTTTCTAAACTCACTGACATCCTCTAAAAACATGTTACACCTTTATTCCATCTTTCCTATAACCACTGTGCCAAAGGAAATGAGCCAGTGTTTCCATGGAGTGAATCATACTGTGCTGGTGACTGTGAGCAGGACATTGCCACACCAGAGCCATTAACTTTCTGATGTTGGTGTTTGCACTCGAGTCTTTCAGCAGTGATTTTCTTTTTCCCTACATTCTTTAATATACTTACAGAGTATTTCTACCAAAATCCAGCTTTTGTAATTTTTCTTGCCGTGGCAGAAGATGATGAATTAAAAAATATCTGTTTTCCTTTGCTGGTGTTCTTTTATTCACAGTGGTTTATTTGTGATTCACAAATCCACATTGTAAGTGTAAGCTCCTGTTGGTGGATTACTGGAATTCCATCTCTGTGAAGAGACGTTTGTTTCAGGGAATGAATTTCCAAAATTCAATTACATTTAATGTCCCACATAGTGTTTTACAAGAAAATGGTCACTGTTTCTTGTATTGCTTTGTTTTTAAAACTGCATACTGAGATTCCCTTATAAACTAATATGTGAAAAATAGTTCTGTAAAATGCCTGGAGGGTAAATGACTTTGTCTGAAGGCATATCTGTATGTTAGTGTGAAGACAAAACTTCATCCTAACTTTTCTTTACAATGTAATAGTATGCTGTGTTCTATTGATATGTCTCAAAGGAAATAGCCTTGAGGAAAAAATGTCTTATTTCTCTTGGTTTCTTCTAACATCTAAGAGCTGGTGTTTTCCATTTTAAATGACTTAGAGTCTCTACTTAAAGCATTTGGGGTGGGATGTAACCTGATTATGCATTTTAATGCTGCTTTCTGAGTGTAAGCTGGTCAATAGTTTCTCTCTGTAGTTAGCAAATGAAAGCAAATAATGTGGAAAATCACTGAGTTGGCCTTGAGGTGAATGTTTAAGATATTTCAGCACCTGTTGAGATGCTTGTCTCTTACCTGGTAGAGACAAGAGAGAGATGTCTTCAATTAAAATACAAAGTTGCTGTGCAACTCCTTGTCTTTTGATTTAATTCTAGGAGCAAAATCAGGATATTTTTTCACATTTAGGATGTGCTTTGTGGACACAGTAAGAGCAAGGTGCAGTTTTCAAACTTCACAAAGTAAAACAGTCAGTGTAACTGAAACGTAGGCATATCTGAGATCCCTGTAAGCTATGAAATGGGAGTGTTGACAGTACTTTGCAGCTCACTGCAGAATGTGTAATGCACATTTTAAAGAGAACCAAGAAACTTGTCAGTTAGCTTGCTTTATCATTTATGCTGCTACTGATACTTGAAGTTTGTCAAGTTTGCTTATACCACATCCTGTGGTCAATGTAGCAGTGAAGATTCAGCCTTAGTTCTTAAAGCACTACTGGAGTAAATGCTACCAGTGCTGTAGGATTTGATAGCTTAATAATTACATCAATTATGCAAATATATAAAGCTGTGCAAAATTCTTCTGTATAAATATGTTCTGGAGAGCTTTTTCCTGTATGAAATTTCTCCAGGCCTATGAAATTTCTCCAGGCCTAAGAACTTGAAGACTCAGAAGACAAATTCACCCCTTTAGCCTGGTCATGCCCTCTTTCTGTTGAAAAAAGTAGCTTAGCGTACTTTCAGTGTGCTTTATGAACCAATCTGCTATATCAAGAATGAATGTTCATGTTATGGAGTAAATGAGATTTGTGTTGATAAACATGTTAGCTCCTTTTGCTTATTTTTAGACTGTTCAGCAGACATGATCCCCAAGCTGAAGAGGCTCTAGCAAAGAGGAGAGGACGAAATAGTCCAAATGGAAACCTCATTAGAATGTTGGTTCTTTTCTTTCTTGAAAGTGAGGTAAAAAATATATGTTTTTAATATTTACACATTTAATAGAAACTGGAATTTACCTGGTGTAATGAACCTGCTTTGGCAGGGGGGTTGGACTCGATGATTTCTGGAGGTCCCTTCCAACCCCTACAATTCTGTGATTCTGTGAATTTCAGTAGTGACATATCAACATAAGTTGTTATGTCAACAACATAATAAGTTGTTTGTTGTTTACTAATCTCTGAAATACCTTATGCTCTTTACACTGTCCCCCATCTCACTATCAGTTCAAGCAATTCAATCTAAAATCTTTTCCATGTTTTATTATGCTCTTGCATGTTTCCAAATAGTCACTACTGCACTGCTGGTAATGCAGTTGCTTGTAGGTGTCATTGCAACATAGAAATGTTATTGTTTGGCTGGGGTTGTTTCAGATAAGTTGACTGAAGATTGTACTTCTAGAGTTTATTCTTTGTAAAGTGAAATTATTTAAACCAGAAAAGAACAAAATTTATAATTAGAGTTATAGAGTGATTTGGAATGGAAAAGATCTGAGGGGCAATTTAGGTCAAAGTGGAGACAGGTATGAGATTGGGTGAGATTGCTCAGGGCTTTCTATAGCTGCATCTTGAGAACAGCCGAGGGTGGACAATGTAGGTATATGTACAATAACTTCAGTGTTCGATGACCCCATTCAGGACTGGATTGTGCCTGCAGTCTGTAGAGGTCAAATATATGCAAAGCATTAAGCTAGAAGTGCTAACAGTAATTTAGGTGAGGAATAGCATTTGAATGGAAGAAAACTGGAAAAGATGAACTGACAGGTACAGGATAATCTGAAGATACTGTGGGAGAAAGGATTAAAGATGATACATTTGATTCAGTAATTAACAGATGGCAAAGGAAGACTGAAAGAAAGGAATGACAAATGTTTCTCAACAGAATGTACATTTTGTATAAAAAGCAGAAGGAAAGGTACTTGATTCAAACCAGGTATTTGAATTGTTATTAGGGTTTGAAGAGACTTGACTGTGAGGATGAAAAGAAACAATCAGATACTGAAAGAAAGATAACATTTAGGTATAGTGTTAATATTAGCATTGTTTAAAATGACTTAGAAGCCAACAGGACTGGACGGAACATTGCTACCTGTGCGGACCTCCAATCTGCTATCTAAATGTATTCTACAGCTGAATCCTATAGCTTTTTCAAGAAGTAGACTGTGATAGATCATTCTGTTTTCTAGTGAAAATCCCAAGCTGATCGTGGAGAAATGATGAAGATTTGCTAGCTGATGTGTAATCACTCAGTGAAAGTCATTAGGTGAGATGGTCATATAGCCACAGGCATTAGACATGCCCATGGCATGGTGATGAGAAAGGCAGCATGTCCAACAAGATTACCTGTCAGAGGAGGAGCAATGTTTGTTCTGCAGATGCAATATAAGCACATGAGCTTATTTGCCTCCTTTGGACAAGTAAGTTCTTTCAGACTTTGATGTCAGGGTTGCTGTTCATGCGTATCCTGTTCCTCACTAGAAGCTGTATCTGTTGATAGAGCAGCTGTGCTGAATTATCATACTCAGTGTTCTTCATGCCTTAAATCTGAGTGTGTGTGGTGGGGAGTTACCTAGAATTATCTTCTCCATTCTTCTGAGGAGAGAAGAAACCCAGCTTCCTTCCCAAAGTCATGATCAACAGAGCACTCTCCCACATAAGCCATATGCTGCTTGCTGAGACCGCTTAGGTGTCAGGGCTAGCTTTTGCTATTGCTATTTTTGAGGAAGTTGTTACCAACAAATTAGAATATTCTGACTCCAATTTTAGTAGAGTTAGCAATCTGAAAGTTTCCACCAGCACAGAATGAGAAGATTTAAGCACTGCAGTCTGAGAGGGTGCATTCAGAAGGCTGTAAAGGTAATGCTGTGAGAAGGACCAGAAGGTTCTGTGATGTATAGAAAAGTACAAAGATGTATTGGCACCACCTTCCATAAGCTCTTAGATGTTCTTCAACTCAGCAGCCATTCCCATGTCTGGCAAACGAATCAGCTTTGCATGTTATGCTTGTTAATTTTTGATGGTGGCTACAGATTGATTTATAAATAAGTGGAAGTCTGTGGATTGCTTTCTCAGTTAAGAACAGTTGTGGCTATTCATACAGAACCATTTTTTGCAATTAAACATAAGTTAACATTAATTCTATATCCCCTGAGTTCATTAGGATTTCCACTACTTATTTCTGAGAGATGAGGATTAGCCATTGTAGAGCTTATTTCAAAATTTAAGTGAATGTAATGCTAACAAAAAAGTGTCTTATTTCAGATTTACTATATTCTCCTAAACTTGTAATTGTTCTGTCTCAATTATCGATGTATTGTTGAACTGTGTGGTTAAACCAGCCTTGTTCAGCAAGACCAAGAGCTGGGTCCTGCACTTTGGCCGCAACCCCAGGCAGTGCAGCAGGGTTGGGGCAGATGGGTTTGAAGACTTTGTGGAAGACATGACCTGGGGGTGTTGGTCACCGCTCAGCCAGACGTGAGCCAGCAGTGAGCCAGCAGTGTGCACAGGTGGCTGAGGACACAAGTAGCATTCTGGCTTGTATAAGAAATATTACAGCCAGCAAGCACAGGGAAGTGATCCTCCCCTGTACTCGCACTGCTGAGGCCACACCTTGAGTGCTGTGTTCTGTTTTGAGCCCCTTACTGCAAGAGGGACATTGAGGCCCTGGGCAACAGAGCTGTGAGGGGGGTCAGGGTGGAGAAGAGGAGGCTCAGGGGAGACCGTATCACTCTCTCTAAAACTCCCTGAAAGGAGGTTGTAGTGAGGTGGGGTTGGCCTCTTCTCCCTTGTAATTCAATAGGACTAGAGGGAATGGCCTCAAGTTGTGCCAGAGAAGATTCAGGTAGAATGTTAGGAAATATTCTTCTCTGAGAGAGCAGTCGGGCTGGTACAGGCTGCCCAGGGAGGTGGTGGAATCACTGTCCATGGACATTTCAGAAAACCTGTAGATGTGGTGCTAGGGGACATGGTTTAGTGGGAAATACTGGTGGTAGGTGGATGGTGGGACTAGATGATCTTGGAGGTCTTTTCCAACCTTGGTGATTTCATTCTATGATTGTGTATTCCTACTTCAGCAATTAGTTGTAATATGAACACCACTGCACACATTTCCATTCTGTTATTGTTTGTCCCACTCGTTGTAATACTGAATGTTATATTAAAGTGAAAAATATTTCCATATCCATGTTCTGCACTGAAAAATAAATGCCTGTTCAGAAAGAATGTATTAGAACCTCCTCCTAGTATTGTCTCACCGTCTCTTCTTATAGCACAGTAGGAATGTGAGAAAATGGAAATTTTTCACAAACAAGCTGCTTACTGAAAGACAAGCTCCATTTGTTGTTATCCATTTTCCAATAAGGCATATGCCCACTGCCATACAGTTGTATCATTCAGATGAAAGAAAGCCTTCCAGAGCTAGTTTAAAACTGAATTTTCTTTCCCACTTATTTACAAACACGTGCCCATGGACGTTATCCATGCCGTAATGACTGTGACAGCTGAGGAACAACTGCTCGTACCTGAACGCTGTACTGACCAGTGCTTCTGATTTTGTAGTTGCATGAACACGCAGCCTATTTGGTGGACAGTTTGTGGGAGAGCTCTCAAGAACTGTTGAAAGATTGGGAATGCATGACAGAATTGCTCTTGGAGGAGCCAGTCCAAGGAGAGGAAGGTATTTGTTTAACCTCTCTACTGTACTGATATTGCACTTTATTGCTTGTTATGACTTAAAAAGGTGTTTCACTATGGCAGATAGAAGTGCTTATGTTGTGATTTGTTTCGAAAGCATATTTGAGAAAGTGCAACTTAGATTTTAATCCACTTCTAATGCATCCTGCTTCAAAAGGAGAAGTTTTATATTGCGTTTTTCAACTCATGAAGTCTGCTGTAGTGTTGTTGCTTTATATTAAAGGCTAAGATTCTTGTTTGAGCATTTAAATGACTAGTGTATACGTGAACATTTAAGTAAATTAAGTAACTAACACAGTTTTGAGTAAACAAAAACTTCAGGTGGTATTAAATATGGAGCTTTTGCGGACAATTTTAAACCCTCTTGAATTATTAAAAGAAATTAATTGAGTGAATTTTTTCACCATTAATTCTGTATCTCCTTTGTCAGGTAGCCAAGGAGATGGGTGGCAAAGATTTCCTAATGATAATGTCATTAAAGATCTTTATAATATTTCAGGAGTCTTCTCTATAAACCTTCACAGCAGTTAAGGTGTCAGAAATAACAGTGTTCTCTCACTGCTTCATTGCACAGTGCACCAGTCATCTCTGTGTTTCACCTCAACTTCTGGTATTTCCCTGTTACACTTGTGTACCTTTTATGTATATGGTGATTTCCTTAGGAAAGCAGCTGGCACTTTGGTTCATTTAGGTTTCTATGTAGTCTAGTCAGGTGTGGCCCTTGAGATGTGATCAAAAGTACTTAATTCTGCGTGATGGTGAGAGTATTTTATAAATGTTCTCCATGCCACTCAGAATTTTGTAGATCTTTGTTAATAATCCCCTTCATCATTTTTCCAGACTGCCTTTCTCTGGACTTAACTTCAGTTCTGCCATATTCAACTTGAGGTCGCTGAGAGTGAGCAAGCAAGCCTTGGTTTCATAAACTGAACAAAATGAGATGGTCTCTTTTGTTGTTTCTCCTGTGTTTTACAACTGCGTTCACACATTTGTTGTCTTTAAGACTTCTTTCAGAATCATCAAAGCTGATCTTTGTTGTTCATTTTTCTTCATAGCCATGTCTGACCGTCAGGAGAGTGCTCTGATTGAGCTGATGGTGTGTACAATCAGACAGGCTGCTGAAGCACACCCTCCAGTTGGCAGAGGCACTGGCAAAAGAGTAAGTAGGACCATAATGGGTAGCTCAGAACTGTTTGTGTTAATGTATTAACATGAAATACTTTTCTATAAAGCCATATTTTAACACTTCTAAGTGAAATTTTTATAATCGGTTTTTTGTATGCACCCTTTTAAGGAAAAGTAATAAATATGAACAAACTTGTGTAGTGGGAGATGTCCCTGCCAATAGCAATGGGGTTGGAATTAAATGATCATAAAGATCCCTTCCAACCGAAACCACTGTATGATTCTATATTCTGTTTATGAAAATGTCTTTTTTTTTTTTTAATTTGAGTTTTCTTTTGATGAATGGAGCTCTCTGCTCTGAGCAGGAGGGGTAGGACTGGCACTTTGCAAGGTTCCTTCCAGCTTGAATACTTCTGGGAATTTATATATCCATTCACTTTGACCTTTTTCCTTGAGTGCCCAGACATTTTTTAAATCTGAAATAATGTTTGTATTCCTATCTAGATACCTTTTTTATTTATTATACAATGACTGGTGGGGCTCTCCATCAGTTGAGTTCCATTCCTAAGGCTACGTATGCTCTTGTAAGCATTTCAGCATAAGTTACAAGGTCAGGGTGATGAATAGGCTTTAATTTTTATTCTCCGTAAATACAGCATTCAGTTTCAGCTTCCCAAACATATTTGTCTGATTTTCTTAGTCCTCCTCTTACTTAAGTTAGACTATAATGAAATAAACCACGTGGACTTCTGTTAGGTACCACCACTGGTACTTCTGTTAGGTTTTCCTCCGAATAGTCATAACTAATAAAGAAAGAGACAGATATTGTAGATGAAATCTAGAGACACACTAAGGACACCTTATTGCTAAACTAAAGACAGTTACTTAGCTGCTTAATTTTTATGTACTAGAAGTAGATGAGCTTCGTGTCCTAAAACTGCATCCCAGAGAATTTCCAGGAAGCCATCGATTTCAATGCTTTTTGTACCTTGCTTTATAAAGAATATTCTAAGAAATTCCTGATTTATTAAAACATCTCAGAGATGAGAGGGCAGTCTACAAAAGCACTTACTCAAATGTACATGTGTGTGTGAACATTTGCTGCATTAGTGAAAGCATTAAGCCATTACAGGAGGCAACTAATCTTTAAATTTGAAGACATTTTCACATTTGTATTCTGTCTTAGCAGTAAATAACGGTACTGTAAGCTGTCTGTAATTTTCTCTCTCAGATCTACATTTTAGTTGACTTAAATTCAGCAAAATGATTACTCCTAGATTTTTGCTGTCTATAGTTTTACAAAGGTAAAAAAAAAAACCCTTCGCTTTCTGAAGGATGGTCAAAGTAGCATCAAGATCATCCCCAGGGATCCAGCTTAATTAATAGCGCTGCTGAATAGCAATATTAGGTCATCAGAATATGACTGGGTTGTTACAGGGTGAAATCTGAGTTGCTAGCTGCATTTGCTTCTAGCTCATCAGAAGGCAATGCTTTTGCTGGCATGGGTGGTGCTGCTCTGTGAGTTTGTGCAGGAGCTGCAGTTGTTGGTACGTGTATCCATCTATCTGCTATGCACTGTGGGAGTGGTTTCTTACCCTGGTGACAAATCTTTAGGTGTTCCCCTTCATTTCCATGGCTGTTTTGGATGCTTAGCCAGTAGGCTGCCTGTCATCTAAGCGTGTTTTGTTTCCAGCTGTTCCTTCTCACATAGAGAGAGGTGCAGGTATGACATTTAGCTTTCCCTACTTTCCACTTAGATCATGAGTTTTGAGATGGTAACTGCAAGTTTCCTTTGACTTGTCAGCAGAGGTTTGTTGAGTTCTTATGATCTCATTAGCATATTTTCTGAACTGAAATGGGACTTTTAATCATGCACTCACACTCTTGTGAAATAGTTTTCACTTTGGCTTGTAACCCTTATTGAGCAGTTTGGCAGCTCGGATAAACGTAAGTCTTTAGATAATGTAAATATTTTATTACTTCTTTTCAAAAGTATTCTTCATGACCACTCTCCTTTTCTGAAGCCAAGAGGCCAGTTCTAAGCTTTTATGAAGCTATGATGATTACTATCTATATGTTGTTTTAAGGTGGTTTTGCTATGATAGTATTTGTAGCCTCAGTGTAAATGTCACTGAAATTTGTAAATGAATTCTGTGAGCTTGGATGCGTGTTCTCACTGAGAATTGCATTCCAGTTTAGAGATGAGGCCATTAAACTGCTAATGAGAATCACTGTTACAGTGTGGTTTGATTTTGGTTTTCTGAATTATAATTCAGTTCACCCTGAGGTCTTTCATTAACACGTTATTTAATGTGTGAAAGCTAGAGCTCAGCTTATTTGGAAACAATAGCAAAACTTCCACTGCCTTGGGTTATATTTAAAGTTCAGTTCTAAAACCATGTTGATGTGTAACAGCAGCATGAGGCTGGATGATATTTTCCTTTTCAATTGTGGTTTCTTAGGATGTGTGATCCTCCCATTTAATCGCTCTGCAGTCCAAATGTTTATGAATGCCTTTCCTTCCTCTTTTGATTATTAAAAATGTACTTGCATGAGTTTTTCTTGGAAATATCAACTTCAGAGAAATTAATGAATGCTATATGCAGATACTGTATTTACTGTAGTTATCTTTGATCGCTTGCAGGTCTTGACAGCAAAAGAAAGGAAAACACAGATAGATGACAGAAATAAATTGACTGAGCATTTCATTATTGCACTTCCTATGTTGCTATCAAAGGTATATTTTTCTATGAAAATAAATGGCTCACTGGTATTTACAACTGACTTTAAACTTTCCTTCTGTGGTGTGGATGTTCATTTTTATTTCACTGTTTTGTTTTGTTTCAATGATGTTCCAGTATTCCGCTGATGCAGAGAAGGTTGCGAATCTCCTGCAAATCCCTCAGTATTTTGATCTGGAAATCTATAGCACTGGCAGAATGGAAAAGGTATAGTAGTACACTGAGCAACAATGCTGGCTGCTTTCAAGTGTCTGGTCGCTGTTGTTGTACAGTACAGTGCCTTCATTTGGCATATTATAATATAACCTGGTGTATTTGACTTTTTTTTTTTTTTGAGATTTATTGTTTGACAAGGCAGGAGCTGAACTTCTTTTCTGTTCTATAGCATCTGGATGCCTTACTGAAACAAATAAAGTTTGTTGTGGAAAAGCATGTGGAATCGGATGTTCTTGAAGCCTGCAGCAAAACCTACAGCATACTCTGTAGTGAAGAATATACAATCCAGAACAGAGTTGACATAGCACACAGCCAACTTATTGATGAATTTGTGGATCGATTCAACCATTCTGTGGAGGATCTGCTGCAGGAGGTTTGTTTCCTTAAAATGAATTCAGTTAGACTGCCTAAAGCAAACTATGACAGACTGCAGAAAAACATTATTACTAAGTCATGAAATTATCCATGTGAAGAGGGAATGTAGCAGCAATTCTGTCATAATTATTTGGAGCCCTTTCTCCATGTAGAAAATCCCCATGACTAGCATTAAATCTGGTGCTGTAAAAATAAAACAAAGACTCTGGGACAATCTGAAAATTTAGTGTATGATTTAAACAATTCACACATGAAATGAATTTGATGAAAGCTGAGGAAAAAATGCAAGGAAAAGTGCATTTACATTAGTGCTTGGGGTAGTTCCAGTAGTCCCAGATGGATTTGCTGACCACAGAATGAAAATTGGATCATGTCTTGAATGGAAGAGAGGGTTTAGTCAAATATTTATCATGGCATATTGAAACAGCTCTGCAAAGAAGGCATTAAAGATACAAAACTGAAACCTGGAGATACCTGGGATTTACTTACAAGGTATGCATGCACAAGACAGAATGCATTGAATAAGGACTGAAATCTGGTTTATTTTTTCTTGTTTTATGTAAATTTAACTTTGTGTAGCACCACTTAATTTGTTGTAATTCTCTTGATTTTTAAAAGCAACTTAGGGTCTGCACTTCTGCACTTCATAAATCGTGCGTCGTGGCAGATGCACTTACTTGGGATGTACTTTTATAGAAAGTTAAGCTACAGGCTCTGATTTAGAGCTGTGTATTAAATAAACCAAATGTTTTTCTGTCTTTAAGTCATATGGCACGTGCATACTGGCTGATCGTTAAAGAGTAAATCAAAACAGTAAATTTTTATTTGCAGAGTAAATAAAAATAAAAATATATGTACAACACTGAGAAAGATGTGAAGACAAAAATGAGAGTAATTGAGAGAGAAAAAATCTTTGGCTGAATGATTCATTTCAGAATAGTTGATTTTAGTTAAGTTTATTTCCTCATTTCAGAGAGATTTATTTATTTGCAAATTTGTATGCTTTTATTCAATCAAGTACAACATTGTTTTATGGCTTCCCACTGGGTTGATCATGAGAAACATTGACTGGCACTTGCATCTAAAAGCTGGGAGATGATTTAATTGTTGGCCTATAGCTGGAAAGCAATTGATTGATCAAAACAAAATGGAGAAGAATAGCTCTAAGTGGATTTACTTTCAGAAAATTGCTGGAAAAATTAAGTTTCAGAAGCACCTTAATTCCACTTGATTTTCTATTTAACATTGGAATAACGATATTTCAAAATGTCAACCTTAAACACAAATAACAGAAGAGAAAACCTTCCACCCAGTGCTGAATGCATGTTGTTCTATGCAGCATGGTTGTCACGCAGTATAGTGAGCAGCAATGAAGGATAAGAAAACAAAGGAATTTTCCCACTGCTCACTTGAAAATACTTGCTGTTGACATCTGCAGACAAACATTTGGCTGGGTTCTCGTGGCGCATTCTTTAGCTTGTGGTTAAACTGCAGTTCATTCCTTTCTGTAAAGTAGGCTTTTTATCTTGGAAATGGTTTCTATTACTGGAAAATACTTGCTTGAGTATTAATGTTGTAATACTGCTACGTACTTTTGGATGATCTTGCTGATTTTCTAATGTTATGCAGTAGTTATTTAAATATTACTATAGAATGGAGATAAAACTCATTGTAAAATTTGGACCCTGTTTTGTGGTCAACACAAAACCTAAAAGAAATCTGTTCCTTCCCTTTCAGTAATGCTCTCTCAGTTGGTTTGCTGAACTGCCTTCATGGATTTTCTTTCATTTTCAGGGAGAAGAAGCTGATGATGACGACATATACAACGTGCTCTCCACATTGAAGAGATTAACCTCTTTTCACAAGTATGTGTCTTTTCCCTTGAAAATTTATGGTCACTTCAACAAGTATCAGTTGAGATATGGTGCTAAGAAATGAGAACACTTACGGTCTAAAATAAGAAACAGAGTTTGATGAATAACTGGTGGCCCTTCTCAGTGCCATCCAAACTGCCCTTGGATTCATCAGTGTTATTGGTTAGTTAATGACTATTTTACAGATTTAATTTGCAAATGGCATAGCCTCCTTTGCACTAAATGAGTGTTTTACTACAGAAGTCGTACTCTCCTGCATGACTTACGAAGTTTTAACTGTCTGAGTTGTAGTGCAGGGTGAACGAGACCGCTGAACCAGCCAGCATCTTCCCAGGGTTCTGCTGCTCTCAGACATATTGGCACCCTAATGACTTGTAGAGAAACCTGGAAAACTTGACTTCAGTTGTCTGGGTTTTGCTGTATAGCAACAAAGACCTAATCTTCCCCATGTTACCAGCTATAGGAAGTAGTTGCTTCTGGTCAGTGTGCAGGAAAACTTTGTGTGCAGATGACTGAGAGCCAGATGTAATTTCTTCCTTATCACAGTGTAAGAGAGCATCTTGCTTCTGCCACATCTTTTACACTAGTGTATTTGGATTTGCAGTTCTGGTTCTCTTTCCTTTCTGTGCTTAGTATTCAGCTGTCCTGAATCCTGTATTGAATCACTGTATGAGATGATTCGGAAATATCTGCTCTTCGTTTCCATTCAACAGGAGTCCTACAGTGATCATTAAATCGTTACTAATTTGTATAGTGCAGCAGGCTGATGTGCAAATTAGGTTTTTGGTCTCCCTGGTAACACAGCAGAGCCACTTCTGCCATCCCTGAGAGGACTGGTGAAAGCTGTAGTTCACGCTGAAGAGAACAACACAAATCTTAAGCTTTTTGTCAAAGCTTCAGTTATGAGGCTAAGATCTTTAATTCAGAACTTGCATTGAGTTTTCTCACCTTGATAGCTCTTGCCTGATACTGTCGTTATCCATCATCAGCTAACGACTGATGCCTTTCAGGTCTTGTAAAACTGCACTGATAAAGCAAAACATTTGCTGAGGATTTGAATAGAAACAAGTCCCTCTCTTCTTCCAGTGAGAGAAATGTACCTTTTGTTTCCTTTGTTGTTGCTGCTTCTTCATATCCTGGGAGGAAGAAACCCAGCAAGCGGGAAAAACCATGACAGGGATTATCAGAAAAGCTTTCCAGACCAAAAAAAGCTTCTGTACCAAGATTTCCCAAGTCTGAGTTAATCCTCTTTCTTAGAGGGTCACTTTATTGTGCATTTTCATGTAGGAATGAATAAGCTTAAAAAGCTTAGAAGATCAGAGGAGATGTTCAGTAGATCACACTTGCTGCCCAATTTTCTTCCCCTTAAACTAATACAAATCAAGTTTGTTAGTGAAGTTAATCACAGTACTAGAAATCGTCTGCATGCTGGAACAGTGAAACATGCAATGGGAGATGGATGTTTTGGGAAGGCTGGAAAGCTACTTGATGAAAGGCTTGCAGCACGCTTTTTAATTGATAGTTTTCCATCAAGGAAGGATATTAGCATTTCAGTACAAATAAAGTTTGTCATTACAATGTTCCCTTTCAAGTTTTCAAAATGGAATAATAAACTTTTGAGGATTTCTGAATAGGACACCTAGGGTAAATATCTAAGTCTCTTTTCTTTGCCAGGGTCTCACTGATGTTCAAGGCATTTCTTTCTGTGCTTTCATGTGTAAGGACACAATCTTCCCATTCCAACTCTGGCTTAATTCAGCTGAGCTTTCACACTTCATACGTGAGTGCTGTAGCAATTTTTATATCAGCATTTGTTACTGAATTGCTCCAGGTAATTCCACACAAGATACATGAAACTGAGACATCAGCTCCATTCCTCTGGGGGTGCTCATTTCATGCTGTCCTCTGTATAGAACACTGGTTCACATTTAGAAATAAGGATTGTGGGTATCACTGCCCAGTACTCCTCAAATATAATACAGAATTTGATTCCTTCCTGCCCCATGCAGACTTAATAAAATATGCCAGGCAATGACTGTATTAACTTTCCTGTAGTTGAACTATATGTCATATCAGATTCCTTCAGACTACATTATTCAGAATTTCATTATCTCTAGAAAGAGAAGAAATGATTGACTTCTTAATTCTCAGTTAGAGAAGTTAGACTGCATCTTGCAGAGCTGTTGGTAACCCAAGGTATTGCTGCTTTTGCTTTGTGCTGCTCTAAAAAGAGTGAGGTCTGAGGGTGGACAGATCACATTACCTAACAGGAATTTTTGTAGGCTGTTTCTTTCCACACTTTCGGAAACACTGTGGAAATGATTCCTTCACTTCATCTGACTACTTTTCTACTCACTTCATCTACTACTTTCTAGTAGAAATATGTCCCAGTAGGCAGTGCTATCATAGAGATGGAAAGAAACCTCCTTTCAAGTGTTGGCCCTTGCTTTCTGTACTCCACAAAGATGAAGGTAGAGAAAAAGCTGCGTCATATGACTTTTCATTCTTGGAGTCTCTATGTTGCATGGTCTGAACCTCTGTGAAGGATGGGGTTGTGTCCACTGTATCTTCTTTGCTATAGTTTTAATTTCTGAATAGTTCAAAACAGAGAAAAATGAATTAGAATATACCTAAATTTAACGTGGAAGCTTTTCTCAAAGGAAGTTTGCAGTGATAATCTCTATTAGCTAGTACTTTTCAGCTTTGGAAGCTGGAAAGCTCCACCAGAGGACAGTTGTAAGGCCAGGCTCTGAGCAAACAGCTGAGGTGCCCCCAGCTGTCAAGGCAATGAGGGGTGCTTGCTGCCACCGGTCCCTGACATGAAGGGCTCTGCAATAGGAAGGCAGACACGGCACCAGTTTTTCTTTCATGTTCTCTGTAGAATAATCTATTCAGATACCTGCCTCTGCAGACCAAGGAGATTTTACTGCTTTAATTACAATATTGTAATTAAGGAGGTACCTCTCCACTTTACAAGCAGCCTTGTGAGTTGCTGAAGCAGAATTGTTGTGCTTAATATCACTAGTAAGAGGCAGTTCCCTGACAGTCTATGATTTGTCCATAAAACATTTTGTTTCCTTACTTCCAAGACACTCCAAAATCTAGGTGGGGAGTATATTTTCGCTCTTTCATTTTTTCTGGGGGAAGGTGCTGTTTTGCTTTGTTTTAGGTTTTCCTATTGTTTTCCTTCTACTCGTGGATCTTAAGTAGAAATTAAGATACACCTTGGCTTAATGGCACAACTCTAGCGTGTGTACTGGGTGTACTTCATTTATTCTCAGTTGAAAGACATAAGTGTTAGGAACTTTTTATCAGAGAGATTTTCTGTGTTGTGGGACCAACACAGTCCAGACTGGGAAAGGATTTCATGCTTGGGTTCTCAGCAGGATCTTAAAGCTCCTGGTTCAGCTTCTGTTCATCTCAGAACCAGGGAAATATTCTTTCTCACTGAGCAAGGTAGTTAATTATTTAAACAAAGTCAGGCAGCTCCAACACGGGGTGAAAGCAGTGGATAGGGAAAGTGAGCATATCTTAGTGATCAAAGTACTGGGATGAAAGGGAGACAGATGGATGAGGCTGCTTTATCTACTTTAGACTTTCCGGTTCAGTCAGAGCATCCCTTCTTCAAGGTGAGTTATCAACCCTCTTTGAAAGGGTAGATAACTGCAGGACAAGGCGAAATGGTTTTAAGTTGAGGGAGGGAAGATTTAGGTTGGATGTCAGGGCAAAAGTTCTTTACAGAGAGAGTGGTGAGGTGCTGGAACAGCTGCCCAGAGAGGCTGTGGATGCCTCATCCATCCCTGGAGGTGTTCAAGGCCAGGCTGGATGGGGCCCAGGGCAGCCTGGGCTGGTATGAAATGTGGAGGTTGGTGGCCCTGCATGTGGCAGGGGGTTGGAGATTCATGGTCCTTGAGGTTCCTTCCAACCCTGGCCATTCTGTGATTCTGTATTTTAATAATCAAGTTGTCTTTTTATTCTTTTGAGGGGATTGCATTTTATAAACATTTTACAGATGGTTTCAAATTTTCTGTTTCTCTCTTACTGCAAAATCTAAATCTGTTGTGAAAAATAATTCTTCAGGTTACTGTATGTTTCTTTTAGTATTTCTCAGTTTTTTACTGTGAACCTACAACACCAGCTGTTGAGGTGTGTAAGACTAAAACTTCTGTTGCTAATCTCATCTGTATTTCTCTTCCCAGCAAATCAGGTTGGTACAACTGAAATATGAAACGCTGAATGGAAGGAATGGTTAACACGACCTCAGTCTTGTTTACATGTATATTGCTCTTGGTTTGGATATTTCAGGATGTTCAGTATTTAGTGATAACGTATGCAGTTATTTGCCAAATGATAAGACAGAAGATTATGTAGCTATTGTGCAATCAGTCATTCAGTATAACTGCAGTTTGGCCACAGTTTGTGCTGCCATGCCTGAGAAGTGCCTTCTGAAATCCTGCCAATGTTTAGAACACAACAGGAAAAATGACTTAGAGGGCAACACTGAGAAGGAGCCTACAGCTACTCTTAAATAACATTTAAAGCTGCATGGTATGCATCAAGTTTATCTCCTGCCGACAGAAATCCAATGTGGCAAACATTTTCTTTACCTCTATCATCTAAAAGCCTAACATCTGGTTCTAACATGGTGTGAACTAATTATGCAGCTGCCTTGTCAGCATGCTGTATTGTCTCTGCTTTGCAAAAATACCAGACTGCTCGCTGAGCTCCCAGGTCAGACTATATTGCTGCTGCAAGGTGGAGTTTCGAGGAACACAACTAATCTCTCTCTCTTTGTTATGTCTCGTTCTAGTGCTCATGATCTCACAAAATGGGATCTGTTCAGTAACTGCTACAGATTACTAAGAACTGGAATTGAACATGGAGCTATGCCAGAACAGGTACTGCTAGCAACACCTACATTGCATCGTCTGGGGACTCAGTGTTTACAGGAGTTTCGTAATGGAGATAGGCATCAGTTATTTAGGAAAGTCATGGGACCTTAAATGAAATTTTTCTTGTAGTTAAACATTTTTCAGGGGGAAGAAAATCTGATCTTGTTTCTTTTTTACTCAGTGTGATTTTGAGCTACTTGCTTCACCTTTCTCATTTTAAAGCAAGGAGTAACTCGTGTCCTGTGATAAGCACTGCGTAAATCATGATTTTTACACAGGAGCCCATCATTCGTAAACCTTGGCTGTGATTTGAATTATTGCAGTCTTTGTGCACTGAAGGTAAGATGAGTGCTTATGAAAACTGGAAAAACACTCAGCAAGGATGCTGGCCAACCTTTCCAGTGAGGTTCTTTCAGTAGATATGATGTGGACAACTGTTTTCTAAGCGTTCTTAATAAGGGGACCACTGAGCACAGGAATGTTCCAGATTCTCTCAGAATGCTATTTCAGCTTAAACTGCAGACTGCCTGCTGTAGTATTTAAGCTATATTCTCATTTCTCTTGGAAGCCAGCTGTTAGTTAGAAAGAAAATCATGCAACTCTGATCTATTTTAGAAGCCTTTTTTAGAAAGGAAGTGTTGGGAGGTCTGAGGCTTTTCTCACAGCCAAGTTTGGTGAAAGTAGATGGAGCCATAATAGAGACTGACTTCTGTATCCCAACTTATTGCCACATCCCAGATTACTTCTCTGAGGTGTTAGGAAAAAGATTCTGAAACCTTAACTCTCCTCAATATGAAAGTATGGTCTTTCCTCAGACCCCTAGAAGTTTGCTGAATAGGAATACTTTGGCCCCTTTAGTAATATCCTTCAGAAAAGTAATCTGTGAAGCAGCTAAGGGCTGTTAGTTGATTTGCTGTGCACAGAAGCACAAACCATTCAAAGTACCTCCTGAACGTGCTGAAAAGGTTTTGGAATTTTAGCACCTATTACTGAAAATTTAAGAAATTGTACTGAAATTTTAAGAAGACATTGATGCTTTTGTGGGCATCACAAACACATGTCCTGTGTTGTCCATGATTATTTTCTCCTCTTTTTTTAATTGGACTACATGCTCTAGACTGTATTATTCATGCAGTAAGATTTAGAGGTACTTAAACAAATGTTTTTGAACTGGGGTATGCAGGCGTTGTACTTCTGTTGTGCTGTTGTTACACCCATTACTGTGCTCTAATGCATGATTTTCTCTTCTGCTTTGTTTCCCAGCTGACCACAGTAAATTTTCCGTTCATAATGCATAATGTTTCTTATTGCACTAAGCTGAACAAGGAAAATGATGTCCACAGAAACAGAAAATACTTCCTTAGAGCTGCTCTTTTTTTTTCTGTCCCCAAAATATGCTATGTGTTTTATATACAGTTTGTTATTTGCAGCATGCTTAGACTCTTTGTGTTGCCTGTGTTACAGATAGTTGTTCAGGCACTGCAGTGTTCGCATTACTCTATTCTCTGGCAGCTGGTGAAAATCACTGAAGGTTCCCCTTCCAAAGTAAGTAGACAATTGATCACATGAATTTTGCTGAAACAGAACTTACCTTAACAGGCATTAGACCTGATGCTCTGCAACTCCACACAGTGTACAGTCTTTTTATACCACTGTGAAGCTGGTAGAAAATGTTTGCATTTTGACTTGCTTAGTATTTTAAGATCTATTTAGTATCATACATATGTCTGAATAAACTGTGTGAATAGCAGAAGCTTGTCTTTATCAGTACTTGATACTAGTTGACTTCTATATTTTTATTGCTGAATGTATTTAATTTGAATATAAGAGCTAGTATGAGCAGATAAGTAAAATTAACAGTGCTTATCTAATAATTGCAAGCAATACCAGTGGTTTGTACATCACATACAGCTTAATATTTATGTACGTTTACCTTGTTTAGCCTTTAGGTGCATCTTTCATGTTGCTAAATATAGGGTTTCTAGCAGTGACAGTTACTAATAAAAAGCAAATGCATGCAGGTGTAATGCAGTAAAGACAATATTACGTGTAATTTGATCATTATATTTAGTATTTTCAGAACCTTTCCATAGCAATTTCTCAGTTAGAGGCCACTATCTGATCTTTTAGGACATTTTCAGAAGTTACACACCAAATTGAAGTATGAAATCTATAGTAATAGGTGTTATTTTCCTGCCCATGGCAGAAACAAGTTAAAGAGAAATCCACAAGCCTGATGTTTGAAACATATTTTTATGTATGTTTTTTTTCTATCAAACATTTAATTTTCATTTGTTGACGGTGAAAATAAATCCAGATGCAGTTTACCTGTCCATTAAGTCATTATGAGATCATTTTGCCCATGGCTGCTTGGCATGATTTAGGCTTATGAGTTAGCAGGCATTAAAGGGAATCACTTTGGAAGTAAGATGTATGGGAAGACAAAGACTTTAATAGGAAACACATTAGAATGAGGGATGGTGTGTTTCATTAGCATTTTTTAGTTATCTAGGCTGTTAACATTTCTGACACAGTATTTTAATGTGCAGGTCCATTCAGCTTTCTAGTCATACTTTGCTGTAGCTGCAGTAATCTAAGGACACATAAAGGTGATGCTTTGTAGGCTGAAGCAGTATCTTTAGCAGACCAGTGATAATAGCTGTAAAAATTAGATAGGATTTTGGGTACGTAAGCCCTTCAAGTTTGAAATAACAGAAGATCACAGTACAAAGTGGGAACATTTTCATGGTTTCTGTATGGATACAGATCGTGTAAGTTGTCTCTAAAAGAAAAGAGGAGGGTCTCTGATACCTACTAGGAGGGTGGGAGCAAGGGAAGGAGAGGTGACAGGACAGCTATTAGGAGGGAAGAGAAGGCAGAGATGAAAAGGCTAGTGGGGAGAAACCTGTAATTGTTGGAAAAATGAGAAATTCATGATAGGCTATAAAACTAATCTAAGTCCTTCTTTGTTTTGTACCGAGCAGTTTTATGAATTTTTATTACAAGGCTCATGTTTAGAAGACTTTGTTGTTGTTGTTGTTAAGATTTCTCTTGAGCATCCAGACTGAGAGATCGGAGGTAGAGATTGATTTATAAGAAATGTTCATCCATGACTAGCTGGATCATTGGTGTGAACTCATACTCACAAATACTAGTTAGTCTGTTGCTCTTTCAAAGTGAGTTATTGGAGCAGAGCTCAAAATTGAAAATAATTTTGTTAATTATTTTGTTCCAGGGTCAGGCTGTACATGGATGGGGGGGGCACTGAGCAACCTGGTCTAGTGGGAGGTGTCCCTGCCTCTAGTGGGAGGTGTCGGGGGATTGGAACTAGGTGATCTTTAAGGTCCCTTCCAACCCAAACCATTCTGTGATTCTCTGACAACCAGGGAGATACAACTGAGAACAGAATCTTTTGTAGGATGAAGTCGTTATTTATCTGGTATTCAGATGGTTCTTCCAGACACGCAGTCTCTCTCCCAAAAGGAATGTCCTGTTTTGATCACTGTGATGGGCATTGTGCCTAAGCCTATGGCACACTGCCTTCTGAGGGACGTTCTGTGTTACAGCTGCTGAGCATGTTTTGGATTCTGGCTGGCTATACGAGGCTAGGTGTGCTAGTCTGTAGGCTTTGTATGTGTGGCAGGGAAAACCTCATAACTCTTCTAATCTAAATCAAATTAGGATTGTGGTAGCTTATTGATTCATTAAAGGCGCATAATTAACATGCGGTCAATTAAATTCGTCTCCAGGATCAGTATAACCAATACAGCAGGTAAACCACAACACTAGACACTTGAGAAATGCTTCTGAACACAGAAATAGTCCTTCTGTAACTATTTGCAATTGATTTTTAATCCCCTCCCCAACACATGCACATGTTTAGACATGTACAGTCGCTCCCATAGAAAGAGGGCGGTACAAGTCCACTGCCTTTCTTTTGAGAGCTTGAGATCCTCTTCTTAAGCATGGCCCCTGTTGGACAGAAGGGTTCTCCAGCTTTATGTGTATCCATGCTACTTGCTGCAGTCTGTTAAACATTCACGTGCCATGCAAAGCATCTGCAGAGTCATCTATACGCACTGGAGGTGTGGGTCCTTTGTGTTGCACCCCAGGCTGAGTGAGATTCCTTCAGCTGAGTGCAGGCTGCTCAAGGCTGCTGGAAGGGAGGGTGCACGACCAGCCTGGGAGCATGGTGAGAGGGAGAAGGAATGACATCTATTGAAATCAGTCACATCCGTTGGGATCGTTGTGGTGTCTAAAATCTTACAGGAAACATTGATGAGTAAAAGGAAGGTTGCAGTGGGTGAGGATAACGGGCACAAAGCTTGAAGCATCCTCAGCCCAGTACTCTAATCACTGGCCTTGCCCTTGTGGAGCTCAGAGGAGGCTGAGGCCATGACTGGGGGCTGTTGCTAAGCAGAGCAGTGCTCTTTGTGGTAGGCAGCATGGCACAGAGGAGAAGAGATTTATACTGTGTTGTTTGCAGGAAGTTTGTGATGTCCTAGAGAAAAAGTATTCTTCACATGAAAAGGGGACTTAAGGTGGTTTCAAAGGAAAATCAGTTGAAAATGTATAGATCTTGGGAAACAAGTATTGGGAAGTATTAGGTTATACAGCTGTTTTTTCCATCTAGATTTCTGCATGCATTCAACAAACCAGGTGCCTGGGACCATTGAGTTGTGCACTGTACATATATGTAGAGGAAAAAGAAATATCTGCAGAAGAATAGCATCCAAAGTCTTACAACAGTTTAAAAAAAAAAGCAAGAATAGAACAAGCATTCAGAGGCAAGTCAAAAGTGAAAGAGTTCTGAATGAGCTGCAGCCAGACCAGCCAAATGCAGAGCTATTGCTAAGTGATTAGTAGGCAGATGAATTAGTAGAGAGGATTTTAAAAGGATTTAAAGAACACAGTGACTTGGAGGCTTTTCATATTACTGTGAGCACAAAGAAAGAAAGCACAAAATGCTGAAGTGGCAGTGGGTGCAAAAGGTTGGGTTGTGTTCTGCAGAGGAGCTGAATGCTAACTGCTCCTGAACATATTAAAGTTTGTTAAAGAGTTGGGTTTGGAAGAGGTAAGTTAATGCTTCGGAGAAGTAGTTTAGAGGAAAGAAAATAAGAATAAAAACAATAACTAGCAAAACTACAGCATTTCTCATTGACTTCAATGGTGGGAAAAAACCTTCAATTTTAGGCTAGAAAATAACTGAACAATTTTAGATAAGTCTTGCAAACAGTTGTTCAGTTACAGTTGGTGCAAAATCAGTTCAAGGCGTAGTTTTTAGTGGCTCATTCTCGTTCCAAGTACTGGTTACATTTTAAGGTATTAGTTGTATAGCTCAAGAGTGAGTTATTTTTATCGTGCATCTCTTCAGTAATCCAGTGTGACTTCATGATTTTAGCCTAGCAACCAAAAGGACAGTACATATTTTATGCCAGCTTTTCTACTGAAGCCAGCATCTCTTGTAATCACACCTCGAGAACCTTGGCTGTGTGCCTTAGAATGGTAAAAGACTTGAAAATATAATTTGTTTTCTTCCCTACCATTTTCTGTTTAAAAAAAACAAATCAACAACCACATTATCACTCTACAGCAGTCTGGGGATTTCTCCAATTTTAGAAAGTTCCAGATGGCTTTGTTGCACTGTTCAGCAAGGCTTTCTTTTGATGTCTGTACTTCTGGAATGGAATGTTTATTGAGCTATCAAGAGAGGGTAATAAATAGTGTATGCTAGGTGTTATTCAGACTGCGACAGAAAGAAAAATGGGAGACATTCAATTTCTAAATTTTTTTTTTTTTGTAGGTTTCAGTTTCCCTTTTCAATCATTAGCATTTAAATGGAAGGTATTATGTTAGAAAGTAGTTGCTGTAGATAGAAATGAAAGTGATTGTAATACTTAAAAGTATAAGCCAGATGATCACATCACAGCAAATTGATAAGCGTGCTGTCAGTGCTAGGTAAACTCCTGGGAGGGCTGATGGAAAACAGTCAGTAGAAGGCTGAACAAATATGGCCAACAAAAAAGACTAGATGGATCAAATAAACTTGAGGAAGTTGCATTTTTGACTGTTGAAGACACTATTTTGTAATACCAATTTCTGTAAGGCATTGATATCACATTGCAGTGCAGCTGAATGTGTGTTTTTAATGTAATTCATGTTCAGTAGCTAAGAAGTAGTTTTAATATATTAGATGAAAATTGAAATTGGGAAATCATCCCGATGTAATAGCTTCAGAGGCAGCCAAATAGAAGGCATGCCTGGGAACAAGAAGGCTGATCACTAGAGATTTATCACTTAGAAGAGACCAGAGGTACCTTGTAGGTCATGTAATGGTAGTGTAATGCAGTTGCAGAAAGGGATTTTTGCCTATATTAAGAGAGAAAAATGATTAGTAGTAAAAAAGTGGTGTACCTTTTAGATCTTTAGAGACTAGATCAGAAAATCGCTCTTACTCTATTGAAAATCAAGAGGTTCAGAGATCTAGGAACCTGTGGGCTGCTTAGGTGTGTTTGCATACCTGCCTTCTGTTGTGAATTCAGTACAGGAAGAACATACGGACCACAAAAAGGCTTTTCAGTAAACAAGGAATAATCAGATCTTGCGATAGGATGCAATAAAAGAAGCTAAAACTAGAAATGAGACACATGGACTGAAGAGACGGTGAAATCAGAAGTCAGAATTTTGGCAGGGAAAATGCTGCAGTACATGGGATCTTTAGATTTTGTTTGGATGTTCTGTAGGACATGTCTTCTATCTGAAAGCTGATACAGGCAGATACCAAAATGTCAGCAGTAGTGACAGGCCAGCAGTCTCAGTGAGAATTAATGGCTGTAATTTAGATCCCTTCTTTACATGAAATCTCTGTGAAAGCAGGGAGGTAAAAGATCTTTGAAGCAGCTGCAGATACACATCAGAAATGCTGCCAGACAGGTGGCAGACAGGGCAGGAGCTTTGCTGGTGTCACTGAGCAATGCAGAGGTAGCAGAATCTGTCAGTCGGTGCTGACAAAGCTGGTCCTCTTTGACAGAACTTGAGGCTAATGTAAGTCCTGATGGTTTGTGGTTCCTGTTTTCCTCTCTGTGTTGAATTTGCTCCTAATGTGAACAGAGTAACTATTTAAATAGGTGCCAAGTTATGTGTATTTTCATATTTATTTTTTCTACCCACAGATCCTCCTTTCTCTAGATCAACAAACCTCCTTTCTTCTTCCCCATGTCATTAAATTTCTGCCATGTGCCTTCACGTTTCCCATGTCTGCAGGCAGTTAGGATAACGTTCTTGTTGCATTTGAGATTGCTCATTGGTGGTTTTGTTCATGTTGATTTATCTACATACAGAATGACTTTTAAACCACCAGGTGGGCCGACCTCGATGTATTGATCTTTTTCTTCTAAAACATTTATAATTTACATCCAGTATAAAATGCAGATAATTGTAACCCAGAGATGTATTGTTTTATTATGAGTATTTATTGCAGGGAAACCTTGTGCCATTCCTCTGAAGACTAATGACTTGTTTTACTATGCATGCATTTACATGGCCTCTCTTTGTTTTACTAGCTCATGGGATTGAACGTGTGAAATTATCACCATCTTCTTATGCTTTTTTCTTAGCAACCTTTTATTAATACTTACATATCATCTCTTTTTAATATTTATTCTAGGAGGACTTGCTGGTATTGAGGAAAACTGTGAAATCCTTTCTGGCTGTCTGCCAGCAGTGTCTATCAAATGTCAACACCCCAGTTAAAGAACAGGTAAAGGAAGTGTCTGTCACGTGCTCTTACTGAAGTGTGAATGCTAACAACTGTAGTAAAACTCAAGATGACACTGCAACAAACTTAGAAGGCACAGATGGTTTTCCTTCAAGTAAAACTGACCCAACACTCAGTGAAAAGAACTATTGAAATCACCTTCAAAGTACGGCTAATACCAAACTCATTTCAGATGTCACAATAGATGCTTAGGCCCACGTTCAGCTGTCTTAACTGTGGGTGTCTAACTGAACCACCTAAAATTAAAGTCCACTCCTTTTCTTAACTGGTGTATTAGCAGATGTAAGCAGGCACTTTTAGAGGGTGATTCAGACCTCAGATTGGCTCAATCTGTGTATATTTCTGGATTTTTTTTTTTTTCCTCCCTTGCATTGAGTATTGGGGAATCTAGAGCAACTGCCTTCCTACACAAGTCAAATGCCTGATGTTAGATTGGGGAAAAAAGTCTAAGCTTAATATTTAATTGTTCTGTCATCCTAATAATTCCATTAAATGTAGCAGTAAATGCTAACTATTGTGTCTCTGTTTCCCATGGTGGCTAATAGGAGAAAATAGAGGCCTCTAGCAGTACAGGTCATTCTTATGTATGCTTTCTAGCAGGAAAAGAATGTTAAATAATTTTTACAAAAATACTTGGAATGACACTACAAATTTAATTGCACACTATGCAAAAACAGTTACTTGACAAATAGTTATGTCTCCTTGGTAAATCACAGTAAAATATCCAGCTACATAGTGTCTTCAATAAATAAATAGCAGGAGGAGGATTTCTTTAGATTTCCAAGAATGTAGAAATTATAGCATAGGTTGCTGTGCTTCTTCAGAAAGCTGTTTGCAGTCGTAATTGTGTGCATCTGGGCATGAGAGCACACGTATGCCAAAGGTACACATACAAAACATGATAAGAGCAAGGTACCCTTTTTTTTTTATGGCTCAAAGTAGTTATTCAGTTATCTGTGTTCAATTTGTGGAAAGCCATATGTGCGTGGATTGGGGAGCTTTTGTTAGGTGTATTTAGAAATTGTAGTAAAAGAAATTAAATCCAAGCACTCACTGAAATAATTTGCAGTGTCTGCAAGAAACAGTAGCTGGTTTTTGCTCAGATTTTAACATTTGCTGATTTATATCAGGTCTGTTGACATCTTTTAGTTGTCTGAAATTGCTTTTCTGTATCAGCACTTCCATGATTTTGCCAAGACTAATTAAATGGCATGCAGGTATTGTGTTTTTTAAAAGATAACACTTTTTAACAGACACTGGGTTTTGTTTTTTGTTTTTGAAAGATAGCTCTGTTTGGCTTTTATACCATCTTCTACAACTTGATAGAAATATTAAAGGCTCAGAGACCTTCCTACTTACGTAGTTTTACAGGACTCTGAGGTGTCACTGTCTTCCTGTAGATTAACTTCAGTAATTATTTTTAGCACTCTGAACAGTTACTCTTGACATAGAACATATTTTATTAACACTGTATAATGTGAAAATAGCATCTAGCTTCATGAAAATATCAACCATTGTAGCATAAACTTGCTGTAATATTGTTTCTGCATCAACAAATTGTAAATGATTACCATTCCTGCATTGGTTTTGTTCTTGATATATTTTAAAATGTTTTAATTCTCTTATTCTGTCGTGTTTTGTTTTTTCTTCATTGATAATATCAGCTTTTCTTAGAAGTTCCTCTTCAGTTTTGCACTGTTCTATGGAAGCTTTCAAGGCTCCAACCAACCAGAAATAGAGATAGCGAGAGTCCCAGTCAGAGTAGATTGGACTTGAGACTCCAGAGATCCCTTCCACCCATCTCATCTATGATGCTTTTAATTTTCTTTTTTAAAAAGTCTGTTTCTGCAAGTGCAGGAACTCTTCCTCAATTTTACTGATTTTTTTTTGAGAGTTCTTCATGTTACATTTTCTCTCCTGTATGTTTGCTCCTTAATCTGTGCGTGCTTCTCAGCAAAGATCGATTGCATCTTAAAGGAGAGAAGAAAGTGTAAAGTTTAGATACAGAAGTGAAACATCCCACATTTTTTTTAGGCTGAGAGAAATAAATCTCTGACCAGGCATGTCTACAGTACATCATCATCTGAACCTGTCCTGTCTTCATCTTGGTTAGAAGAAAAAAAAAGCACTCTCAGTGCATAATTTTTCCTTTTTAGAGGTATTTTTCTTTTATAGAGATGAACATTAGGATTAGCAGCAGACAAGTCGTGACTGGAATGAATCCTAAATTTCCAGGTACCGTAGAGAAAAATCCCAAATACTGGCACCTGTGTCCAAAGTCTAAGCAGATCGTAGTTTTCTTTAACTTTTTTAACTGTTCATCAAAAGAGGTGTTTTGTGTTGTTTTTTTTTTTTTCTTCAATGCAGTCCTTGGAGTAGAAAGAGATTTACAGTTCTTCCCACAGAGAAGAAAAGGAAACTTAGTGTGGTTCATCCTAGACATGGAACATCAGTAAACAGAGTTCCCTACATAGGAATAAGAGACGTAGTATTTTAAAACTAAGGGAACCCCTAGTGAACAGTCCTCACAGCACAGAAACATACATAACTCAGCTTAGTTAAAGGAGGTAAAGGAGAGAATATCTACAGGTTAGATAAATGGTATTTGGGTTTTTACTTACTTAAGCTTCTTACTCTTCTTATATCTCTTTTGCCTTTCAGGCCTTCATGCTGCTCTGTGATCTCTTGATGATTTTTAGTCACCAGCTGATGACTGGAGGGCGTGAAGGTCTTCAGCCATTGGTGTTTAATCCAGACTCAGGCCTCCAGTCAGAACTTCTCAGTTTTGTGATGGACCATGTCTTCATTGACCAAGATGACGAAAACCAGAGCATGGGTACGTTTAGCTTTCAGGTTTTCTACTTAGCTTTTTTTCCATCACAGATGAAGAAGAAAGAGGAAAACAGAATTGTCAGATCAGTTTACTCAAAAATGTTTTCAAAATTATTCCTTCCTTGGTTTTAGGAAGACAAGGGCTAAGTGTGCATATGAAGCATTCAGTGCTGTGCGTCTTAAAAAGTAGTTACAGAGTTCACTTCATGAGACCTGGTGACTTCAGAAGACCTGGGAGCAGCCTGTAAACAACATGCTATTAATCTGTACAAAACTGTCGTTCTTTTTTTTTTTTTAATCTTTTTATTTTCAAAATACTGACATTTTCAAAATAAATTCAGGATTTCAAAACAGAATCAGGTTTCTTGATTTGAAAGTCGTTGGAGAAGCATTGTGTATGCTTGCTTGTGTTCCTGTTATTTCTTAGGCATCCTTGTGTGGCCGTGCTTTGAGAGGCAGTAGGTCAGGCATCTCTGCTTCCTCAGAAGGATGACAAGATTGTTTGCTTTCAGTCAAGGAAGGACAGATTTGTCACTGAGATCTGTTTTTAAATAACTCATTGCCACTACTGTGCATTACAGATGCCTAAATACATACACAGGGGCACCCAATTTCTGAATCCTAAACAGCTTTGGACAGGAGAAGGAATACCAGAGTCCAAAAAAAAAAAAAAAAAAAAAAACCAATATGAAACACCTGCTGAATGCATACTGCAGTGCTTTTATGGCACATTTTCTGAATTTTCATTGAACTCAGTTACTTGTAAGTTTGCATGGCATGTGGGTGCTGGTTTTGATCTTTTCAGACAGTAGTGTATAGAAGTAAGGTCTCAGAGAATTTGTTCTTGCTTTTGAGCACTTTCAGTCTTCTAGCTCACTAGCTCCCCACTAGCTTGCATCTTTTTGAGCATTTCTTTATGGATTACAATAGCCAGAAAAGAATGCATTTTGAAACACAACTTCACCAGAAGTACACAGTGTGAATTGTACTTTGTGAGCAAAATGATCACAATAATAAATAAAGGGCATATTTTAAGAGGACAGTGTTTATTTTTCTCCTGAGCTCTGTCAGTGCTTTTTCACATCCTGTAATTGGACTGGGAAGACAGCAAAAAGGTGAATGAAGATTTTTATGTGTAATCTGCCTCCCCAAATACTACTTTTAATTCCATGAAGTCAGTCTGACAATTTGCAGCTTTTGGTATTCAGAATATATTATACCTACAAAAAGAAATGAAGAAAAATGAGAGGATGCTTCAGTTCTAAGGATTAAGGTGAACATACAGTCAACTCCACTGCTTGTAAAAGGTCTCCTACTATAAAATACATCATTTATACACAGTGGCTTTGTGGAGAATACAGTAAGAGTGAAGCAAGAGAGTCTCAGAGAGGCTGTGTCCCTTCTGGCCCCTACACAGATCTGTTTTAATTCAAGCTGGTCAGGACATTCCCCTTAAAAAAAAAAAAAAAAAAAAAAAAAAAAGCTCTCTACTAAATAAATGGTATTTGCTGTTATCACAGTTGTTGTAGCTGATTGCATTTTCTTCTGTAAATTGTGTAATACAGTTTTTTACTGTGTGATAATGTATTTCACATTTTATGTCTATGGTTTTCATTTTTATTCAGAGTGAAGTCCTACATGGAGATTTAATGCTTACAACTGGATTTTATCTCCTGTTGTTTATTGCTCCTTTAGAGCTGTGGATTTCACACCTACAAACCCAAGGCATGCAGTACAAGCATCAGTTTCTAATTCTTCTCATATGAAACATTTATAGGTTAGTCATGCTGAAGAAGTATCTCCAACTGTCCTTCAGTTCCAGAAGTTAAGCATAAAACATTCAACAGCTCTTCACTGTGGCCTTTCACAGAGTAAAGAAAATCGGTGATTCAGTTTCACATGGATTGCATTCAGTATTAGTCAGGACTGCAGCATCCTTGGTGCATGGTGTCATCTTCCTGAAATTCCCAAATTCCCTGAAGGTCCTAACATTCCAAAGTAATCATCTTCCGTTTTAGCTTCTCTTGCAACAATACTTGCTTCCATTTTAAATAATTGACTTTTTTCCTGAATGCTACTCTTTAAATAATGTTGCTCTAGAAAATAACAAGCAATTATAACAACTTTATTGTTGATGCTTTCAGAGGGAGATGAAGAAGATGAAGCTAACAAAATAGAAGCTTTACATAAGAGAAGAAACCTTCTGGCTGCCTTTAGCAAGCTGATAATTTATGACATTGTGGACATGCATGCAGCAGCTGATATCTTCAAACACTATATGAAGGTACTGCTCTGTGTGTTCTGCTTCTGCTAAGAGAATAGAGACTGTAGTGTTGGGTTACTTGGTTCTCTTCCTTGCAGTCCAGTTGTTAAAGACTGACCACTTGAAAGCTTTCCCAGCCTTATTTGATTCCTGTACTTTTTCCTTTTTAAATTACACCTGTCACTGAGAAGCTGTAAGGTCTAAACTAGCCTTCCTACATAAGGAGAGCTTTACTAAAGGCAAAGGTTGGCCCTACAAGATGCTGAGTATTTCAGAGAGGCTTATCTTCACAGAGAATTTCTTATCCTGCTCCTCAAATTAATTCTTAGAAACCACAGTAACAGTTGTTTGTCAATTTCACAGTTGTTTCCTAGCAGGGAAGCAGGCTTTTTTTTCCTGTGGGAAAAGGTTGTTTCAAACAAGAATGCAGTAAAAAAGTGCAGTGAGGTACTGCTGTAAGTAGGTATGCAGTACCTGAATATTTTATCAGCGTACACTGCTTCTGTGCAATATTTAGTCCCAAAGGAATTCAGAAGGACTTGCTACACAGCTGCCACTTTACACTCTCCTTGCATGTTTACCTGCTGGTAAGCAGGCCCGTGGCACTTCTGACACTGCCAGGGTACACCAAGTCCCTCAGCTTACATCAGACTGCCAGGTGGACCCAACTTGTCTCTCTGTCAGGGATCCCAAAGAAGACAGAGCAGCAGTTTCAAGATGAAGCTATCACACTCCAAGTTAGTTTCTTAACCTGCTGCTACTCTTTTTTTTAATTCCCTCTCTTTCCCTCTTTCTCTTGAAATAAAGCATGAGTGAGAGAAGCTGAATTGAGAGTGCAAACTAGGAAGATTTCTGTAGCAAAGAAAGCAGAACAATATTTGAAAGGGAATGAAAACAGATGGCTGCAAATGCAGAAGGGTTAATCAAGCTGAAAGAATACTGGAAAAAAGAAAGTTTAGGTTCTCAGCCCAAAGTTTTAATGATGATGCAGGCTGTGGTTCTCAGCAGTCATTCCTCGTTCAGTGCAGAGAATGAAGCAGTGCTTCATACTGACTAATTCCTTATTCAGTTTTTCAGCTTCAGTGAATGATGGCCATCTAATTCACCATGGACCTTCTGTTTGTAACCTATCTGCTCAGTAATGTATAGCTTCAGTGCATTATTGCTTCTTACAATTTTCAGCCACAGCTCACTGCCATCAAACATTTAGTTTGGGGTAGGAAATGCTCTTTTGTTTGTTTTTCAACATATTTGTTACAAAAGATGTAACAAAGATGATAACAAATGTAACACAGGTGATAACAAATGAAGAAGTCCCTTATCAACAGGTGACTAGTCAGCTTGAATTTTCATACAGAAACATTGCCTTCCATTCATACAGGAAATCTGGGTTTGAAACTGTTATGGTTTTGTTGTTCCTTTAAACTGCTGTCTTTTCAAAAGAAGAACTGGAAGTAATCAGAAAAAGAACTGAAATATTGTGTAAGAATTCCTGTTAAAGAGGATTTTTCCCCACATTTTTTCCTAGTACTACAATGACTATGGAGATATCATTAAGGAAACCCTGAGCAAAACAAGGCAAATTGATAAAATCCAGTGTGCAAAGACACTCATTCTCAGTTTGCAACAGGTAAGAATATTGATTTTTGTGAGAAATCCTTCATTGCAAACATTCCCGGGCAGGACTTTTCTCTGGCACTGTCTGTAGTGAGGCAGAAAAATCTGTGCTTTTGGTAAGAGGCTGTGTTGCTCTGCCATTCCAGCTGTCACCATTTGGTCAGGTTAAAATGGAAGAACAGGAGAAGAGAGCTTTGAGTGCAGTTTGATCCAAGCTGATTTGTAGTGTTTGTTTACTGGTAGCTAGTGAACAAGAGAAATTAGAATGACTTTTTCTCCTTCTCCTTTCCTATTGCCTACATAGTGATTGATTTTTCATACTTTGAGGTGATTAGTTGAAGTCCTCCAATTTTATTAAGCGTATCTCTTCCATGTACAATTTGTTTTATAGCAACCATAAGTTATTGGCTTGATGATGAAAGCCATCCTTGTTCCAACACAAAGCTTGTGCTTCCCTAAATACTGTGTAGGCCCTTGAAGTACTAGATATATTCATTGCATGGAGAAGTTTATGATATAAATAAGATGTTTTCAAATCAGCCGGGCCTTCCAGTATTCATTCCAGACTACCTGAGAATTTCCTGTAGCAATCTGGAAGGTAAGAGAGATGTGTGAAAACCTGATAAAAACTGAAGAAACTCCAGAGCAATTGACAAGTGTCAGAGTAATTCCTGTCCTTAAGACTTGGAGAAAGGAAGAAGCCAGATGCCAGAGATCTGTCAGCCTAGTGTCACATCACAAACAAAGTATGTATTAGACAAGCTATTTGCAAGTTTCTAAGTGATAGGTTCGTCAGAATGAATTTGTCAAGGAGAAATCACATCAGGGAAGCTGCTTTTGTGAATTATATGGTAACAGAGCTTGTGGGTAGGGCAGAAACAGTAAATTTAATGCAGTTGTTGACACGGTCTCCTCTGATGCTGCTGTCATTAGCAAGTTAGTAAAATGAGGTCTAAATGGTACCGTAATAAGATAATATAAGTAAAGAACTTTTTAGAAAACTACTGAGTTGTTAATTATGGTGCTGCAGTGGCATTACCAACTGGGTTTTGAAGGCAGTTACCCAAGTGATGCTCTTCAGATATTCATTAAGTCTTGAGTGATGAAATAGAAATTTTGCTTCCTAATTTTCTAGCTGGTGCTGATCTGATGGGGGAGGCAGGTATTTTAGAAAGCAGCTTAAGAATGCAGAATCATCTTGATTTGGGAAAGGAATAGATAGAGTCCAGTGAAGTGAAGTGCAAAACAGTGTGGTCTGCACAAGTACAAGGCAGGGGACAGTTGTCAAACAGCATTTACCAGGAGGTGATCTGGGAGCTGAGTGGATTAGAAGATAAGTGAAATCTGTCTTATCTACGTACAAAAGGAGTGAGCATCGTGTCCGCTCCGCCCTCGCAGGTAAAAATAAAAAAGACTTTGGCAATGAATGTGTTTCCTAGCACACAGATTGTAACCACTGAATTCTTTCTCTAGCTGTTCAATGAACTCGTTCAGGAGCAAGGTCCTAATCTGGACAGGACATCTGCCCATGTTAGTGGCATTAAGGAACTGGCTCGTCGGTTTGCCCTCACTTTTGGCTTGGATCAGATCAAGACAAGAGAGGCCGTGGCCACACTACACAAGTGAGTGGTGGTAAATAAACCAGATTTTTATATTACTTTGCCTTAACTTTTTTGCTTAGTATACTCTTCTATTGGTACATAATTTAGCCAGGTCCTGGAGTAACTATTTATTCTAATTTCAGTGGAAAAATAATGGAGGGTGTAAATGTAAGAAAGGAAAGAAGAAAAAATAACTGCTGCCTATTTATTTGTGTGATTGGAATGGCCATTTTTATCTGAGCTGAAGTCACAGGTATTACATGTACTTGTGTGGACTGTATCTAACAATTGCAGATAGTTCTTTGTAACACTGTAGTGCGCACTCTGTAGGTTTTATAAAAAGGTACCACAATAATAATTTGGAGATCTATTTTATTTTTAAGATGAATTGAGCCTTTTTATTTAACTGCTGGGCAGGAGAGCATGGACAGGTGCTGCTAAGTTTAAATTATAACTCCTCCATGCCATAAAAAGGTTAAAATATTAATGCTTGCTATCTCAGAGCATTAAGACTAAGATGAGCCAAACACGATCATGACTTTATATTCTAAAGGAATGCAAATAATAGAATGAATTTGGCCACGAAAAAAGCATGAGTGATGCAGAAGTTTGGAGGAGACAAAAATTATGTTTGGAAATGGATATCGGATAAATCTGTACCTGCTAGGTTACATTTCCCTTCTGAGTTTGGATAGAAACTCTGGATTCTCCTTCATGCCCATCTTAAGTTTTCAGCAGATATCTGGGGAGCTCTGAAAGTCCTAATGCTTGTCCGAGTAAAAGGTGACATCTTCCTGTCCAAATGGCACGAGGTGGCTGTAGGTGGGGAGTGTGCGAGTTCCAGGCATGCTAAATAATGTGTGTCATACTCAGGATGGGAGAAGCGTGAGCTACTTCAGAACCCAAAGTAATGCGAGTTCCTTCATATCTCGAGCTGAGTGTGCTGTTGTTTTGCATTGAAGATGGCATCTTTTTTGTTCTACCTTCAGATTAGTCACTGGTGAGCAGGGCAGCCTGGTCTACTGGGTGGCAGCCAGCCCACACCAGGGGAGGTTGGAACTGTATGATCTTTGAGGCCCCTTCCAGCCCAAGCCATTCTGTGATTCCATGGTATATGTATGGCAGTGTCCTTTTTCTGTCATGCTCAGTCCCCACCATCTTTTTTTGTTGCTTCCTTGAACACCCAGGTCTCAGGCCATCTGCAGCACTTTCTTTCTAAAGCAGTTCTCAGTGTGAGGAGGCAGCTTCTTCCACTTGGATGTCAGCAGTGTTGTCATCACTACTGGTGAAGACATCCAGTGAAAGAACAGAGATCCTGAAAGAGATTTTTGGTGGTCTGTCTTGATCTTGTCCCCAGCCCTGCACAGCCCATGACTTCCCAGGATTACTGAGAGGGTTCAGCAGCCTGTCAGGGATGTGTCCCTGGAGTCAGCCTAGCTGTCCTGCTTTACTGGAACAGGTTTAGGAATAAATGATTATCCTCAAATTTGTCTGATCTTCAGTATCTCATGACTTTCCTTTCAGATAAGGCAGTACACACCAAGGCATAACTGGTGGAACTGTATTCGTTTTGTATCATCTCAGCTACAGGTTACTGCAACCCAAACATTGCCTGCTTCTGATCTGAGCCTTTCAGCATCAGCCATGTTCCTGGAGTTTGACCTGGGGAATTCCTCAGCCATTTGGTGTTCTGTAGGCACACGAGCAGCTTACCCATACTGTCAGTCCCTTTCCAGAAGGGAAATCCAGTAGTATGCAGTGAACTTAGATCCCAATGAGAAGAAAAAAGTTCCTTTTAGCTGTACTAAATGATTCAAAGCAATTGAAACTGAGGCTGAGTAAGGAAGATAAAATAGATGTAATTGTGAGGCCAAGAATCTGATCTGTTTTTATGAGTATCTTTTCAGGCATCCTTTGTGCTACTGTAAAGGCTTTTCTCATAGCATTAAATACCTGTGCTCTAAGAACCTTTTCAGCAAGCAGACTGTGAGAGAGCACGCGAGCAGAGTAGGATGGCACAGCATCTATTTCTCTGCATGGTCACTGCAACACTGCTGCCACGAGTACCAGAGCTGCTGATACTCTGTGTGTCCCTGAGAAAGGTGCCTATTGCTGACATCTTTGGAAAGGTGCCATCCTTACTCCTTTAACTGGAGTGCTCACTGTTTGCATAACAGGCATCTCAGACCCAGTCCTAGGCCAGGGTTTTGTGATTATACTTTGAAGATGCCTGCAGTATGAAAATACTTGGACGTTTTTAGGCCCAAATCCACCTGTAACAACAGTGTATTTTTTTTTTTTAATCTGGAGTCATTCCTTCCACTTTCTCCTATACTCCTTTCTGGATTTTCTCTGACCTGAAAGGAAATCAGTAGGCTGCTAGATACTTCCTGGGACAAGGAGAAGGGAGGTTCAGGTATGCGTTTGCCATATTGGGTCGTGTAAAAGTAGTTTTCCGTAATCTCAAATGATAAAGCAAAGACAAGGCAGATGCGCATGGATGAGTATGATGGTAAGTAAATTCTCTCCTCTGAGTGTAGATGTGTAAGTTATACCTTGTTGAACCTCATATTAATTATTACTGCAAGCATCTGCTTTAGGCTGAAAAAAGAAGAAGCCGACTGGCTATTCCTGCTGAGGCAGTGGCTTTCCACAGCTGCCAAGTTCCTCATATTGCAGTCTCCTCCTAACCAGGAGACTGGCAATATTCTGTTGTTGACTTCGAATCTGCACACATTCAATTTGTGATTCCCCTCAGGTCCCAAAGCTGCTATTTGCCAGTAATGAAAAATAAGATGGGATGGTCACAGTTTGAATTTGAGGCAGAATTTAGAGGTGATGGGATGATGTTGATATTTTCTTATTTTCTTACAAATGTCTGAACATCTTGAAATTTCTTCACTGTAGGGATGGAATAGAGTTTGCCTTCAAATATCAGAATCAAAAAGGACAAGACTACCCACCTCCTAACCTTGCTTTCCTTGAAGTTCTTAGTGAATTTTCTTCTAAACTCCTGCGGCAGGACAAAAAGACTGTGTAAGTAATAGCCTTGTTTTCTTCAGTGGGCTTTGCTGAGTTGTGTTAATAGTTGAATTGTGTGTTTAAGTTCGCAGCTTTGAGGTTTTCATTGTGTAATGGGGGTTTTGGGAAGGCCCAGTGGGTTTTCACATAATTATTCATCAATTTATATTTTGAAGTAATGAAAATAAATCAGAAAAGAAGAATCAAATCCACTGATTAAGTGAACTTGAGACCTTACAAAAAACAACATTGCTTAAAATTTCCTATGGAGCACTGAAAATAAAAGGAATCATTTTTCAGACAAGCAGAAAAAGGAATGAGCTGTAAGCAGTGTAGGAAATATGGAGGTCTCTAAACATTGCAGTAGCATTCATTTCTGTTGGACATTTGTATGAGAAGTATGTTTATGTTGATTTACTGAGTTGAAGTGAGCTTCTGGAGTTGTCAAAGCTTCTGTTAATGCACAATAGGATAGAAGGACAGGGTGAGAGACAGCACTGCTGTTGTTTAGGAAAGAGCAGAGTGATAGAGACCCCAGACTGAAACAAGCAATCTGTATTGGTGTGGCCATCAGATAAAGTCCCACAAATGAAATAAATCAGATGTACTGCTGATAAGAGTTGAATGTATAGCAAGAAATACTGTTGTATGGCCAACATTTGAAAAAATGTCAAAGGCAGCTGTGGATATTAAGAGAATTGATAAAGAGAAAGCTTCATTAGTGAAGGCAAGCTCATCATAAGGATGTGTTGTCAGCATCACTGCAGAGGTAAGAGTGTACATGTCTAATATGTTCTGTAACAAATATCCAAGATTTGGCCACAGCATAGAAGCAGTAAGGGAAAAACAGTGTAGTTAAACGTCATCGTAGCACTGTGTGCCAGTGTAGAACTGAGTTCTTTGAATAACTTCATTACAATTTAAATATGTAATTACCAGATCTTATCATTTATGGTTATGAATATCTTTCTAGTTATTTTTCTGGCCACAGTGAGTTTATGTCATTCTACAAGTATATATAAAGTCATACCACTGTGACTACCTGAACTGACTCATTCTCTCAAGCTTCTCTGTAATTTTTCTCTTTTGATTGTATAAATGATTTTCCAATTCAGCAAAAGCAGTAGAAGAAATGGTTGAAGTAGCTTGAGAATTAGACTGCTCATCCAGGCTCACCTGGCACTAAGGCTTTCAAACTTCTCTGCATTGTTATATTCTTGAATTTTGTCAACCTCTGTTCTGTTCTTCAGAACAGGGCTTAAGAATCAAGGATTTTCTGGCTGCCTTTCTGGCTGAATCATAGGTTCCCTGTGTCTGTTAACATAAATCTAGTTAGCCTGATTCCAATTGAATTTATCGAAGCTTATTCTTCCTGCTCCCTTACCAGTACTTCCACAAGTTTCTCCATGTCTAAAATCTGAAGTTATATTACCAGTACACAGCGTACCTGACAGCTAAATCAGAGCGGACCCTTTGCATGAAGTTCAGTATTTCTCATTCTTTACCCTTCAGTCTTACCATTCACGTTTTTTCCTCACATTTTTCTCAGGACTGCAGAGGTTGCTCTGGTGGAATCCATTTCTCCTGATTTTAGCTGTCTTGTAGCCTTCTGTATCTGAGCTCTTTATTTTAGCTGCATTGGAAGACTGGTGAAAAGAAGTAGGGTCTTTAGGCCATGTTTCATCTCATCTGTTCTAAATTACTGCTTTAAGATAAGCTTGGACGTGCCCTGGATTCCATTGGCTGCAGTGACTATGGAGAGAGTCAAGATAACTAGCTTATATGTAAAGATGTTGTTTGGACATCTCTGCGTTCCTTCACTTGAGAGATCTGTCATGTTTGCACTCGTTGGGCAGTGGGTGCATTGCCCCATAGCAGTTTGCTGACGTTACATTCTCAGCTATGCTCTGGACAGTTGATTTTTGCCCTTCTCTGTGGCATGGCTGCTCCAATCCACAGGGACCTCTCCCCCGCCCTGCGAAGGGGCAGCAGCCTGCAAGCAGGAAGGAACATGACCACCATCTGGTGGAGAAGTCCTGTGTGCAGGATCACTTACCTCCCTGCTGGCTTGGTCTCCAGCCAGCTGACTGTAAGCTCAGCAATGGGCTGTTAGTCTGGAGGCTAAAGTGCTCTAGAATAACCCTGAAGATCCCATCAACATAGCTGCATGTCTGGAGACATGGGCAAGCTGGAGGGCATCCTACCCTCCAGGCTGCCTTCCCTACCTCAAAATAAATGAATTGATTCAGGCAGCCTGACTGTCACGTGCCCGTGGTGCAAGATACCATTCCCATCACAGTTCAGGAAACACTACTGTTCTGCTAGGCTTCTGCTTCCTTTCTGATTTACTTTAGTGTAACTGATATTATCTGTGTTACTGTTATTATTGTTACTATTGCTCTTATTATTGCCACTTGGCAGTGTGCTGAATGAGATTGTGATCACAGAGTGCATCATAACGTTATTTTTTAACACAATAAGGTAAGGCACTGTACTCCAGCATTCTCGTGCCTGAATTCTGAGTGCTTGGTTCTTTAGTTTGGAACTCATTGGAATCCCTTTCATGTGGCTTTTCTTACTCATTTTATGGACAACCTTAATTGAACGTTCAATGGAAAAGGAAAATAGCTCACTTGTCCTCCAGGCCATGTGTGGGACAGAAGGTGGTTGGTTCCTCCCAGTAGTTAACAGGTACTCACTGGACTTCTCCATGGCAATGGAATGGATCTTCAATTTTTTACTGAAAAATATCTGCTTGGATTTGAGAAAACTGTTCTTTTCCCTTTCCAAAGATGCAAAATTATATCCTCAGACTGCTAACTCAGATTATCTGTTGACACACCAGCATTATAGAGAAGTGGCTTACTTGCTATGCAGAATAGAAGGGGAATTCAAGTAGCGTGCACTGTGAATGATGGCAGGCAAATACAGGAAGGTGTCGGGGAAAGAAAACTTCAAATTCCTTATCTGAATCACCTGTACACAATTAACTGTTACTTTGTTTTGAGGGAATGCCATGAATTCTTAATCAGTTCAAGGTACAAGGCTTTATCAACGTATTTTAATTTGATAACATAAGGAAACACCATGGCAGATTTCTGTTGAGTTCTCAGCACTGTGGGGAGGACTTGCACGTTAAATAGAGGAAACAACGCGCTGAGCCTCTGCACTCATTGTCTTCTATTTTCAGTCACACCTACCTAGAAAAATTTCTGACAGAACAGATGATGGAGAGAAGAGAAGACGTGTGGCTGCCACTCATTTCCTATAGGAACTCATTAGTTACGGGCGGCGAAGACGACAGAATGTCTGTTAACAGTGGGAGCAGCAGCAGCAAAACCTCTTCAGTGAGAAATAAGAAAGGACGGCCACCACTACACAAAAAGAGAGTAGAAGGTTGGTATGGTTTTACCTTGCCTAATAGAGGTATTTCTCATTTTCTATCTACATTACAGCTTTCCTTATATCTTGTATGTAGTGAAAACAAAGCACTTGTTCTGCAAATTGCTATCAAACTTCAACATCTCTGCATGAAAAACAGCCTCATAATTCCCTGTTCCTGCTTGTTCTGAGATTTTCAGATGGAGAACTACAAAAGCTATTGCTGACAGTGGAAACAGGAGGTGGCTGTGGAGTTAACTGCTCTGCACCTTTCCCAGTCACACGTTTCTGCTTTCTGCTTTTGTTTTATTTCGAAGCAGTTGTTAATTTATATGGTGTTAGAGCAAACCTGAGGCAGAAATTCTGATATAAATTGGTATTGTAGATCCGTAGAGATCAGCTCACTGGAGAATACATGGAGATGCATGTTTTTGCTCAGTGTGGCACCAATACACAGTGTATTTACTACTGCTGTGACTTCAGGAGTGTACATCAGGAATTTGGCAACGATGGCCAACTTCTTACAAGATTGCATCTGATCCTGGTTGACAAGTGTGAAATTGCATGATGCAGTGCATGTTTATGTGAACATGCTTACTGTTTCAATAGACAGCAATTATAAGTGAGATCTTTAAACTTCAGAGAGTGTTTTCCAAGATTGTTATCTACCACAGTAACCCCTCAGTGAAGAATCTAATGCTAATTCTCTTATAGTCAGATCTGTCCTCCCCTACAGCTTATGCTGAGCAGTGCATGAGCTAAGTCTTTTAGTTTCCAATAGCCAACCTAGAGTCTAGGTAGGAAAAAGCACAGCTTGCTTTGCTTCCTTCAGGTTGCCATGGTTTACAGAGGATTCAACTGGGGTCATTTTTTTCTTTCCTTCTGTTACTACTTTAATTCTAATTTATTTTATTCTACCAGTATCCTTATTTTTTCCAGGAACTGTAGTAACATCTCTGCTTCCCCGTAAGACAAGTCTTATTCTTAGGGTGTAGGTTTTATGACCATGTTTGCCCTGCTCTCTTTCATTCCTGCCTTGTTCAGTGATCAATAGGAGGAAGAACTGACATAACACCTTCCTTTTGAATATTGCCTTTCTTTGCAATATCTGGGGTCCTGAATTTTCCAAAAACATCTCTGACTTAAAATGCTGTAAGCCTGAGTCTGTGGCTGTTCACCTAATTGTTCACTTTCTGAAATGTCTGAATGTACCAAAGTTTCCACGGGAATTACCTAGCAGCAGTACAGCCTGGAGCCAGTCTGCCTGCTTTTTGAGGGCAGATCTAGACTGCTGCACAAGGAAGGGGCTCATTTTGGATGTACTAATAATGAGCTCAGGAAATAATCAGAAATGTAATCCTCTTCTTAGAAATAATATTTACTGTTCACTGCTCCGTAGAAGTTGAGCTATGAAGAACCAGTCTGCTGAGCAGCTGGTTGCCTACAAATAGTCTGTATTCAGCATGTATGCAGGCCTTTGGTTTTTTTTATCTTTCCCTATTTTTGTAACCCTCCCACAAGTCCTGGTTTTAATTTTAATTAATCTAGCATTAGAACCACAAATGCAGACCTGTTTCTGCATCCTGCTAACCTTTTTTTTCCTTTAAGTCCCACTCTAAAGGAAGGACGTTGGCACTGCAGAAACTATCATGGCATCCAAGAACCAAAGCCAGACCCTGCAGTTCCTTCCTGCCCTCAGTGCAGCACGTATTGCCTTCAGCAGACTGTTGGGGCTGGAGAATATTCTGCATTGTTCCTGAAAGTAGAACTGCTGTCTGTATAGGTGGTGCTGACATTTCTTCATAATGCCTTAAGGAAGTGAAACATAAAAAGGATTTTAAAAAACCCTAGTGTTGTAAAAGGCAAATTCAAGAATAAATAGGCAACTTTTTTAGACAGCTTTTAAGCCCAGAGGGTAATAAAAGGCAAAGGAATGCTATTTCTTCCTGCTAGGAAATCTATATCTTGTCTTCTCCTCTTCTGTAGTCTCTTGTCTTTCACTTGCTGCAGCAACTTCTACATGTCTCTTGTCTGCACAGTTGTGTTCTCACACGTTCATCTCAGGCCCCACCAGCCCTTCGTCTCCAGTTTGCTGCCTTCTCAGTACGAGCCCACCATCCCATATTGCACCTTCAGTCAGCTTCCCATCTCCATCCTCCATCTGCTGTAAACTCTACATACGCTATCTGAAATCACTTTGCATCACTTTCACACCAGCCAGACCTCTCCTTATTTAAAATGTCCCCTCTGTACTCCTGGAATGGTTCTCACTGAAGTTTCTGATGCCTCCACTCCCATCGTAGTGTTCAGTTGTATCTCATCTGATGTGTGTGTATGAAACTAACAGTCTTATATTTAGACTGCAGAATTGGTACTTAGGAATTGCTTTTCTGAAATGCGTATGAGCCACCCAACACTGCAGGCAGTGCTGCAAGGCAGGCACTATGTTTGCAAAGTTTTTTATTTTGTTTTCTGAAGTATTTCTACTTTGAATAGTTGTTATTGCTGGGAATAACTGGTAGTAATCCTTCCTTAACACAAAAATGACCATTTTGATTATTTATCCAGCTTTTCTCTTAAAGATTTCAGTAGATACTAAGCTACAGAAAGCATGAATTTGCAGAAGGTGCTGCCTCTAAAAAGAGCTCTGTATTGAAGTGCATCATAGATGGAAGGCTTTAATTATTAACGCAAGGTTCAGTGAGTTGGCTGAGAGGATTTTAAAGGCAGCAATACTGTGCATTTTACACCATCACTAATGTGTCAGTAATTCTGAATGTTCCTTTCCTAGATGAGAGTCTGGAAGGCTCTTGGCTGAACAGGACTGAAAACATCCATACTCCAGGAGCACTGCAAGCACCACAGCTCACCTCAACTGTCTTGAGAGAGAACACCAGACAAATAGGGGAGCAGATCCAGGAGCACGAGTCGGAGCAGGGATCTGAGCAAGATTTTTTACACAAGTAAGTGTTGGAATGTCTGTACCAAACACAGTAAAATCCAGGTAAAGAAGTTGTGTAAAATGTGTGTGGATAGTTGTGGCTCCACAAATGTAGGCTTTCCAGTTGCTTTTACAAAGGAACATCTTGGCTATGGCTCAGCAATAGCTACATTATTTTAAATCCACCCCCACCCCCAAAAAAAGGTTGTAATGAAGGTAGAAGTCTTATAGCATAACTGTGGGCTTATGGATAAATCATAGTGTCTGTGGGCCCAGGTTGGATTGAACTATTTCTCTGAAAACCTATTAGATGTTATCTTTTTTTTTTTTCCTTCTCTCATAGTACAGTAACTGTTCTCCAGACATCTTTACTGATTTCTTACAAATTAACTCTTCAGTCCAGCTGCTGAACTGGTATCTCCTGCTTCTTGGCACTTCTGCAGGCAGTTTTATTTTGCCCTAAATTAGACATGTTTTTTTGTCATTCAACTCCCATTTTATCACCTCCATTTAAATCAATTTATGGGGGGAGAATGGTTGTTATTATCTGTCAGTAGTTTATTTAACAAAGTCTTCAGAGGATGCTGTTATGTGCTAATTCTATCAATCTGAAGACAAAGAATAACAGCATCTGGGTTGGAGGCTGTTCTTATAACTTTTATAGCCTATTCTTTTCCCTTGGTTGTGCGTGCAGCATGCGCAGACATCAGCAGTGCAACAGATGAAACCTTGATAACATCCATGAATCTGTGTTTGCCACAAGAGATACTTGCATCTCAGCTGGCTACAGATAACTTTATTTCCTCAGCATGTTTGGTGTTTCCATAAATGATTTCAGCTCCCTTATTTCCCCATACAACAACGTGGTATCAGCACAAGGCAGTGTGAGGTGGGTGAAAGGCTCAGCAGGCAGGTTCACACTGCAGGCAGGGCTACCTGTTCTCCTGCACAAAGGCCTGACATGGGCACAGGGTTTCCCAGCTGGTGCTGTATGGAGGAGTGAGGGTTGGCACATGAAGATGTGGATACAAGGCAAGTGGGGGCATGGCTTTTCTCACCTACACAGATGAGATGGGCAGAAAGCCCCAGCTGGCCATGAAAGCACAACTGAGGATGAACTGTTAATGTCCAAACCAAAGTGTCTTATCACCTTACTCCCATGGTACTGAGATCTGCCTTCATTTTCCTTGCTTCCTGCGCTCTTTGCATCCCCAGATATTGCTGTAATTTCTAGATTATAAATAAGACTTTGTAGCTCAACAATTTCTCCTTTTTTCCTAGTCCTCAATTAAAAAGCAAAAACAAAAAAAAAGAAAAACCAAAGAACTTGATGAAGCAAGAGCCTTTTCCCTGCCCCTTTCTGATCCCATCACTGTGCTGAACACTAAGCTACCTCTCTCTCTGTGAATACTTAATCAGTTAAGGAAAGTACGACTGCTTCCACCTGCTGTGCATCACCTTCTTGAGCCCAATGAACAGGAGCTGCCTTAAGGTGTGGGAGAACCTTACTCTTTTCAGGGAGAAGCTGCACCACTTTTCACTCTGTGCTTGAACCTCTGTTTCCCCATCTCAGCTGATGCCGCAGGCAGAGAACTGTTGAGCAAAGACAGACAGCACTGCTCTCCTTGGATCCCACACAGAAGTTCACAGTGTGAACCAACAGTAGAGAATGGTTTCCTTTCAGCCTGGAGTTAGCTGCTCATCCACACACATGCTGGGGGTCACCTCATCTTCCCACTTAACACTGTCTCTTACGTACCACAGCATACCTTACAGTTGGATCCTGCTGATCCCTAATCCTCTTGTGAATTGATCCCAAACATCTTGTGCATTCCATAGAAAGTCCCTAAAGTATGAATGTATACAGTTGTATACAATCTAATGTATGCTATTTGCATAATAGCTGTACACAGCTATCTAACACGAGGTACTTCAATCTTGAAGGTCTTTTCCAGCATAAATAAATCTATGGAAGATGAGGGTCACAAACAAATACAGAGCAGTCGGTTGATGAACAGAATGGTCAGTCATGCCCAAAGCTATATTTCCTCCTGGATTGTTTTCACGTGGTTCTTCCCTTTTATTGTGTCAGTCTTACTAGGGTATGAGATTACATATTTAAAAAGTGGTGTTGCTCTTGAAGATCTGCATGTATCTACTACTGTCTCTTTCTAACTGCAGTACACGAAACATTGAACGTGTTGCTTTCTACTGCTGGATTTAGTTGGTACTGAGTACAGCCTTCCAGGAGTTTGCATACAGACACGTCACTGGATGCTGAAGTTGATGGGAGTATGCATTTGAAAGCAATTTGTTTTTCACTTTCTGTGACTTTTTGTCTTAAGATGTTTCTGTTATTAACTTGGATCTATTCTCACTCTTATTTTTGCCCGATCTGAGGTGGTGAATTAAATTTTTGAAGCGTCCTTATTTCGGATACATGCACATCAATGAATGAGTAATGCTAGCGTTTTATGTAGCTGTTTTTATTGTAACAATTAATGGAATTGTTACACAAGGGGAGGAGCCAAGTTGCAGAAGGGAATCCAGAAGACTTGTACAAGGATGGATGTAATTTAAATAACTAAAGCTGAAGCATACCCAAAGAACTTGAGGAAATGCTGTTTAAAAACAGGCAACTCAGAATCGTTAGCGTTCTCAGTCATAACTCTGCTCTATGTTTGTTAGTCCCCAGATGCAGATATCTTGGTTGGGCCAACAGAAGCTAGAAGATTTAAATCGAAAGGACAGGACAGGAATGAACTACATGAAAGGGAGAACTGGTGTAAGGCACGCAGTGTAAGTGTTCAGAGCATCTTCATTTTAGATGGCAGAACTGCATTTAAATGTTACTTTTCTGGGTTGTGACCAGTAAATTCTGTAATGATGTTTAATGCTTCTTTGTAAAGGCAGAGTAACAGCTGTGTAACGTTGGGATGGATGCCAAGCAACAGGGTGCTGTAGCCAGGTGTTCTGCCCCTAACCACAGCTGTAAGCAGGTGCCTAGTGAATCAGCACATCTTTGTGGGACCATTTTGCATCGTTACCTAATTGCTTTCAACTATTTCCAGACCACTTCCCATGAAACACTGCAATTGGTCTGTTAAGGAATTTACAGCAAGTGTTCATCTCAAGTTGTTCTCCAGTTTTCCCATGAACTTGTTTAAGCTTTGTTCACCCGCCTCATCTATTGTGAAGGTGTCCCACTGGGCAGCTAATGGAGGGAACACACGTGGGTGAATGCAGAAGTGTTCTGTTGTACAAGGTGCTCTGTGCTCCTGATCTAACGAGGTCTTTCAGCACATAAATACTCCTCAGGGCGGGGGCCAGAGTCTCCAGCAAGATCAGGTCATTATAGTGTTAGAAACTGGTCTTGGATTCAGTGGTGGATTCCCAGACACTTAGTAGTGATCTTGGCAGACACTGTAGCTCCTTTTTATAAAAGGGCAGACAAACCCAATGAGGTTATTGCCCTTTCTTTCTTAAGGACAGATTTAATTAGTGATCATAACGATATTACACTGGACTTCCTGCTTTAGCCTCTGCAAGTGGGAGGGTTTTTACATACAATTTTCTTCCAGCTAATACTGAGTAAACATGCTGGTTTTATTCTCGATGCAGTGCTGAGAAGGAATTAGGGGATGGATTTTGCATTTTCTTAATGACCGTGTTCATGGTTGGGAAATTACAATGCCTGAAATCGATGCCTTCTTTCTGCTTAACCAGACGCGGTCTAATGGAAGATGATGCTGAGCCCATCTTCGAAGATGTAATGATGTCCTCACGAGGTCAGCTAGAGGACATGAATGAAGAATTTGAGGACACAATGGTCATTGATCTGGTCAGTAAATCTTATTAATAGCAAATTTAAAGTGGTAAAAGGAGGAGTTAGAAGGAATTCTGTAAGTACAAAGTGTCCAAAATGTTGACCTTTATTTCCTTTGATCTTAACGTTAAAGACTGGAAATAACCTGAATATTTTCTGAAACCTAAAACTGCAGTTTCAGGCCCAGGTGACTTTAGTCGTAGAAACTTGAAGTTACTTTAGTGTAATTCTCTGTCTGCTTCCTTAAATAAATATGAACTTAGGCAGCACTCTCCTATGTCAGGGCCTCAATTTGTATCTGAGCTTTATGGAAATCCATGCAAAGCTGCTTTACAAGGCCATGGACGAACAGGCCAGCAGCTGTAGAGCCAGCAGCTCCTGGGCAGGCAGTCATGGATGTGATGTTCTAACAGCCTGCCCATCTTTGCAGCCACCTTCAAGAAACCGACGAGAACGGGCTGAACTGAGGCCAGACTTCTTTGACTCCGCAGCTATCATTGAGGATGATTCAGTAAGCCTTCCCTCCTACTGCCCGCTGTTTATCAGAGGCTCCTTTCTTGATTACCGTTGCACGTAATTAATCACTCTCTTTTAAATCATTTTTCTAGGGATTTGGAATGCCAATGTTCTGAAGTCTGCTGAAGACATTTTACAAATTTGGAACTCTATTGTTTAGAGCTAGAGGCCTATATACTGTGATAGCTTGTATGAAAACCACATTTTTGATGTGATACGGTTTGATTTTTAACCAAATGATTGAGGTCAATCCCTTTTTGTAGTGACAGAAAGAAGAGGAGCTCCTTAATGACACAAAGGAATGTTGGCCAATCCCGTCACCTCAGAAAGGCTGACCTAGAAAATCATTTGTATCCCTTGTTCTTGACTGTCCTAATACAGATTTTTTTTTCCTGGATGAGGAGGAAGTTTTAAATTGTTAAGACAGCTGTCAAAATAAACACTGTTCTACATATGTTTTCTGAAAACATTGAGTGATAACAGAACTTTTTAACTTTATTTTTCTGCTGTACAATTTAAAACGGTTTTAACATTTGCCTTTTTATGTTTTAAAAGCTAGCCATTTTTATTAAACCTATGCCTATCAGCCATTGACTAGCAATGATGCTATAAGCAGGTCGTTCTGGCTACAGAAAAGTGTTTTTGAACACACTGGATTTGATTAACCTTGTGGTACGCTTATATCCTCTCGTAGGCATTGAGAAGAACACTCTCATAGAGGAGGTTAGAATTCTAATGACGTGCATCTCTGCCAAAAAAATTCAGATTCTGATATGATAAACCCAGATTTTATACTCGTGAGAAGATTTATTTTTATTTATAACGGGACATAAAGTGAGAGATGTCCATGAAGCCACTTTTCCAACAGACGCTGTGTAACATTCATTTTATATAGCACACGGGGACACAAAAGCAGTAAGTTTTCTATTGGTACTTGCTCTGTGCATTTTTAGCAACTTATACCAGCAAATAAAGTATTCTCAGTAAAACACACCAATGGTTCTCAAGTAATCACTTTGCTGTTTTTACTACCTACTTCAAGCCCTGCCAACCCGAGGTACATAAACAGCAACTTTCCTATTAAAGAAACAGTAATTCAAGGGTGGGGGAAAGGAGTCGCTGTAGCATCCTACAAGCACTGTTACCTGTACCATACAGAACCCCCTTCCCATGCCCTCAATTCCCTTCTGCGCTATTTTTGTAAATTAATTTTGCCAGTTAGAAGTACTGTATGTGCTGCATAGAAACTTGTGCTTAGATGGTGAAGTTCTTAAGCTTACAATGGAATACAGCTACATTTTCAGTGTTAACTGTGCATATTAAGAGTAACTACTGGGGGGAAAAAGACAATTTTTCAAAAAAGCAAAAAACATGTAAAAAAAAGATAAGCCCAGAACAGCCTCAGCTGAGTCATGGTAATCAGAGATTTTTCAGTCTTCAATGATTTGGAGTAGAATTATGCTTGGGTTTGATGCCTCAGCCTGGTGGCTGCTGCCAGAGCTGCTGCCCACCCACAGCCTGCACTGAGCGGTGTCTCTGGGCATCAGCCCCAAGCATTCACCTTCCTTTCTGCCTTTGAGATACAAAGCAGACTGACCCACCTGGAGCACAGCAGTTTTAGAGGTGCTTTCTTTTTTTTTTTAAGCAACAGCAAGTAATCATGGAACTTTTCTTTTTTATGGGAGCTTATTTAAAAACAAAACAACATTGACACCCAGTGCTTATTTGCTGGGAGGGGAAAGAACAGCGAAAAAGAACCAACCAGCATTTCACACAGCTGAGGTTTGTTTGTTTCATGTGCAGTTCTCAAACAGAAACGGTTGCCAAAAATGTTGGACCGGGAGATTCAGCCATTCCTCTGCTGTCAGCTGGGTAACACACGAAGCAGAAGTGGCTGGAGCTCCATAACACAGTAACATTACCTCCCTTCCTCTTCTGTCCCTCCCTGCGGTGCTGGGTGGGCTGGGATGGCTGCATTAAACTGCCATCGCAGTAATTCTGTGAGCATAGAGGCACAATCATGGCTGCCTGGTTTGAGTCAGAGCCTCAGACAAACCTTGTGCTTCACAGTCCTCTGTGTGGAAAACTGAGTCCTAATTTAACATTGTAGAATACTGTATAACAAACATTTATTATCACGGTACCTGCAATGGGTTTCCAGTTCAGTTTGCAGTCAATAGGTTTTTGTATTATGAGTGTCTCCTTGATTGGTTTTGCTAGTAATTCTGTAAATTGTACATTTACAATATGAGGTTTTTTTTTTCCTTTTGTACAATTTAAAACTGATGCTTCACCTTTCATTTAATAAACTATTCAAAATCATGAGTACGATGAGCACCCTCTTCACTATAACTTTGTTTAAATACTGGTTTGGGCCATCACATCTTGTCATCCCATTACTTAGCAGCCAAATGAGTGGTAGTTCTCATATAGTCCAGGCTTCAAAAACAATACATATCTTAACCATTCAGCCTTAGAGGAAAGGAAAATGTTATCTGATCTCTCTTTCTCCGCGCCGCACCCCCCCACCCCCCTGCTTTTTTTCCCCCTTTCTCTCCTCTGTGGAGTGGCTTTGGTTGATGGTGGGGTTTTATTGTGAGATTGCAGTACATCTGGTAACTCATCACACAACTTGGGAAGTCTCACTCCTGGGAAGTTCCAGTCTTTGCCCTGCTGTAAAAACTGCCACAAAGTTGGAGAAAAAAATTCACTTTCCTGTCATTTACACCTCCTATGATCTGGACCATGTGGGAAGAAAGCAGCAATAAAGGCCTGGAAGGGCAATGAAGTTTCACAGATTCACAAACTGAAATGCCTCGTGACACCCCCAGCTCAGAGAAGGAGGTGCTGCTTTTCCCCAACCTGTTAATGATTTCATCTCTGCAGAGCTAAAGGACACTGCCTTGTCATCAGAGAAAGATCTGAGAGGAAAAGGAACAGGACCAAACAGGTGAGGAATGGGACAGGAGTTGAGGCCTGAACTGCACTCTAGGTCTACTCCTCAGCCATAACCTGAACCTCCCTCCAGCTGCCTGTAAGTCACCCTTAATGCCTGACATGTCATGCTTGGCTTGCTTCTAAGTTCAAGGACTTTTGAAAGGATTCTTATTTTGTACCTATTGTTTGTGCAGGGGATGAGAATGCAAGAGAAGCTGGAGAAGTGTGGCCAGAACAGCTTTCCAGTATGTTTCCAAAGCATTGTGATGGCAGAGCAATGAAATGCTTGGAACTCACCAGCATGTAAGAGCTGCATTCTTATACTAGCAAGAGGGGGAAGAGAGGATGGAGTCTGTATAACAGCTAATGAGGTTAAGAAACTAGAGAAACAGCTGTGCCGCCTCCTTTGTGACTTGACAATTGGGATTCTCATTTAGCATCTCCTGCTGGCTCCGATCAGGCTGAGAAACCGCACCTACTGCTTTACTGACACAGCTTTTGCCTCTAAACTTGGGACAGCCACTCTCATACCTTTGAAACTACTCATGGTCCTATGTGATAACTCTTAAGGTTACAGACACCTGACTACACCACTTCTCACAACTAACTGAAGAATTCAGTTCATTGCAGGGACCCCCAAACATTCACATTTCAGCTGACCTTGCCTTGTTGCAGTGTGCTGTTTCCTGGGGCAGTAGCAGCAGGCACCCACTTATTCAGTGCATGTCTGCTGCAATACAACCACATACATTCAGACAGCTTAAATGCGTTTCCATAATCTGAATACATCACCTCTAGTCATTACGGAGCTGGGATCATAGCTGAAGCAGTTTTTCTCTGCTATCTTTTAGGTCATTTTTAGTGGCTGCTTCCCCCCTCCTCCCCCCCTCCCCTTTTTTTTTTTTTTTCTCCAGGCTCCATGGCTGAAGACACCAGGCACCAACATGCACCTACCCAGGATTAGTGCCTACCAGCAAAGTTGCACTTTTACCTCTTTCCTCCACTTCAGATGCCTGGGGAGTGGACAGAAGCAGCAGCGATCAGCAGGTACAGTAGTTCTTTATCTTGTAACACATTACTGCTAATTACTGAGGATACTCTCAACAGACAGGTCATCACAGGGCTTCTTGTGCTGGAAGTTATTTGCAGGAGCACTAACCATCACTCACCAGCTTTTGGGGCTGTAGTTCGCAGCTTCTAGTGAGGAGAGTGAGCACAGAGCCATTAGTAGTAACATCTGTTACTTGAAAGTCAGGCAAATTATTAGAGAGGAAAAAAAAACCAGGCTGGAAGACAGGTCTGGAAGTCTCTACTTCAACCCTCTGCTGAAGGAGTTTGGTTTTTTTTATGTCCTATTGGAATTTCCTTTTTTTTTTTCCCCCTAATCTGGGCAAATTGTCTCATCCTCCAAGAGCAGCATGACTCCATTTATGCCACCTATGCCGCCATGGCCCATACATGACTTAGTAGCAACCAGAGGCACAGCACTGCTTCAGCCAGCATATGAAACTGCCACCTGGGTAAGCCTAGCAGAAGAACAGAGCAGGTTAGCCTGAGATCTGCAAAGCTTGGAATGCAACACTCCAAAATCCAAGCCTAGGATTTTTCTTTCTCCGAGCTGTGGTGCAGGAAACACAAGGTGCAGACCCAGGTGATGCTCACAGCACACAGTTGTGAATCTCAGCAGTGATGTCAGTCACTGCAGCTCTGCCTAACATAGCCACCTCTACAGCCCTTGAGATGAGCAATCCAAGGAGCATTCAGCCCTGAACAACCCAGGCACTGCAGACTGTGTCGCTCATCAACCCCCAAAGAAAGGTTTATGAAGATCCTCGGTTAAACGAGGTACATGCTGTGATTTATTGATAAGCATCAGCAAAATCAAAACGAAATACTTCATTGCAGAGCACACTGCCACGTGACAGAAAGACTTGCATTCAGGTACTGCCAGGGCCGGTCCCTCCTCACGCTCACAGTGGGATGTTAGCATGTTTCTTCCAGGGGTTGGTCTGGCTTTTACTTGCCAGCACATCCAGGTCATGGCAGATGCGCATGCGGGTGGTTGAAGGCTGGATGATATCATCAACAAACCCTGTGGAAACAAACCACACCAAGAGCTTCCTCTTAACCTTTTGTATCTCCGCTGCGATTTAAATTCACAAACCTAAAGTAACTCTTGGGATCAACCGTTCACAAGTTACAAATTAACTTAAGAATTTAAAATAGCCTGAAAATATTCCTGTGTCAAGTGTTAAAACAAGAAACTTCTATTCCCCCAAATAAATTAGCCAACCAAGAAAGATAACTGAGGGAGTGGGCTTTACTCACTGAATGCTTCCCCTGTTACTGCAAAGTCTTAGAGAGCTCGTCTCATCTCTGTTATTAACTAGTTTGACTTAAAGGTTCAGAATTGTTGATTGGAAGAATCCCTTAACTTTGCATGTTCACAGCTCTTTTTTCCCTGGCTCTAACAGCAGTAACAGCAAACCAAAGGGAGCAATGCTGTACACACCAGCTGCGGTGACGAGCTTGACTAAGTCTTCCCAGCTCTGGGGCACTATTAAATAAAGCACAAAGCTTATTAATTGGGCAAAGCAGCATAACTGGAAAGATGTAGAGCTGGCAGAGCCTACAGAACTGCCTTCTGGAGCACAGGTAATGCTTCAAAGCTAGAGGTAAAAGTCCTTTCATAAGAAGAGCAGAAAAATTCACACCAACGGCCCTGGGAAAAGCCACTGAACTGAGTCAGACCCTTTTCTCAAGGCTACCGCTCAGCATCTAGAACCATCAAGTAGATTCCCAAAGCACCTATAATTAACAGTACGAGTTTTGAGATGCTCCCCATGATTGCAAAATTGAAAGCATGCCTTCCACTGCAGTCCCTGCATTGTTCCAGTCTCTTCCCACCCAAAGCCATTCAGATGGACAGTTTGGTTGTCTGGTCTAGACAATGACTTTTCTGGACACAAATTTCTTGTCTAAATAACTTACAGCACAATGTGTACTAAATGCTTAAAAATTAAGTGCCTGCACGCAATGGCAAACTCCAACCAAGGGCCACGATACACGCGATCACTGTACCTCTCATGGCTGCCGGAAACGGGTTTGCAAATTTATCCACATATTCTGCCTCTGCGTCTGTCTCTTTTCCTCTGAAAATGATCTGCACAGCACCCTGGGAAGATAAAGCCCACAGGTATTCAACCCATACAGGGCAGAGATGCCTTCTTTACCACCCCCACACACTGCATGGCATTGGGCAAATCGCTTCAGCAAAGCATCACTGGTCTTCCTCTCACTAAGCAGCCTCTGTGCCAGCGAGCAGCGATGGCTGCTGCACACAGTGCGAGTCAGCCTGCATTTATTTACCTTTGCCCCCATCACTGCCACCTCTGCAGTCGGCCAGGCATAGTTTGCATCTCCTCTTAAATGCTTCGAGCTCATCACATCGTAGGCACCGCCATAGGCCTGGAACAAAACCCCAGGGATTCGTTAGTGTGGGTGACCTCACCACAGCAACAACTTAATTTCCTCTTGCCACTTCTACTGTTCCAACAAGCAGCAAGTGGAGCTACATTTCTACCTGTAGCAGTGCACACACCCTACTCAACACCTAGAATCAGACACTGAGTCTATGCAAACACACATTCAAGACATTCTCACTCATAAAAACAATGAAGAACTGTAAAAACTTGCCTGAAGCCACCTCCTAAGTCTAAGCTTCACGAACTTGAAACCACATAAAAGCAGGAAGGGAGTTGCTGGCATATAAAACCTTCCTGAAGGCAGAAAAGAGGAGTCGGTGCCTGTCTGCAGCACCAGGCCTCTCCCTGCACGTGCATTCAAATAAACCAGCATGCTTCTGGGAGCTCCTGGCCAGGGGATGCAGCACTCAGATTCTGCAGTGCTCCACTCTGGACCTGGAAGTGGTCCAGGCAGCACTGGTAAACAAATACTGCAGACCTGCAGAGCAAGCTACAGCCAAGTGTTTCAGGGCACTACGTGAGGTGACAGCAAGGATGCAAGCTTGGGAAGAAGAGAATGGCAATATGCTGTCATGGCAAAGGAAGAGAAACCTGAGCAGCTCTTTTAGTTTCATTGCTGTCAAAAGCCCATCACAAGTGAAACAACCACCAAACAACAAAAGCACAAAACAGAACAGGAGGAACAGGAGAAAGGAGTCAGGAAAGGAAAGGAGAAAGCAGATGTTTAGCTAAGCTTTTTAGGAACTTAGAGAAGCATGGTGTCATGTATCTTACAGAAAAAGAGAAAAGGAAACCAAGCAGGGTATAGGACAAGTACATGGAAGAAAGAAAAGCACAGAAGCATTAAACCTGTAAAGTTAACAGAAAAGAGACACAATCAGCATTGCTTCTGTAACTGGAGTCTGAAGTTGCAAGAACAGAGAAGATGACAAAGATTGCCTGTTGCAGAGGGATGACACAGGCAGATGACAGAGGACAAATACTTGACTGGAGGCTTTCTAGGGAAAAAGCAAAGAGCAGAAAGATGGATTTGGAGGAGCACAGAGACAAAATGAACTGTGAAAATATTTTGAGAACAGAAAAGTGGTCACTTATAAATTGGCACGAAGAGGTGTTACCAAACAGGACAAACCGAGACGTGACCACTACAGAAGGCAGAAGTGGGGCAGACATAAGAAATAACCAGAATGCTACTGGTGAAAACGGGAACTCGTATGAAATAACACCACAGAATTAATACCAACTTACTTTTCTGGTGATTACAGTAATTTTAGGCACAGTTGCTTCTGCAAAGGCAAACAGTAGTTTTGCACCATGGCGTATGATCCCTCCGTACTCCTGAGCTGTACCTGCAAGTGGCAGAAATATTTGTCACTCTAGGAAGTTCACAATCACTCCATGTGCAATGAGGTGTCTTTCATCTTGTCATTACCAGGAGCACATTACAACAACAGAGCCCTGTTAATAGCAGGAGCAGGTAGCAGCCCAGGTGATGTCCTCCACTAGATGCTGAGCAACTGAATGAAAAATACCTTGCCAAAAGCAGCAGAAGTCTGAGTGTAAGGTCACAGAAATGCATTGCTCACCAGATGGTTTCTTCATAGGAAGAAAATAATATTCCATAGTTTTCAGTACTCCAAATGTGACTAGCAGAGAAACATGCAACCCATATTCACTTCCAGAGAGCAGCACTCTTCCAAAACCCTTTCTTCTAGAGCATAAGGAAAGGCAACTTGGCTACCACACAACAAAGACCCATGCCTCCTTCAAGCAAGCCCAAGACCACGGCCCTTAAAGGACAGAGCAAGGAGTCTCCTATAAGGAACCTCACAGCCAGTAATTCTGGAGACCGACAGCACACTGCAAATAGAAATACAAGTCATCTGCTTTAGAGGGTGTTCTACAAAGTTCTGCCCCAGACACAGGCCTAGGATCATAACTTGTCTAAAGATCCTATCAGAGTATTCAGCAGCTGCAAATCTCCACTGAGGCCCAGCTCTAGCAAATCATTACCTTAAAAAACAAATCTAAGCACTAACAGCCCCAGCTGTGACAGCTAGGTGAGGGAACATGGCCAGAGGAACTGATAAAAGAACTCTGGAAATGCCTTTCACAGAATCTAAGAAACCAAAGAAAAGCTTTGCATGCACAGAAAGGAGGACAGCTGATTCACCACCTGACTGACAGCCAGAGGATGCGAGGCACTGCTCTGCCTCCTGTGCCCACACACCTGCACAGGAGGGCTCTGCCTCAGCGTTCCTACTTGTCTGCCACAGTGGGAAAGATGTGCCAGGTGCATTGGATGAGACATGCTCAAGGAGCAACACTTGGAAGTGGCAACCACACATTATTTCTAGCAATTCTGCATTTCAGGCCACTGTGCATGCAACTCTGCAATTACTGTCTGACAGTTCATCCATCTTACAAAAAATTATTAAGTTAAAATTTGTTTTGTGAGATTTCTTAAAATTTGGTAGCTTGATTTCAAGTGTGATTTGATTGCCTCATACTGCATGCCTACACTCACAAATGTCCCTTCTTAACTGCAATTTCACTTAGGATTTCCCTGTATTTCCCTGCAGACCGTCGGACACACCAAGCCTACAGACACTTCCCAGCAGCAGACATCAGAACAGCCAGGGCTTATTGCAGCAACAGCCTGAACACAGCTGAGGTCCTCAGCCTACACCCAGGAGGTGGCAAGCAAGATCCTGCAATCCAGGCAGTGCTTTGCACTCTTAAAGCAGAGCAGGCCGTCACTGCGAGTGCTTCGACTGCAACGTCAGCCCAGCTGTTATTCGAACCATTTACATTGTGAATTAGTATGAACTCTGGACATCAATCTGCTCCCAAATTTGTTCTGTGTTTTTATCCTTAAATGCTGTCTGCACTGAATTGTTTTGGATGTCTCAACGAAGATTCTCTTACCCTACTGGACAGAGAGAAGTAGTGACCACCACACTCAGAATACATTACTTCAATTGATGTTTCTAATGGCAGTGTATTAATCTTTCCAAACTCTGAAATATAACAGTTCATAATCAGTGTAAAATCTCAAGTCTTCTTTCTTCAGCTCTACTTTTATGTCTTTCCTTTATCTGCTTCTAAGACAACACAGTAAGTTAACATTTCTAACAATCAGTGACACACAAATAGCTTTGTTCTTGGATTGTATCTGTCCACACTGCAGCCCCTGAAGCTCTAAGGAGAACCAAGCTGCTTTGTGATCCAAACAAGGGGAGAGTGCAGCAAGAACAGGAGAGAAAGGAAAGTGGTCAAGAAGGAATAGAAGGTTCTCTTAACACCTCTATTGCCTGCTGATAAAACACATAACATGTGGTAAGGCAAGAAACAGAACATTGACAGCAGCATTCTGATGTTCTGATGTCCAGTAAGAGGCCCTGAGGGAAGCCTTAACAGTTTTTATACAGTGCTAACCTTATATTCCATTCTATTGGAGACTTTCTGTTCCTCACATAGGCTGTTTTCTAGTTTTCATTTTAACATTAACTGCTCATGTAACTAATGCTGAGGAAAGCCTAATCTCAAACCCTTTAACTCATGGATGTTCTTATCTGAACAATGCTTGGAGCAGGAATGAACCTGAGCTTTCAAAGCAGAGTCTCATTATAGTAAAGGAGAAAAAAAGTGACTTCCATGTCATTTATGACAAGGATATCTGCAGGGAACACGGTGTGAGTCCTGGACAGGCCACAACCACCCACTGTGCAACTGAGCTGCCATCCCAAACGGCAGGGCACACAGCTTTTGGGGGCTGATGGTTTCCTACCCACACCCAGCCCTGGCCAGCTACATTCATCCCAGTGCTTCCAGCCTGACCTCAGCACCGCTGTGCTGTGAGTTGGCCTCTCCTCAGCAAAGCCCTGCAGAGCTGTCAGAGCACACAGAAACAACAGCGCTGCCTTGTTCAGGCACCCATTTTTCTGGAACACAATTTGCATATTTCAATATCTTATTGTGACTGCTGTACTTACTGAGTAACATTTTAAAGTCTGGCTTATTTAAGCTTCGGTACAGCAAACAGCTCTTCTTACAGTCGTTAAGATTGGGTTTAGCACCACCACCTCCCGCTGCTTCCCCACCCCACAACCAATAGGAACACAAGGACACAGCATACCTGGCAAAAACCCAGGAACGTCCACAAAAGTAATGAGAGGGATGTTGAACGCATCGCAGAAGCGAACAAAGCGGGCTCCCTTGACAGAAGAATTTATATCTAAGCACCCTGGAGGTGAGAAAACAGAGTAAGGTGTAAATGACGTGCTATAGGCAGTAATTCAAGGCAGCATCGAAGTCATGCTGTAGTTAAGCTGTACTGTCTTCTCAAAAAGAAAGACAAACAAGAAATCCTGCCTGCAGTAACGTGGAAATCATCATCTGCTGTCCCAGCACTAAGCTGACCACCAGCTGCAGTCACCTGGCACCCCTCATCCTTCTGAAGCACTGCACGCAATTCCCACCTCCTCCCACAGTGACTGCTGTGCACAGACGGCTCCTACGCCAAAAAGTCCGTTTAAATCACACCCTTGTAAATTAAATTACTTTTCTGTGATTTGCTCTTTAATTATTTTTCCCCAGTCAGTGATATTGGAACAATGGAGCTCCCCATGAAAAAACAAAGGCAATTGTGAAAGACTGGTGTTCTGGGGAAAAGCTGCAAAGTATTTCTGTTCTGCATCACTGCCATTTAGAATTAGATATTATATCAAACCTATACAAGATAAGGACACCTCAAACATTAACTATCTTCAAACTGATAATACCATCTGAAGACTAAAATAATATTACAACCCAGTGATTGCTGGGTACTGTGGTACCCAAGCGCTGGCTGGTCAGCATTCAGTCTCCTCAGAAGTTATCCAGCTATTAAGGAGAGAAATCAAAATCCCTTCTGCAGTTCAAAAAAGGTGATGTAAGCTACAGATGTTTGTATCTTCATGTCTGGATTGTGTGAGCTCCACACACTTGTACGTATGTCTGAATGCTTTGCATTTTCAGAAGAGCTGCACTACAGAACAGACTGGGGCATTCTAATGCTGTGGAAGCAAGCACGCAAGCTCCAGGTTCTGCTTAATCAGTCAATCTCAGCCGCTGCCAGACCACTGGTGGCCTTCTCTTGTGCTAGACACAGCAGCCCTGCAGATACCCAAGAGCAAGACCATCACACTGATAAAGAAATTAATCTTTTTTTCAGGTCTTCATGCAACAAAGCAACAGGCAAGTCACACAGCTGCACAACAGTGAGACTTCAGACAAACAAGGCATTAGGAAAGCAGCATGAAGCAATGGCAGGCCGCACAAACCATCCACAGTTCATCCAGCCAGCCTTACACAGAGGGCAACAAGGAAACCAAACCAAACCAAGAGGAGGCAGCACATCAGAAGCACGCAGCTGTCCCCAACCTGATGCTACTTTGGGTTGGTTGCCCACTATGCCGACTGTCCTTCCGTTCATCCTGGCAAACCCCACAACGATGTTTCTGGCGTAGGATGGCATGATCTCAAAGAATTCCCTTTCGTCAACAATCTGTAAGGAGGACAGGTTGGCAGAGCCCTTAGAATGTCTGCACGCGTATTTATACACACAGCTGTTAGCGTGAGAAACGTTAGCAGAACTTGCAGAATAAAATAAAAAAGGAAGAAATCTTTCTGTCTGCACAGGAAGTAATTAGCACTGCATTCACTCGCAGAACGGCCAATTAGGCATCCCAGCAGATAAAACCATCTTTGTGGCATTTCCTCTGTAGTAAACCTGTTGTAACTTACCACAGAAACCCCAACCAGTTGCTAACCATTTTTACCCTCAGCACACCACTGGCAGACTGCACTTTAACAAACAGCTTCCAACACCAAAAGGCCAATCATACTCCTTGGAACCTGGGGACTTCTCACTATCTGTTTAATTCATACTTTGCTTCTTTGCAAATCCAGAGCATTTCCTCCCGAGGCCCAAATGTGCCATGCTCTGCTGGGGATGACGACTCTGTGCTGACCAGCAGTGTTGCCTGTGCACAACAGAGGGGCATAGGGAAGCACTGCTCTGCACAGCAGGAGAACACTGCGCCAAAAAGATCTCCCTGCAAACACAGACCCTCACACAAACACAAACCCTTGCAGCTGCACGTCCCTGAGCTGGAAGCCCCCATGTGTGCTCTGCAAAGTGGCATCCACCAGTACAGAAAGATTCAATTCAAAGATGATCATTCCAGATGGAGCAGTAGCGACACCTACACACGGCTGCATTTCTGCTCTTCTCCTGCTGTGCTCTACCCTTACTGCCTTCTTTGCAGCTCTTGATGGCAACTTCTCCTACACACACCACAGACTGCCTTCCAATGCATGAAAAATTTCAATTATTTATTATTTAAGCAGTTTTATTTCCTTAGTTAATTCTTCTCAAAGCCCGTGGATGCGTTTTTTTTTCCTAATTCACTTCAGAATTTTTAAACCTCACTTTCTGAGGCAGAACACAGAGCAGGGACATTCAGAAGAGAAGAACCTGCAGATTAAAAGCCCATTCTGAGCTTTTCTTAACCCACCAAAATGGATCTGAACACAGCCAGTTGCACACTGAAAAGTATCGGCTGAATGCTTGCGTGTGGGGAGAGACAGTCAGATAAAACTGCAGAGGGAAAAGTCTGGAAGGATGCCATGAGCTCAGCCCTGCTCCCCCCAGCCACCATTTGTACTCACTGCCTATGAGGCTGCTCTTCCCAGGTCTGTCATCTACCACAGGATCCTGGGCCAATCTGGGATCCTGAACATTCAGAACTGGGACCCCCAGGTGCTCTGCAGGGCTGTAACAGTTACACATAACAGAACTGGGTTTTGTTGGATTTTTTGGATTTGTTTTTGTTTTGTTTTTTACAACCCTGTTCTCTGCACAGCTGTTTTCAATGTATTAAGACGTTAAAACTGACAAAAAATGAATTAGGCAAAGCTGGGCAAGAGAATTCCCAACAATGCCTACACTGCTTCAGTAAAATTCCACTAGATTTATACAGCAGTGCTCTCATCTGTACAGCTGTGCATGCTGTTTGATCGATACTGAAGACAAGCACTGAGACCCTTTTCCCCCACAAACATCTCTCTTCTGCCATTGCTGCTGTCTCTTCATGCATGACTGCTGAACAGGGGAAAAAACAGTAACCTGCAAAGACTGAAGAACAGATCTGAAATGGCACCATCTTGGTTTCCTTCCATGACTAACAACTACATACACAGGAATACGACATGTTCACATTGTTCTCAGCACGGCTCAGACCGGCAGACTTACGGAGCGGATGATATCCAGCATATCGTAGGCTTTGGTGGATTCCATGGGGACAATTGTGTCCAGCTCAGGAACCAAACGGTCGCTGCAGAAAACAAATCCAAGCAATAACATTCGCAGATCAGATGAACGCCAGACCAAAAGCTCAGGCAAACAGCGCCAATGCCATCTCTCCAGAACGTGGTGGGGACTGCTACTCAAACATGGGGAAAAAGCAGTCCTCTTTGCAGCACAGTTATGCTTTGGGCCACTGAGGGCTCACCCATGGCTTACCTGTTGCTCTGAGCTCCTCCATGAATGAGACATCTCTTATAGAGATGTATTTTTGTCTACAAGATCATTGCCTGAAAACACCTCTCCTCCTCTGGCTGGAGGGGCCCACAACACAGGGGACTGCACAAGGGCACTGGAAAGGACCCTGTGCTGGAGCACAGCTCAGCAATGGGGAAATTGGTAGCGCAAAGCACAGTGCAGAATCACAACAGTCCACCAATGCAGTGCTTACAGAGAGGTGAAGTGGCCTCTCCAATGGCAGAGCAAGGCTTCTCATTTACAACTCTGATGCTGCCTCTGCCCATGCTGTATGCTTGTGATCTGAATAAACCTCTGGGAACCTCTCCATACTTCCATACTTCTCACCCCTACCAAGCAGATAAAGACTTGTAGAAGGGTAGAACATCCATTCACAGCTTCTTCAGTTTAAGCACTGGGTTTGAAGTATCTCTGGGTATCTCATCATCTCTGCACTTCAAGAGCTTGACGTTTAACGCCCTGTTAGCAGCTCACCTGTCAGTTACCCATCTTCAATAGTTTCATTAACGACTTCCATGTGCTGGCATTCATGGGGTCATTCACAGTCCCAAGGTGGGGGGGCTGCATGTATGCCAGTTGCTGAGAGTCACAACCGTACTTTTCTATGTTTTAACAATGCCATGGCTTTGTACCTTTAGAACAGTACAACATTAGGCTCTAGAAGTTCAATTTAAAACTGGAAACACGATCTGCAATTTGTCAATCTCAGGCAAAGAGTAGGAACATCAGCCCCACTGCTGCTCTAACTCACCTGCAGTGGACCAACAGACACCTCCCTGCTGAGAGCCACAGCAGCACTGCCAGGGTATTCCCACAGTTAAGAGAATTGCATGCATATATATTCAAATGATATAATTAAGTCTTAATCTGACCAACGCATTCAATGTTATGTTACAATGGACTCAGAAACTTTTACTTTCCCAGAAAGTAACTATGAATATGTTTTAAAATCTTCCTGTTACCTCCAGATTGTATTCTGAGATATCCCAAAGGATAAGGAAAATGGAAAAATGAAGGCATTGCTCCCATAAATCCACAGAGCTGTAAGGCAGAGATGGAAATCGTAACGGCATTAAAACGAACAACCACTGGCAAACAAAGACATTACCCAGAACATCTCAGGGACGAGAACCTCAAACTGTCAGAGATAAAGGACATCTGGAGCTTGCCAGTGGAGTCCCGGGACTCAGGCTGAGAATCTCATTTATCTGTTGGAAATCCTATTTATCTGAAAAGATTTGCTGCTCATCATCAAGGCAGTCAGCTGAAGCCTGCGACAGCCCGAGAAACTCACTCAGGTCAACAGTGGTTTCCATTAAGTGCGAAATGGACCTGTGTGAGGTTCCCAGGAATGGCTCCTCAGAGGAAACAGCACTTGTTTACAAAACCAAATCACATCACACAAATGGGACGGACCAGACGCTCCTCAAAGGCAGAGCACAATCACCATAGGAACTTTCTAATTTTCTTATGGAATCCAAAACAAAAGAAACAACTGTAACCAACAGGTTTCAGCTACCAAACCTGATGTCATCAGCACCACAGAGAACCTGTCTGCAGGGGGGAAGAAGCCAACGTGGTTGGAGTTAGCAATGAAGATGAAAGGATGTAGTGTTTCATTTACATCATTAGAAGCAGTTTCTCCTGGCATGAAAACGGTCCAGTGAGAAAGAAAAGGGAGGAGCGGGCTGCGACTGCAGCAGCAGCAAGAACCCCATCAGTTCAAGGCAGCATGTGCAGATGAAGCATCACCAATATTAAGTATTAGGACCACACAATTTGGTCTATATTGAAGATATCACTATTCACACAGGTAAATTTATCTTCACACGTAGAAAAACAACTGAATTGAAGTTCTCAACACAAATCACTGAGCATTTACTATACGGTGATCCTTTACTAATATACCTGACACTGCATTAAACATCTGCCATAACACAGAACTGATCAATCTCCCAGCCATGGGATAACTGACAGCTTCTCCCAGATAAATAAAGTGCCCAATGTAAGATAAACTGATTACAGAACAGACTGTTGTTTCCATAAATGAAATTAAAATATCAGCCTATTTCAGTACAACATGCTGAATGCTTAGAAAGAAAGCGCCCACCTCAGCAACAGTGCTCCATGTTCACCCAGCAATACTGGGTCTGTCACTGTAAGAACAGTCTTCCAGCTTAGCAATTGCATGAGATGAACACGGCAGGAAATGTTAGGACCAGTAAATGATCAGCTTGTCTGACCATCCCCTTCACAGCAGTTAGCACACTTATTTCTCTTAACAATGTATTTCATTTCCCACAGCAGTGATTTGTAACACTGATACAAAAAAAAACTGCTTCAAAGATGTTACAACACAGAGCATACAGACAGAGCCATTACAAGACAGAGGCCTAAAGAGAGGACAACTTTCCCAATACCCATGTCAAAATCTTCAAGTGTGCAAGAAACCCCAAGATATAAATCATGGGCATCTGCAGAATGGAAAGGATGAACAAGGATAGGAGCAGATGTCATACAGGAGAGGATGGAGACCTTTTAGGGGATGTGCACAGGAAGGGCTGCAGTCAGATCTTTGGTTAAACAGCTTTTATTCCACTGACATTCTGTCTGTCCTGCTACTAGCAAGGCTGCCTACTGAACCACTGCTGCACTGACTCCCAGGCTGTCCCTCCATCTCTTGGCATTTTTTGCCATTTTCCTGTTTTCCAGTCTTGAAGTGATGAGTCCTTCCTTTGTTGTCAGCTACACAACAAACCTTACAGACAGCTGCCTAATGCCTCCTGTACTTCATCATCCCATCCCAACCTCTGCGTTTGGTGACCAAAGCTTACCCAACAGACACATCACTGACAGAGCAGGGCAGGATCTCCCCACTGCACCTTACTGTGCTGTCTTCTGCCTCACTGTGCCTGCCTGAAAAGCTGTGAACTGGACAGAGATTACTTTCCCCATATCCTGTACACAGCACAAACTTAATAATTAATGTTAACAGTGGGCACGTCCGTTATGCACACACACACAGCTGAACACTTCCCATGTTCCCACAGTGTACCACAATTATCACAGCACATTTGTGCCCGTTGAGCCAGAGAAGCCATGAAATGGTCAGACAGCAGAGAGCTCAGCCAGCTTCCTCTCACCTGGGATCGTGGCACTCACACACTGGAGCCGGGTCGCGGTTGCTAAGAGGTAAATAATTAAAGAACTCTCGGAGGTTAAGTAAGGCGTCTACGTCGTTCTCAAAGGCCCTGTGTGCCACTCCTGGAAAGAAGCAGTTATTGAAATTACTTTGCAGTGCTTTGTTTTCAAGTATGTATCCATAAAGACAAGGAAAAACAGCACGATGCATTAAACTTAAGCTACTGACAACTGGGAAATTTAAGCAATCAGATCTGACCAGTTAAAAGTACCTAGAAAATGTGTGGCTGCATCAGTCTTCTTCCAGAAGAGCTCTGGATTGTTCATTTTGTATTTAAAACTGTGTGAACTGGTTTATCAGCTGTCACAGATTGAACTGGATCCCAGCCTTGTGCAATGCAAGAGCTCAAGCTTTTCACTGTGTTCTCTCACAAGGCCTGGATCTGCGGCAGGGGTGCACACACACGTTGCTTTGGTTCACATCAGTCCAGTTCACACAGAGTTTGAAATCCCACTGCCAGCTGGAGCCTCAAGATCAAGGAGACACCAAGTCTCCCCAGAGGAAAAGAAAATAAAAAATACTAAGCCAAAGGAAAAGAACGTTTCTAGGCAAACAAGGGATCGCCAAGAATCCTTCAACCCATGCACATTTCTGGGGAAAAACACACAAAAACCATCATCCCAAACCTTCCTTGAGAGCTCTGCTCTCCTACAGCCCTTCCACTTGTATAATCGTTTGTGGATTTGCTGCTTTCTCCTCAAAATCTCAGAACTCTGCCACACTCCCACTTTTCCTGCTTCGTCTTCCACCACTAAGAGGGATTGGTTTGAGCCCTGCACACCGCAGCATCCTGTGCTCCAGCAGTTTCATCCCTTCACCTCAGGTGACAGCCATGCCCACAGGAATCAGTACGAGGTTCACAGCAGCTCCAACAGCCCCGTCACTTCTGTTAAAGTTAAGATCAGAGCATGAAGTAAGACTTTCCAGCTCTCACCAGACACAGCCGTGTGCGTCTTCGCTCCCCCGAGCTGCTCCTGAGTGACATCTTCATTGGTAACAGACTTAACTACATCTGGGCCAGTGATGAACAGATAGGACGTATCCTAGGGGAGAGAATAAAGCAGAACCAGTGTGTAAATGCCAGAGCCAAGCTGCAAAAGCAGCAAAGGAAAGCTGCCGTCCCGAGAGACTTTCCTCAAAATAGGAAAACTGTTCAACATTGGAAAGAATTCCCTAAAAAAAGAATCCCTGATACATTATACTAAAATCCACAGAAAATACAGCTACCTACAGGTTTCTTTGGAAATTTGTTATTGATTTCCCATGAAGAATAAACTGAATTCAATTTCATTTAACCCAGAAGTGTATTCTGCAGTTTCTGCACACCTTTTATTTTCCAGTTCTGTACCAATCTCTATAGACATTAATAGCTTATACAGAAAAATAACCTGAGACAGAAATCATGAGGTAAAGACAACAGCTATTTCTTAGGACAAAAAGGAAAGACCCATAAATGCTAAGAGACCCAAAGGAAGATGGATGAAGGACTTTTTTGCTGAGTACCCATAGAACTTAGAACAACTGGAACACAGAATGACTCCATGATTTCAAATTTAAAGTGAATAAAAAAGAATAACTCTGAGTCTAACAGTTCAAATATTAGCATGAAATGCAAAAAAAAAAAAACAAAAACGTGAAGGGGTGAAATGTTTGTCCCACCCCACCACCATACACTGATTTCAGATGTTAAAAAACTCATTAACAAAAATCCTTCTGAAGCTCCTCACAGTCATGACCAACTCCTTTTCTACAAACCACCTTTTTCATCGTGTCCTGTCTGTGCCCTGAGCAGTAACCACCACAACCCACCTGCAATCCATACCTGCCAGCAGCACAACCAACCACCAGCAGCTTGTAGTTTGAAAATATATTAAGCACTCCTGTATTAAATGCTTCAGACCTGCTTCATTTAGAACTGAAGCTTAAACAAAAGCGCTTTTTAACAAGAGATTAATTATATCTTCATCTATCCAACGTGCAAAACAATGGCACAGGACTAATTCAGCACTGCCATCCATGCCAATTAACAGCTGGTCGTGTCACAATGGTATTAATGATATTTCTGCAGCAGTTTCCAGGCCTTTAGTGAAGCAGGAGCCCACCAAACAAACCCTGACATGGGGTCTGACTGTGACTGACCCCATTTACCAGCAGCACGGCAGGATCTGCTCCACCCTTACCTTCACCATGAACGTGAAGTCAGTTAAAGCAGGAGAATACACAGCTCCACCAGCACAGGGCCCCATGATGAGCGAGATCTGAGGCACCAGCCCAGAACACAGAACATTTCTCTGCAACAGAAATCACAAAGACATGCAGTCTGAATGGCAGAAGTAAATTAAGCGCGTTTACTTCCCAAAACTGAACTGCCACCACATTCACCTGCCTTAATTAGAGAGAAGGGGACATCACACCTCATACTGAGAGCAAACCCACCGCACGATGGTGACAGGAAATGTCTAAGCAAAGAATTCACTTGTCACATTTTCCAAATGGCAACAAATTTGATCTCTCTGTGCATCACTGCCAGCCTGCTTTGAAGTAAAAAGGTTCACAGGAATCAGAAACAGCATACAGCAGTGGTCAGCAGCAACACCAGGAATGCTGCCTCTATGTAAACCAAAGATGAGTGATTTGAGCATTAACTGGAGCTCAGCAACACCCTTCAAGCATCAGTGAACCTATCGTTTCTGCACCTCACAATTCTCTGAAGTACTGAAACTTATCAGAAATGGAGGCCCATGCAAGGCATTTCCAAACAAGACTGCCAGCTTCTGATGGCTACACATGGAGCTCACACCCTGTTTTAGGCCCCAGTACAAGTCTGACAAACTGGGACACACTGGAAGATGCCCCCACAAGTCATGGGACTCAAGCAGTCAGCAGGCAGCAAGAGGCTGTGGGAATGGGGGCTGCTGAGCACAGAGAAGAGAAGCCAGAGGGAGAACTTGCTGCTACCTTTATATCCTATGTATCTTTTATATATCCTTTATATACCTATATATCTTTATTGATGACCTAGATGAGGGGATTGAGCCTACCCTCAGTAAGTTTGCAGAGGGCACCAAGCTGGGAGGTGGTGTTGATCTGCCTGAAGGTAGGGAGGCCCTTCAGAGGGATCTGGATAAGCTGGATCACTGGGCTGAGGTGAATGGGATGAGGTTGAACAATGCTGAGTGTCAGGTTCTGCACTTTGGCCACAACTACCCCATGCAGCATTATGGGCTTGGGGATGAGTGGCTGGATGAGTGTGAAGAGGAAAGGGACCTGGGGGTGTTGGTTGGTGCTCGGCTGAACATGAGCCCACAGTGTGCTCAGGTGGCCAAGAGGGCCAACGGCATCCTGGCCTGCATTAGAAATGGTGTGGCCAGCAGGAGCAGGGAGGTGAGCATCCCCTGTACTCAGCACTGGTGAGGCTGCACCTTGAATACTGTGTTCAGTTTTGGGTCCCTCCCTACAAAAAAGACATTGAGGCCCTGGAACGTGTCCAGAGAAGGGCAACGAAATGGTGAGGGGTCTGGAGCACAAGTCTTATCAGGAGCGGCTGAGGGAGCTGGGATTGTTCAGTCTGGAGAAGAGGATGCTCAGGGGAGACCTCACTGCACTCTGCAACTTCCTGAAGGGAGGTTGTGATGAGGAGGGGTTTGACCTCTTCTCCCAGGCAAGGAACAGGACCTGGGGAAATGGCCACAGCTTGTACCAGAGGAGGTTTAGATTAGACATGAGGAAGAACTTTTTCTCTCAGAGAGTGGTCAGGCACTGCAGTGGCTGCCCAGGGAGGTGGTGGAGTCGCCGTCCCTGGCAGTGTTCAGGAGGCATCTGGATGAGGAGCTGTGAGATGTGGTTCAGTGCTTGTGGTGGCAGTGATGATGGGAGGTTGGACTGGATGATCTTATAGGTTGTTTCCAACCCTGTGATTCTGTGATACCTGCAGATGTGCTGAGGGACTCCTGTGGAAAAGCATGATACTCTCCTGGGAAATGCACAAGGAAAGGATGAGAACCAAGTGGTACAAATCACAGCAAGAGATAACTGAAAAAATGTCACCATGAGAACAGTTCAGCAAAGCTGCCAAGTGTCTGTCCCTAGAGACATCCATAACGTGGCTAGACGAGATGAAGCAACCTGGTTTGTTGTTAAAAATCAGCCCTGGCTGAGAACATTGGTCTGTACACCCCCAGATGACTCTCTGGACTGGAATTATCCTGTAATTCTATTCTAAATGAGCAAAGCTGATAGTTGACCATGGTCTGCCATTTATTAAGGCAACAGAAAAACAAGATAGCACATGGTTGTGGAAAAGAAAGAACTGAAAGCAGAATGAACTTTGTCCTTTGGGTTAACAGCACAAACATCAGATGGCATCGCAGTGACTCAGGCAGCTGCCAGCATGTTAAAAACCACCAACCAAAAAGCCAGAAATGCACACAAACTAAAGCAAAAAGAAAACTGTCAGTAAGACATCTGATGATCCTTGGAATCTTTCCGTCATTTGTTTTCAAAACAGCTCTAAGAGGTGTTTATGATTACTACTTTTCCTATCATTTATAATAAATGCTATTTCTCATATCTACAGAAAGTACAAATCATCCTTTAAAACAATGCATGTTGGTAGGCATATAAAATAATGTCATTTTAGGGGAAAAAAAAAAAAAAAAGATCAATACTGTGTGCTTTAGCCACAAAGATACTGCATAACATAAAACTTCCACCAGTCCAATCAGTCCTGCACGTCCTCAAGTGGTAACACCAACAAGTTCCACTGTATTCTTTGCACAGAAACCTCTTGCATTTTTTTTCCTCCCCTCATCGACCACCTTGATACAACACCTGGTGCTTCTGCTGCACATTCTCAAGTTACCCTCAAGCACAGGTTGTTGGGTTTACTTAAAGTCCCTTTTTCTGCTGCAGAAAAGTTTCACCATTTATCAGCCCCACAGAAAGCAAGCCTGCTGTGTGAAATTCTTAACAGGCCTGTATTTCTGAGCAGCCACAGAGACAGCTAGTGGTGTGTCACAGCCATCAGACACCTACAAAACACTCCACAGCACAGCATGCCCACTTGTCTCAGACAAACGCATACACACTTTGAAAGAAGTTACATCCCAACACACACAAGCTGTAACTCAGTGTGAATCAACATTATTCACTAAAATAACTAAAAATATTTATAGGTGTTTCCTAATTAAGTAAATTGCTTAACTTTCTATTCTTCTGACAAAGCCCACGTTGCAGTGCAGCTCCTGCAGGGCTTTTCACCAGATCACAGTGTTGGACAACGTTCACTCAAGCAGCAGGGCACTCACCAAGAAGATGTCAGCATAGCCAGCCAGAGACTCCACCCCTTCCTGAATGCGGGCTCCTCCCGAGTCATTGAGCCCAATGACAGGGGCTCCAACCATGGCAGCCTGATCCATGACCTGGTGATGAACACAGACACTTGGTTACCTGCAACACCAGCACGGCCCTCCCCTATCAAACTGTGCATCCCCCAGAAAGAAAATCATGCAACAAACTTTGAACTGCTCACACGGCGCTTCGCATCTCGCTTGCTTGCATTAATTACAATCATTAACAGCTTACTGACATACTGCATTTTGGCTCTGTAGCAATGGGAGAGATCAAAATACGATGGGAAAGACATTACAACAAAGGTGTGACGGCAGGAGCAGCACAATAAAAAGGTGCTATAAAGGAAGGGCAGCAGATTGCTCACCCTTATCAGAAGATTCCAGGTTTGCAGGGGAAAGCTCCACCAAGGAGGGATCTCCAACCACAGACCCTTCCCCAGTGGCAGCCAGCCCTTAAATGAGGTCTAGGAGAGGTGCAGCCAGGCTCCACCCCTTCCAGTCACACAGCTGCATTGCCTCCACCTGTGCTCCCAGGGCTGACCAGTCCTTCCCCAGGTGTTCAGTTGGTGCTTGGGGCCAGGACTCAACAGTTCCCGTAGAGCCTCACTCAGACTGGAGGCTGAAAGGCACACATTTAACCCCTCTCGTGTCCTTCACTGCCTTACCAGCTGTGCATCTCCATACCCACACTGTACCACCAAACCCTTTGCTACAGTGACACAAGCAGAGGGGTTTGGCATTTTCCTGACATTACAGCACTGGTATATAGTAACAAGACCTGCCTTGGTTCTTCAGTCATTTTCCTGTAGAACTGCACATGGTCTGTCAGTCTCTAGTTTGATATTTTTTCCTGCCCTCGCAATCATTTTTACCCAATTACATCCAATCTTTAACTTTTTAAGATTTCTAAATCTTCAGCCCTGTCTTTCAAAGTGCTCACAGCCATCAACAGTAGCAAGCAAGTTTTTATTGCCTGGAAAACCAGAAAGGACATTACGACATTCATACCAACATACCCTAGCAGTACCAAAACTGCAGCCTGAACACGGGTTGCTGATAACTGTCTCTGTGTAGCGCTCAGCTGGCATCACTCCTACTTGCAGTCACTGCACGTAAAATAGGGATCCTTCAAACTTTGTGCCTGGACATTCATTTAACAGTTGGATCACCGCCGTGGCAGACATGGAGAATGATTCTGCAATCAAATACAGTCCAGCACTTTAAAAGCATCTGTGTGGGCCACAAGCAGAGGCTCCATGAGCAGCCTTGTTTGCTTACAGGGATGTTACACACAGCATGATCAAATGTCTTATTAGAAACCAGTTGACATCCATTGCCTTCCCAGGTCAATGAAACAAGTTCACTGACACACTTTGCTATTTCCCAAGGACACACATATGCATTCATTTTTCACTTCCATGATTTTTCCAGATACTGAAATTCTTCACATCAGTGTACACATTTAATACACATTTAGACTACTCGTGTTTGAGGCTTTATTTTTTGCCATACCAGTACCTACAGCTCTTCTGCAAAAGGAGTCTGCCACCTGTAGCCCAGACCTACCTACCCTGCAAACGCCAAATACCTGAACTCCAGGAAAAGATATGCAGAACAGTGACAGCCAAAGGCAAAAGTCCTGCTGAGGGGCAGCAACTTCACTTCATTTTACGTGCCTCAAGCAATTCATAGGGTCTGCAGCAGCCAAGACTGTCTCCCAGAACAGATTTCTGCTTCCCAGAACTCAGCTCAATAAGAACTAAAAGAAGTGACAGATACCACACCATGCAGCTCTCCACTGCCAAGCTGCAGCCTCACAGACCGAGCAACTGATGCACACAGAGCCTTCAAACTTCAAGGCCTACCACTGGTGCTGATGGCAAACATAGTATCAGTTAGGAAGGACTCATGTCTTCCAGTTCTGCTACCACTCCCTGCTGTTTCAGAAGTACCAGATCACAAACAAAACAGCAGAAGGCGTCCCAGTAGCATCACGTTACTCCCATCACAAAGAAACATTTTGGAGCTCTGATGTAAAAGGGCAATACAAACACCTTTGCTGATATCAAGAGCTGGTAAAGCCCAGTACTTATTACTCAGCCCAAAGTCTTTCTGTCTTCTACTTTTATATCTCCTCACTGCACAGGAGGTTATGCCAAAAAATAGTTATTTCTAGCAGGAGAAAAGGCCTCGAGCTCCATACACCTTGTTCCCAGTTCCATAGCAAAAGAAAATGTAGAAGTTTTCATCAGCCCATGCCACTGAATATTCATGCATGAAACAGCTGCTGCCCTCCACACCCCTGGGATTCCAACACCAGCTTTTTCAGTGAGACAGGAGGGCAAATGAGGACCAACAGCCACACGTGCCTGATAACGGAAGCTCGGCATCAAGGTGACCTCTACGCTGTTGTCTGTCTTCAGATTGTTTACTTGTTACATTTCTTTTCATAAATACTACATTTCCACATAACAGAACTCCCAAGTCATTCCATATTTCTCCCTCAGACAGTGGCTAGTTAACCCATGCTCATAGTTGTATGTCTGTCTGGCTTTTTGCACACAACAGGAAAATCAACTTTGAGCAGACATTACTTACAACAGCTTCAAGAGCTCCCAGAGGAAGCCCCTCTGCTCAGCTGTGCCCCCACTCCTTACCAAACTGTGAGGACACAGGCATTCTGAGACTGCCAGCAATATCCACCACAGCCCACTGAAGTCACTACAAAGCATTTCCTCCAAAATTATTAGCACAACAGATTGGAAAAAGAAAACTGGCCATTTTTTGTTGCTGTTCTCTGTTGTGAAATATTACCTTGCAGATCTTCTGGGCGTGAGCTCCAGACAAACTGCCTCCAAATACAGTAAAATCCTGGAAACAAAACAAATTCTGAGATTATGGAAAGAATCTTTTCAATAACAAGCAGCCAAACAAATCCCAATAACTGACCTTAATGAAAAACGTGTCAAGTAAACAGTATAATCCTGCACTGCTCTACATTTAGCACACTGCTCCAAGGCAACATGACTCTGTAAGCAGCCTGCAGACCAATCGTGGTCAATCCAACCTTGTTTACAAGTAAAAAGATCTTTTATGCATTTGCCAGTAGATTCTACGTTCAGATCACAAACTCACTGTGTCTCATTTGCTTTTATTATTCTTCAAACACTCTTCTTCCACAAATACATGTTACTCTTTCAGAGATGCTACCAATACTGGAGTAAGCCTGAGAAATGTCACCGTAAGTAGACTCCTACTGCAAAGGGTGGCAGTAGGATAAAGCTGCAAACAGGCAGAAATCACAAATGAAAGCATGCCCTTGTTCTATATTCATGAGTTATGCTCCAGGAGTTTATTATTCTTTTGTGGGGGCTGCAGGAACGATGCCAGCCAAAATGGACAGCTGGTGTTTCCTCTGGGACTGTGCTGTGAGATTCTGAAAGAGCAAGAAGGAGCCCTGGGGCTGATCCAGAAGGGACAAGGGATGGTGATACCTGGCACCAGGGGTTAACTTCTGGTCAGCTTCACTGATGCATTCCCTCTGAATTTTACTCTCAAAGAAACCCTAAAAACTTAGCGGGCAGAAAACATCACGACCAGTAGCTGAAGCAAAAAGGAAGTGACATCTTAAGTGGCAGCTAAATTTGGAGATGCATAAAGTCTTTCTAAAAAATAATTGTTTTAAAAACAGCACACGATGAAGGGACACATTGAAACCCTTACAAGAACTGCCCTCTACCTGTGTTACTTGAACAAAGAAACTCTGGCTCCTCTTCAAGCCCACATAACAAGAGTGCCCTCCCCTGGAAGAACGACACACCAGGGACAAAACAGGCACAGCATATGCCTCAGTGCAAGCAAGATGGCAACAACCACTCCAGCCATGGAAGCAACTTGAACAAAGGCTACTTGGTAACCCAGCACAGACAGGCAGATATCAACAACTCAGAAGAATGCTCTTCTTCCACTGTGCTAAGACTCGTCCAAGATAAACTCCACCTATGGTGTTTCCTCTAAAACACTTTTAATATAAAACACACAATTTATCTATTTATATACTATCTGTCAGTCTCTTTACTAACCTGAAGAACAGTTCAGGGTTGCTCAGGTGCCCTTTACCACGAATTCAACCCAATGCAATTCCAGCCGGTACCTCCAGCAGGCAGCACCAGACCTGCACCTTCCAAGTGGGAAGGCGGTTCCCTGGGCTCACAAAGCACTCTACTGACATTTGCAGGAGTCCAATCACAACACCTCCAGCTGCACGCACAGCCAGAGCTCTCAGTACTTGCAACACGTTGTGCTCAGAGACCTCTCCATCTCCAAATAAGGTACCAAATAAGTGCTGCATTCATCGCTTACTTCATCCCAACCTTACCTACAACTGCAAATCTCACCAAAAAAACGGCCTGGGAAAGATTTCTTCTGCCTCTTCTTGTCTCCAAGTGCACTGCTTCCTCCCACAGGATGTTATGTTTATCTTATGTTTAATGGCAGGTGGTAAACAGGTACGTTACTACATGGTCACAGTGTAATGCAGCGTATTTATTTCAAAGGATAAGTTCATCTTACTTACAAAAACAAAAAACAGAGACGTACCTGACTGAAAACATAAGCCAGTCGACCATTAATCCGTCCACGGCCAGTCACCACACTGTCTCCAGGGTACTGTAATGGAAAAAAATAAAAAATAACTCTAGATATTTATATCTCAAAATAGCAACAATGTCCGTTAAGAAGCACTGAGCACAAGGTTAAGGTAAAGACTGATAGTGAAAGGACTGGTCTTTATTTGCGCAGTGGAGGCTCCATAAAGACTCGCTTCAGCACTGGAAAAGAATACTGCAGGTAACATCACATCAAAGTTACATATGAATCTAAAGATTTATGAGTTTTGCACTTTCCCCTCAAATTTCAGCATGCCTAGAGTTAAGGCAAACCACGTCCTCAGAGACAGAATGCACATTTTATTAGAATCAGATGTTTTTAAAAGAATGGGCACCATATATAAATCTTTCTTGAGAAAGGTCATAAAATACAGAATCCAAAACATTTCAGCTTGACCTGTCCCATTTTTTTTACCCTGTAAGTAAGGGAAAAGATGAAAGAGGAGATACAGCATGTGAATCCTAAAGTTTCCCTACTGATGTTGTCTCACTTGTAAGTATATGGATGTTTTTCAAAACAGCAGAGGAAGTGTGTTGCCATAAGGGAATTCCAAGCATCTCAATGCTTTTTGCTGCCTAGGAGGAAACAAAAACAAATGAAAAAACCCACTCTCCTCCGCTCTAAGGCCCATTTATACCCAAGGGAATCTGTTCACAGGGAGGTCACATCTTTTGGGGACTTCTCTCAAGCTGCACAGTCAGCACTGTTACCACCTCCTGGCATACAGAAAAGCATTACACACCTCTCCAGCTCCAGCCATCATACTGCAAAGATGGCTCCTAACAGCCCATACAGCAACCTGGACGGAGTACAAGTTTCACCCTACCTTTGGAAACTTCCAGGAACCCTGAGCTATTCAATGCTAAACTAATATTCCAGCTCACTGCCCACCAATTAGGTCATCTGCTGTGGAACTGCGCTCTGTAAACACAACCTGCAGCTCACTGAAAGGTGAATTCTGAAGGACAAGGCAAAAATTAACCCAGCTGTCACTCTCAGGACTTCACTGCTCCTTTTATCTTCAGAGACAGTGCTTGGTTAACAGCACTGTGGGTACAGCATTGTGAACTACAATGAAAAGCAACACAGGAGTTAATTCAGTTTGCTGGGGGAACAAAGTAAGAAGTTACCCATAGAAGAAAAGATGTTTCCTCCTACACTCAGCGAGCGCCATCCTTCCAGCAGAGTCCTGTCAGCAACCTGGCCACTGGAAATGAAAAGAAGCCCTTCTGAGGGTAGAAGCCTACCAAGCCCTCCCTCACCACAGCACGCAGCCTGGCAAACTGGAAGGACTGCAAAACGATCAGCTAGTTTAAGAACTGTGGAATCTGAAACTGCAGTCACTGCACTCAGCATGTGGCAGTGACACACCTGGCGCAGCTTCCTACCACATTCCAAATCAGAGTCACCTACAGGAAGGTTCACCTTCAATAGGCTAATCTGCACTAGCCACCTACACAGCCCAGCACGTTCACCAGTCACTTCTGCAGGACACAGCAACAAAATACTCTTTGCAGGTAGTAATTCATTCACCAGGCATCAATGTCACTGCGAGAGACTTCGGGGAGCCAGATTTTTCCTCTACATAACACACCTCGTGTACCTTGCTGGTTTAGGATATATGGCCACCTATCAAAAACAGCATAAGTGAGGCAGACTGCAGCTTCTCACCAACCAGCAGAACTGCTTGAACATGCAGACACGTCACGTTTTCAAGCCCTAAAGGATTTAATGACTACAGTTCGGCAAGCGTACGTACAGATCTGACTTATTTCAGCCTACAGCTCTACTGATATCTGTAGAGGGGCAGAAGGATCCACATTTGTATAATATACATTGTATATCCAAATGCAGACATATCTGCACACATAAAACGGATTTGCATTGTATGTATCCCTGACTTGACAGACAAACATACGACAGCAGTACTTGAAACAAACAGGTAATCTCCTAAAACAAACAAACAAACAAAAAAATCAAATTTAAACGATGTAAAAATAAACCTCATGAGCTGTTACATGGAAATTACAAGCAACAAAAGGAAATTCGCAAACACTTTCCAAACCCAAAACATACTGTATGCAAACAGAAGAACTTATCTTCAATCACACGCCTGGCTACACAGCAGAGGACAAAGAAACAAGAATTACGTGAAATAAAAATACCTTATTCTTACTAGAGTCCATCCCAAAGTCAGAACACCTGTGTTCCACAAACATGTCATATTCATCAAAGCTGCCGGGGTCCAGCAGCAGAAGAATCCGCTCTCTTGCTGTCAGCTTCCCCTGAAATGGAACACACCGCAGTTAGCACTGCCATTGGGCAGCCCTGGCCCTGCCAGACACCTCTGGGTGCAGTTTAATGAAACATTCCCTCACCAGATCTTCTGCTTGCCCCACTGATTGCACACCCCCAAAGCTGGGAGCATAGCCAGCAATGAGCCTCCTCAAGAGCAAACACAAAGCAAGGAGACTCGGAAAGGAAGGCTGACTATCAGAGCTGCACTCCAACAAGATAAGAGACAGCCTCAGCCTTTTTAACAAGATGTAATGTAATGGCATCTCAGCTATTTTTGCCTACACGTCTGATGGCTGCTATGCTCTTAAGGCCTTTGGTTCTATTCCTGAAAGTGGAACCCTTGCACAGCCAAACCGGCCCGTAAGAGCAGTGCTGGGCATTCTGTGAATCTGAGCTTGGCCAGGGAAAGGCCGCACACAGCCTGCAGGGAACTTCTGGCAGGTTTTGCTGGGACCAACGGGGCACTACAGCACGACGGCCGAGAGCGGAGCACACGGGCGGCCCTGCACGCCCCTCCTCGGCAACGATGATGCCATGAAGTAACCGGTGACGAACAGCTCATTTCGGAGCTCGGCCTTACACAGCTTTCTCTGCAGGCCAGGTCGGCGCCCGGCAGCGCAGGGATCTCACACAGGGGCGGGCTGCCCTTCTACTGGGGGCCGCGCCTGAACGCGGCGTTACACACGGCTGAGGCTCCGCGCGGAAGCGACGGCCGAAGTTCTCAGAGACAGGGGAACGCAGGGCAACGTAAGCGGTGCTCGAGGCCCCCAGGTGAGCACAAACCGCTCGAGGCAGCACTCCGCCGGAAGCCCCGGAGCCTGCGGGCGCCGTTCTGAGCAACGGAGGTTGGGAAATCCCTCCGACTCAACGACGGCCCGCCCCGCGCTGCGTGAGCCGCCGGCTCCGCGCTGCCCGCTTCGCCCGCCGCCCGAGCGCTCGGTGCCGCTCAGAGGCGCGCTGCGGCCCGCCGGAGCACCGGGCCGGCTTCGTTCCACCTTCGGCGGCGGGCGGAGCGAGCCCGAACGGCGCCTCAGGGGAGCGGCTCTCCTTCTGCCGCCCGCGCCTCACCCGCCTGTGCTGTGCGTCGATACGGCTCTGTCCGCCGCCCAGCAGCGCGGCGCGGCGTTTCTCCTCGATGCGCTGCGGCACAGAGCCGCCCGAGGCGGCGCGGCGTCCCCACGGGGCGGCCCGGCACAGCGCCGCCCGCAGCACGCACTGCGCCGCCATGTCGCGAGGCGGCGGCGGACACTGCGCCTGCGCGCCGCCTCTGGGAGCGAGAGCGGGAGCGCCGCGTCCCGTGCGCCACGGGCTGCTGCGGGTGTGGGGAAGGAGCTGTGTGCACGCCGCAGCTGTGTGCGCGCCTCTGCTGTGTGCGCGCCTCAGCTTTGTGCACGCCTCTGCTGTGTGCACACCGGGAGCCGATGTGCCGTGCTTTCTGTGCTGTGCTGCGGGGACGTCAAACGCATTGAGAGAAGACTGGCCAAGAATAGGAATCTTTGGATTGCACAGTGTATACAGGCTGTCATAAAGTAATTCATGTTGTAAGAGCACTAGGGAATATCTGCGCTGAGAATGCATACGTGTCAGACCCACAAAGCGTTAACCCAGAGGAGCAAGTTCATCATTCTCTGCAAGAACGAACTCAAGGCGTGCATAAAAAAGCAAAGTGAATATTGGCTATGATTATTAAGTCATAGAATCATAGAATCACAAGATTGGAAAAGACCTTGGAAAGCCTGGTCTGGTATTAAATGGGGAGATTGGTGGCCCTGCATGTGGCAGGGGGTTGGAGATTCATGATCCTTGAGGTCCCTTCCAACCCTGGCCATTGTGTGATTCTGTGACCTGCAAGATCTTCCAGTCCAGCCACCCTCCTACTGCACTGCTCCCACAAGCACTAACCCACATCTCACAGCTCCTCATCCAGGCATCTCTTGAACACTGCCAGGGACGGCGACTCCACCACCTCCCTGGGCAGCCATTCCAGTGCCTGACCACTCTGAGGGAAAAAGTTCTTCCTTATGCCTAACCTAAACCTCCTCTGGTACAAGTTATGGCCATTTCCTCAGGTCCTGATCCCCTGAAATGTAATTTGGTGATAGGGGCGAAAGGATTTTGAGGCCAAATCAAGCTGCAAGAGGGCTCTGCACCACAAGAAAACAGCCTCCTGCTATTCCATGTCTCTGTGTTTGGGCAAGCATAGTAATTAATGTGTGTTTTTAGAACTAGAAGTAGTAAATAAAGCCCAGCTCCATCATTAGTTTGTAGCCCCGTAAGAAACAACCCAAAGTCACAGATGTTGGTTATTAACTCAGAATAACAGAGGTGTGTAAGAAGTAAATGCTTATTCCTGGGGTAGGATGTGCAGCAGCACTCTCAGTAAACCGAAATGAAGGCATGGAATATACACAGAGGTGGACAAGTATTTCTACATTAGCAGTTTGGCTCAGATTCAGCTTGAATATTTAGTGCCAATCCCAGGACACTGCTACATGCTATGCACCGTTCCAAACCAGAGTGAAGAGAAAGTCCTATTCCAACAAACTGCACTCCTGAAAGCTAGGTGCTGAGCCAGCTCATAGCAAGGATAAGCTGGGGCTTCACAGGTATCAGCAGACCTCAGGCAAGATAGAAACCCACAACTGGATTGACAAACATTAAAGACAGGAGTGACTGCTGTGATCAATGTCAGACACACCGTACAACACAAGATTGTACGTTTTATCACTATCAAATACTGCTGTTACATTGTTTAAAACCAAGAACTTGATATTCTTTTTCTGATGTGGCAAATAATGAGTCTGTCCTGGTTTTTCAAAGAGTCTGTTAAAAGACCTCAGAGTAAAGATGATGTGTTCGTCAGGGAGTAACTACAAAGTTTCTATTGAAATAGACAGTGGTAGTCTTCCAAGTTCAAAAATAAGAACAAGCAGCAATGGCATTAGCAACCCAGCTGTCTGCAGGCAGAGGATTTTTTGCTAGATCCAAAAGGTCAGGAATGTGTTGGTTGAAGAAAAGCTGCACCGAGGGCATATGGATCTAAGAAGTCACCTTAAGAGTAGTGTGTACTTGCCTGAAATTAAAGCAGTCAAGAAAATGAGTAAAACCAGGGTTTTCCAGCAGTTTTTCTGTCCCATTTACAGCCAAGATCCAAAGGAAAGAGGTCAGAATCCCTGCTTTAATAATAATAACAACTACTAAGTTAAAAAACAATCTTGCACGAGCTTCTATAGGGCTTTTCAACACCACAGCTCAGTGACCAGCTGGGAAGATGACCAAAGAGGAAGGGAACAGAAGTTCAGGATTTATGCAGCCGTCAGACAGATTTTTGATTTCGGGGTCCTGCTGTATTTTGGAAAGGGTGACCATCCCAAACTGGCTAGCAGATGTAAGAGCTAAACAAGGATAAAGGGGCATTTTGTCCAAATTGAGAGAAGAGCTGAGATTTTTCTGGCATTCACAGAAAACAAGAACTCTGAGCCTAAAGTAACAACAGCTGATTTTGGATTTGCGGTACCGTGTTTGCCAGAGGAGAGCAGAGAACTTGTATTCCTTTGTTTGGCAACACCATTAAAAAAGGAAACTGCTTCAGTGAGGAGATTGACAGCTGCGAGTTCTATCAGTGCTGTTCTGCATCTAATATGTATGTTGGAAATCTGCTTTGTGACATTTTTCAAAGACATGTAAACATTTATTTTTTACAACTGCCACAATATACTGTCTGCACATACAGCTCATTTGAATACCATGCGAACAATAACCAAAAAAGATCCTGGTGCCGAATTAGAACAACTATTAGGCCATGCATGTTCACATACCTGGAGAGAGGAGACCGCAGTTCTATCCAGTCACTTAGTTTCAGATTTGTGAAGCACTGGGAGAGCAGTTGTCCACCACAGGAGAAAACTTGTGTCGAATAATAAATGCTGGGGAACACGTCCTGCAAATTCAGTCTGTGCAAATTCCTTTTAACACATCACCCAGGTGAAGTTAATGAATTGTGGGTGACTGGTTTGGGCACAACAACAGGCACAATCCATAGCAATAGCAGGTGGTTTTGTAGTGAGATCATTGGTTCCTTAAAATTATTGGGGAATATTTATTGTCAAGTTCCTGCTGTGGTTTATAGAAATAGGATGTCCCTAGACATGGCACTGTACATATGAACGCTGAGAAGGTAAAAATTCCTAGAGAGAGATCTTGAGGTTAGAGTAGTAAGCATCCGGAATGCCCTTGGAACATATGACCAGCCTGGAATGACATATGAGAATGGTTTTGAAAGCAGGAGAAAATGGTCACAAAGGGAAAGTCTGCCATTCATTGACAAATGTGAGATGAGGTAAAAACAATGGAATATCTTCAGTTCATTCCAATTGCTTTGGGGCAAAATGCAATGTTAGTCTTTCTTAGAAGCTGCGGGGGGATTTGCCACTGTTTCTTTCTTACATAGTTACTGCGATTCAGTATTTATTACTGTTTGCTTTGGTTTGTTTATTCATTAATAAGATCAGCTCTGAAAACAAGCAGCCTTATGTTAGCCTGTGACTATTACAATCAATGCAGTCTCATCTGCTCTTCATGATGTCTACAATGCGATGACACAGATAGAAACATCAAACAAGCAAGCAAGTTTGCCACTGGTCCCCTACTTTTCTGAAATACACCCATTGCTGCACAGGCTTTCAGAAGCAGTATACGTGGTGACTTTTTAAATATTTTTTTTATTATCATTTCTCTTTTCAAGTGATTTACTAAATTAATTAGTTTCCTGTAAGGAAGCATGCTTTAAAATACACCATTTTCACAGCAGAAGGATCTCCTGACACAGGGAGCTCCTTCATCACCTCGTGTTTTATATAACATTTATGATGAGCCATCCACTGAGAGCTAAACAGTTATTCTGTGCAAGTGCTGTATCAAAATCAAAAGCTTTAAACTATAGCCTATGAACTCCATCAAACTCAGAGATCTGTACTAATGGCCTAAGTTCTGGAGTGTTAGTTTTAGTAGTTTCTAACCTAATCTGTCTAGTTCTTCCCAAATGCAGCCATGGGCAGAATTTTGACAGCAACTGGAAAACAAAACAATATCCCTATTCTAACCTTATTCAGATTCATATTCCACTGAAAAAATGCTGTAAGTCAAAAGATCAGCACTCGAGCTCAGACTGTAAGTGACCAAATAATGCAGTGACCCATGACCACAGTCTGAGTGATCAGTTGGGCAGCTGTGCTGAGCGGCAGGGACAGACCTTGTGGCAGCCTGTCAGCTCTCGTGAAGAGAAGGCACTTGTTTGTTGTCCAAGACCAAGGAATTTGGTATGTTGAAAGCACCGGCTTCAAATATTTTGAGCTGATTTTCAGAGACGTGTAAAACACACATGAACTTTTTACTTGCCTATTTTTCCTTCCTCTTTTTGAACTACTATTCTCAGTATATTTTCTAAATAAATGCCTGATCTGTCCTCTTTTGGACCCTCTACTCCTTTTCCTAGATTTCCGTAAATAATAGTTTTGGGTTTTTTTCCCCCGGTAGGAAGTAGAATCTACTTCTTGTACTCAAAGTCTCCTAAGGCAGATGGGTTGATGGAGAAGAAAGATGCAGCATAGAAGTAAAACCACAGCAGCTGAAAATGCAAGCAACATCACACAGCACACCTCCCTCTTCACCCTTCTCCCAGGAGAGGAAAGGTAAAGGCTGTTTGCACTGGTATATGAAATAGTGCGAGTGTTCGGGGGCTCATTCAACACTGAGCACACTCCACTGGCTGAACAGGTGGGCAAGTAGTGCCCCAAGGCCAGGTGCCCCATCCCTGGCACACACGTCTGCTGCCAGGGACCTCTCATGTACACAGGCATATGGTTTGGGGAGTTTGGCAGTGTGGGATGCAGAGAGGTCCGTATGAGAACATTCCTGGTGTTGAATGCTATTCTGTTTGTTGGCTTGGTTCAGCACATGAGATGCATAGAGGGGAGAGTTGGAAAAAGAACCGGGCGCTTGGCAGGCAGCATGTATGTGGGCTGTGCTGTGAAACGAGGGTCGGGACTGATTGTGTGCATGGATTAACGGCTGTGTGCTGGGGGCCACGAGAGAGGTATAGGTGCAGACACTGATGTAGGAGCACGCCGAGGGGGGGTGTGCGAGACAGCGTCAAGGAACAGAAAAGGATCAGCGGAACCCCTCGGCTGTCTCTGTACGGGCAGCTCTGCGTGAGCGTGCGTGGGGCC